ATATGTAAGAAGTCAGGATCCAATGACCATAACAAATGCAAAATAAATTAAAGCTTATTTATCAAAGACTCGGTATTTGTGCTTCGCTGAAAAAAAGTTTCTCTTTAAACCAAAGCATATAATGAAGTACCCTGGAACATCCCCTACCACCTTTGACCCCGCCACCAATTAGCAGACGCCTCAAAACGAATTTTCCGCACCAGGTGGATGCCACCTCCCGCCAGTGATCCCCCAACTTGTGCCATGTTTCTTTTTTTTTTTGGACTGACAGACGTACGTTTCAATTATTTGGTGGCCCTCTCACGCGAGATGCTCCAAATTCGCATGCCACAACAACTGACCGTGGTCCAATAAATCATTTGATTTGTACACTTGCCCGCTGCCCAGGGGCGAAGGTGCAAAATGGAGTTGCGTTGGATGGGGGGGTGTGGGAGGGGTTAGCTTAGGATGAAAGTCCAGGGGACTTGAACTCGGGGCACGTGGTGTGCGTGCCTTCCGGTGCTAAATCAAGGCGAGCGCTTTCGAATTGTCTTACCTTTCGGTGGAACCATGGACCGACCCACCACCACCACGCATATTTAGCCCCGTTTCGAATGGGGGAAGCGACTGTAGTTAATATTTATGGCGATTTAATCTTCTCACTTGAGCGCTGCTCAGTTAAGTTTGATAGAGACGAGCCCAAGGGGGTCAGAGCTGCCCAACTGCAGCCCCTGTATCCTTCCCCATCCCCCTTTTCTCCCCCCTCAGGATGACCCTTTTTTGTTTTCGGTTTTGGCTGGTTGTGATCCTTGAAGCAGCTTTTCCAGCTCACAGTTTGTTTTGCGTGTCCATTTAATTTCCGCCTGGAATTGCTTAATCAAACACAGCACTGGGGATAAGCCCCTCCCCATCCCCCTTGGAAAACCCCACCCCTGGCACCCGGGCAACTCCCCCTTTTTTCCCTGAACTCTGGACAAATCGCTTAAGTTTCATATGGACAAACGCCAAAGTTGGCTTAATGAGTAGTTTGGCTCATGTTCCCACAGCCATTCATGGACGGGGAAGTCAACATTGGAGGGGGGCTTGGTCGAATAAAAAGGTGCCGGGGGGTTGGACTGTGTGTGTGTGTGGGTGGGTGGGTTAAGCAAACAGCAATGTGCATTAGCAACAAATTGTTATTGTTGTCAGGCTGAGGGCGATAAGCAAGAAGTTAAAGTTACTTCTGGCAACGGGAAAGGGGATGGGAAAACAGATACGGCGAGAAACCAAACAAAAGAAGGTACTTATAAGAATATTAAATTTTAGTATTTCTTAGTGTGAGAAATATTTAATTTTAAAAACCCAGAAAAAGAATTTACCAGTCAAACAATTTAATTAACTAATCTGATAAAAAACCAGGAATTTATTAAAGAATTATTTAAAATATATTATTAGATATATTATTAAACTTTCACTAAAAAGGAAGACAGGGTTTTAAATTTCAATGAGTGACGATGCGTATTTGTATATTTCCCCCATTAGTTTATTTTATCTAGCTGATCACATAATCTGCCGGCTTTCAACTCCCAACTCCATTCTCATTTACCGAATCCAGTGAAGTAGCAAATCGATGTTAAATGGAAATCAGGGAAGCTCTGAGCTCTAATTTAAATTAATGACACACAACAATTGGACACGCCCCGTATGAGGGCCTGCAGACCTTATTCTTTATTTTCAATTAAACAAATAGCTGAATTTGACATTTTTTTTTGCTGGGCAAAGTACGAAAAGTTCAAAGGAAAAAATCATAAACGGAAATAACAAGTCGATGGGGACAAAAAGAGGAGGAAAAAGCGCGATAAGAGCGATGACAGGCCATTCCCATCCCCCTTTTTCTTTCCGACGTCACTGAAGTTCTTATCGCGAAAGCATCGAATCCTGCAAGGAACACTGGGAGTGAAACATGCTCCTGGCCTAGGCAAATGTTTACTTTTCCCCCGCACTCCTCCCTTTGCCTTCCATCCACATTCCTTTAAGGCGATTACTTGAATTTGCCGGAAAATTGAAAATGGAAAAAAAACGAACACATTGCAGTTCAGTTTCATTCATGATTCAATTAGCCACAGACGAGTGAACTTTAAGGGGATAAACCAAGCCTTCGATAAATCAAAGGTACTGCTACAAAAATAGTAGGCCGATTATATACTTAAAATTTTTAAAATAAATTTTACTCTTTTGAATAAAAGAACATATGTTTAAATCCATATTTTTATTATATTAAAAGCAGTACACTGCTTAAAGCATTTGGGTTAAATAAAGGGCTCAAGAACAATCAAGTTCTTAGAACTTGAAACTACGTTTAAGCTTTATCAACCATAACCACTATTAGCAAATCCCCTCCATCACCATCAAAGATAACCGACTTGCTTTAAAACCCAAGATTAAGTCCAGTCAAGAATCCGAAACGATGACCAAGTACCCCTTGTCAGCCAAAGAGCTGCAGAGGAAAAAAACGAGTACAAGCATCGAGAACCTGGGTACAGTCACCTGTCAGTTGTCAGTGTCAGATGCATTGTAAATTACAAGTTCATTTGCGACTGGCATTACATCCGCTTAAGCGCTTAAGCTATACCTTCTTACACGAAAACTTTGCCAAGCTGCATAAATTATGAGCCATCGAGTGAAACAGAGGCAGAAGCAGAAGAAAGAGAGCGATAGAGTTGAAGATGAAAATGGATGGGAACGGGGGACGGGTAACGGGCTGTGGACAAGGTACAGTCACCGCTAATGGAACATAATGAGGAGCCATTAGCGAGTGTCGCGGCTAACTGTGCATTTTGCCCTTTATGGCGCCACTGAAGCGTTCAATTGGTGTGTATGTACTTTGTTTTTAGTGTGTGCACTTGTGCTTAGCATTTGATGTGGCTGTACTTCATCTTTAGGGGGACTGTACTTCATTACGGGACTGGTCACACTGAACTAACAAAATACTATGCTAAAATTAACTGACATAAAGCAACTAATGAGTGATCCGCGCCTCGAGCATCATTAATATCGCAGCTTCACTTTTCACGCTTTTATTTGATTAGTTCATCATTTATTATTATTAATTAATGAAGTTTCGCAGCGCTGGCTGTTTATTATTAAGCATTATTAAACACCTCAAACAATAACAAATTCGACGCGATTATCGTCATAATTGCGGATATGGTCAGAAGAATTCAATTTATAGTATGTTCTACGCTGGGAAATCCTAACATAATAAGCCGCGCAAAAACCAGTTTCGTTCGTGTTTTTATTTCGATTTTCGGGTTCAACTGCAATCCAACATCTAGTTATGATGATGCTGCAAAAGTATTTATAAACATTAATCCCAGTTGAATGGTTTTATCGGTGGGAGGAAATGTGATGCGAACAAACGAGGAAAGTAAAACTTAACTGACTCAGCTGAATATTGGCCAAGATGAATGGCTAAGCCTTGAACTTATCAATCCATTTAGGATCCCCCATCGACTTCACACCCATTTATTATTTTCAGTCACACTAAAGTAAAACGTGATTTTTTAATCTTTGATAAATTGATTTTATTTCTAAGTAGTGAATTTATTTGTTGCCTTCTTTTATACTTTCGCTCTAAAAGGCTTAAAAAAATCATGGTAGGAACACATGATGACAAACCTTATTAAAGTCCATAGATCATCAACCCTGAACTTTTGAACCTTCTGCGGACACACGCCGTTTTAACACCTATTAATTTCCATAAGATGTATACACAAATCCATTGAAGAATTTACCAAACTTTGCTACCGTTTTCGGCCCTCCAACATCATCCAATATCATCGATCTTTATCGCCTTTTCTCTCCCCCCATCATCAACTGTTCATCAACATCCACTGATACCAATCAACATCATTATCATCACCGCCGACTTTGAAGCCCCTCGAGTTGTTTTGCCAGAATCGAGCGGCGACTTTTGTTGTAATGGCCCTCAAGTGAGGGCATTTTTGGGTAGCCCCAAACACTCGAGCCAGCGAATCGCGAACCGGAACTCCGCAAAAGTGTTTTTCTCTTTGCATTTATTGTTTTTTTTTTATGATTCTACCTTTAATAGCAGACAGGCGCGGAGATCCGAGATTACTTCTCACGAGGGGAAAATGGGGAACAGAAATGCGGATCTCTTTAGATCTAATATTAGAAAACTGTCAAACAATGTTATAGGCTAAAAAAATCTTTATGAGGAATACATTTTTGGATTATAAATTAATAGGAAAATATAAGGCATAGAATTTGTATTTGTCCCTTAGATTTTCTTATTTTAAGCCATTTATTAAATTGAAAAAGTATTAAAAGATACATACTTATAAATCTATAAAAAAAAGCACTAAGAAATCTGTCTGTTTAGAATTTAGTTAAGTGAATATAGTCCATTGATTTTGAATTTATCTAAGCAAAGTAGAACTTCAATTGAAACCCATATACACTAAAACTTTCTCTTACAAAACTATATCTATAGAAAATCTCGAGTGTGCATATTGCTGCATGTCAGATGTAAAGGACAACCCGAAAAGCTTGACCCCTTCTCACCCCTTTTTCTCCGCCCCTGTTCTGCCGTTGCTATAATTAGTTAAGCCGCAGCATTTTGACCAAGTGCCAAGTGGCATGTACTACCAATATGCACCACTCAGCGGGTTGCAGACCCAAACCGAGACCACAGCCTCACCCACCGAAAAGGGAACAACCACAAAAAATAAAAGGGGGTGCGCTGGCGGGGGCCTTGAGGGGTTCGAAAAACTATTCCAAAAATTGTTTGCTGGTCGCGTCTGCCTTTGGCTAATTAAACGGCCAACGCAAACACAAACACAAACCAAAAAAAAAATCTCAGCCAAGTGAAAAAAAAAAATCGGCAAAAAAGGCAACGAAGAAGTTGAACAGAAAACAATTAAAGCCGAGCATGGAATGTTTGTCGGAGTGTGAGTGTTTGATGGGTTGGCTATAAAACCAAATCGCCTCAGCGGATTCACCAGCAGTTGCCGTTCGAGCGTTCCCAGATCGAGAATTCGCATCCAACTCTTCTATATTATTTTTTTCAAGTGACCTGTGATCTGTGATTTGTGAAGCGAGAAAATGTTGCGACCTCTGTTGACCGTTGCCGTTCTGCTTTTTGGCCTTTCCTCGATCGTTTTGGCCGGGCGTCTCAGCCAGCGCTACTTGCCCGCTCCGCAGGCCAGTAAGCTGCACTACCACGGCGTCAGCGGGCAAGGACACGCTCGTCCTGGCGCAGGACACGCCATCGGTGGTGCTGGCTCTGGATTCCAGCGCCAGCAGCAGCCGCAGATCCCCATCGTGAGGAGCGACTACCAGAGCGACGCCAATGGCAACTACAACTTTGGGTAAGTTGGCAAGGCTTTAAAAAAATCAAAATTAAAATCTTCAAAACAAAATTTTAATAACTCTTAATTTCGAAATGTTTTAGACAAAAAAAACATGTTTTTTTTATTCACATGGTTTTCAAATATTTTAACCCCTTTATAAGGGATATTATTAAAAACAGAGATCATTTTTAACTTTCTATAAAACTTGACAAAAAAAAAGTACATCAAACTATTTTTAATCGCTATCAGGATTGTTTTTATAAGTTTAATTTTTTATTGGCTCGTATAATAATGGTTCTTTTTCAAGAAGAAAGAACCAAAACAAATCGAACCAAGAAAGCTAACACATCTATAGATCTTTATGTTTTTAATAAAACTAACTCAAGATAGTAGGATAGTATTGAACTGCTTCTTAAATTATGTATTTTCGAAAAAAGAATAACAGAAATCATTAGAAACATTTAAAGATAAAGAAGCCAAACTTTTTAAATTATATACAATCGATAGTCCTTAAATGTAAATTTCGTTTTAATCAGATTAATTTCAATTGAATATTATGTTTTGAAATAATAAACAATTGTATTACAGTTTCGACACTGGCAATGGCATCCACCGCGATGAGACCGGTGAGTTCCGTGGAGGCTGGCCCCACGGATCCCTGGGTGTCCAGGGATCGTACTCCTACACCGGAGACGATGGCAAACAGTACACGGTGAACTACACGGCGGACAAGAATGGATTCCATGCCGAGGGAGCCCACCTGCCCGTTTCTCCATCGGTTCCCGCTGCCCCAGCTGGGTGAGAATTTAAATCACTATATCTAATATAAATCTTTAATATCTTATTAAATTCAAATATTAGACGCAGCTCTTATGGAGCTGGTGGCTACCGAGGATCGTCGCACATCGCTGCTCCTGCTCCTGCTACCCGTTATCTGCCCCCAGGATATCGCCAGCGTAGACACTACTGAAGGATATCACCGATGGAAAGGACAGCCAAACGATAAGCAATCGAATTTTTGTACTATAAATTTCAATAAATTGAAGCCCTAATTGGAAAATAAACAAGTTTTCCCTTTTTTTCTTTCGGCAAAATCAATTCCTATTAAATAATATTAATATTAAAGAGTTACATCTATGTTTTCTTCAAAACAAAAATATTTTCCCCACTTAAATCGCTGTCATCCAGTATTTGGATATACATATTAAATTCGCACCCATAAAAATACGAAAAACAAGTAACCGCCTTTGTAGCTAATTTAAGTGAACAACTTCTGGGCCCCGCCCACAAAATGCTGCCAAAAAGAACATATAGCCACGCCTCTTTGCTGTTTCCCTCTTTTATTTTTTGTTTGTGGACTTTGACTTTTGGCCAAAAACCGAAATAAGTTCTCAATACAAACAGAGATTTGTTTGGAAGGGGTGAATTAATATGCAGTTAAGCTGTTAAAGTCTGCAATCAAAACAAGCTCAATCCCCATTTTGGCCACGTTACTAACTTTTTTCGCCCCTTTCATGCTAAAAGTCCCAACTTTTTGGCCATTGTCGCCTGGCATTAATCATAAGTAAAGCCAACTTTTCCCAACCGTCTGAGGCTCTGTTTATTTTTGTCTCCAAGTCTAAGCTTTGAGTTAAAGCCACCATCAAGAAAGAAAAATGTTGAGAGAAAAAGGTGAGAAAAATAAAGTTTTCTATTGCACTTTACGGTAATGGTATATTTTTTAAATTTAGTTTAGGGTTAATATATGTATTTGCTAAAATTATTAAAGCTATATAAGAATATTTAATCTCGGAATGTTAAATAACTTTAGTGTTTCATTTCCATTTTCAATGAGTTAATGTTCGGGATCTTAAACCATTTTGTTTTGATAAAATTTAAAAATAATGTTTCAGCAGTTTAATTTTTTCAACACTTAGTTCCCTTGCTCTTAACTTTCCACCAAAACCTAATTTAGATCGTAGCAAAACAAAATATGATTTCTTATTATTTGAAAACTTGTGGAAAAATGTGAGAGGAAAAACCCCAAGCAGAAGGGAATAAAAAAACGTCAAGCGCTGAGCCTTTCACAGCCTTTTCAAATGTAAATGTCCCCAGTTTTCCCAGCGCTTTTCCTTATTTTTCTCCCATTCCACTCTTTACTGTCAAGTTTCCTTCTCGCATTGTCTCTGAACTTTCTTCTCTGTTCTCTCGTTTTTTTTCGGAATTGTTTTCGTTGATTTTTCCCAAGCTATTCTCGTGTCTTCGTCTTTTTCTAACCGTCGCTTGGTCGTTTAGCATTCGCATTCCGTTTTAGCATTAATTAAAATTACACAGAATTGCTCGGGGGCATCAGGGGGATTCCCGGAATGAAGAGGAAGGAGCAAGTGGGTGGTGGTGGGGCGAAGGAAAAAGGATGTTCCCATAAATTAAAGGCGCTTATGAATTTTATAAATTATTTTCCATGTTGCGGCCTCGCTCGGCAAGATGAACAATTGCCGGAGATGAGGGGAAATTGCAATTGGGAGAGACTGGGATTAAGGAAATGCACAAGACAAAATTATCGTTTCAGTTTGAGAGATTTCAACCTCAAAACAAAATACATATTCGAATAAATTACTTATTTATCATGTTTCAAGTTAAAATGTTATTTATTTATTTACATACTGTTTGCTTAAAGCTACATATTATATGATTGGTTATGAAAGCCAATTTATTATTTTAAATATTTGGGAACCTCTTAAACGTAGAATTCTAGTCAGACAATAAGTTCTCTAAATGTTTTCACAATATATGTATAGATAGTTGAAAGTTCTCCCCATTCTGAAAATCTTTTTTTAAGTGTACAAGGACCGGCCATTATGAACAGGCATCGTCCTGAAAAACGCCCGAAAGTAGGCAGCGCTTATTGAATTTCATTAACATGTGAACTGGGTCTTCGAACTTCGATGGGCGCGAGGGGGTGGAGGGTGGTAAAATCAGAGGTTGTCGGAGGTGTGGCAACTGCAATCATTTGCATGCATGTCTGTGCATGTTTAACTACACTTCCACCCCCTCCAACCTCAATGAACTCACTTAATTTTATGCCAAAACAATGACACGCCATAAATTTAAACGGATTTGGCGTTGTGCCGCGAGCAAAAAACGAAGAAAGAACCGGAGAAGCAACCCTTAAACGATGGAAGGGGAAGGGTGGCTTGAGCGGTACAGGGGTGTCGTTTTTAGGGGGGATCGGGGGGTACTGACATTTGCCAGGGGCAAACACACTTTCGAACAAGTTTTAATGCCAAAGAAAATGCTAAAATCATACAGAATGGCATGAGTAAACAGCGAACGCCTTCAGGTGGAAAATTTCACCTTCGAAATGAATGTTCGGCGGTGTTAACAATCATTTTGTATAGTGTCATATTTGTACAATTATATGTTCCCTTTTAAACCTTTTTTAAATTTAAGTTTCATTTATGAAATCGTTGATAATATCGTTGATAAATAAATGAATGAAATGTTTACCAATAATATTTGACTTATTCACAATTAATATAACCAATGATATTATACACGTTTTCAAGCACTTTTGCACTTAATTTGATAAGGAATAACATTTAGTTTATGGACAACTTTTACGAGAAAATCTGTTATCTAAGATATTAAAGCTTGACCACAAGTGAACTTAAACTTAAGTTAGTTTTTAGCACATGTGAATATAATTGCGTGCCAATTCGCCCCTAGGAAAAATTGAGAAAACAGAACCTTGCGTTTGTGTCAGTCAATTTCAATGTTAATCCACCTGCGTTTCGATGTGCTACGCTATGTGTGTGTTGATATTGATATGGCAGTTGCACGCACATTTTCCCCACTTTTCCCGCAATTTTCCTCCGCTATTTCCCCCGCCGCCCCCTTAAGCAGTTACATTATTTAGCCTTAGCCAAAGCCCCCCGCTTTTCCAGCTTGGGTGAGTCATCTTCATTGGCAATGCGAAAACGTTGTTACCCGTCCCAGCGGACATCATTTTCATTAAAATTTTAATAGTCTGTGTGTGTGTGTGTGTGTGTGTTGGTCTCCCCCTTTTCCCCCACTTCTTGGCGCCCACTGTGGCTAACACGTAATATTATAAATTTAGCAAGTTATGGAGTTAACTAAAGTGCCTTTTGTTCAAGCAGAGGAATGAACTTTTACTCGGTTTTATTTTGCATTTAAAATATGGTTTTCCATGAACTCCTCGTAGTAATATTCAGTAATTTAATTTTTGAACTTTGACTATTCCAAAACTTTTTAAAATTGAATAAAAAACTATAAAACTTTGTAATAAGCGCAAGGATTTCGGAAAACTATAAATCTTTACGCACATACCGAAAAAAATTCCCCACTCTTTTCAATTCGTTTCGGATGGAAATAAATCGAAGCGAAATGAAAAAAAAAGAAACAAGAAATTCCAATAAACTAATTTGCACAAAGCGTCGAGGAAACTTTTGGCAGCTGGTTGACGGGAGACCTTATGGACCAAAGGACGATCTCCAATCTCCTTAAGCCCCCTCCCCTCCCCTCCCCCAGATTCGCCCCCCTTTCACACCCCAAAAACTTTTACCAAGTATTTGCGTATGAATTTTAAGCAGCTGGAACAAATGCAGAGCCAATAAAAGGGATAAAATTGAAAAGCAGCCAGCACACGAAATCCCCAACCCCAATATGCATATATCGTATATAGTATGTGTATATCCCCCTGCACACTTGTATGCGTGCGTATATATCATTTGCATATGTGTGCGTTGGCCACCGAGGGACTCGCGTTAACTGCTAACGGTATTCCTCGGGTCCTCGAGCTCAGCGTAATTGTAACTGCTCCTCTCAACTCACTCAACCCAAACCCCAAGCATTTGGAAAATATAAAATTTCCGTACATAAAAGCGAGGAGCATCTTGTTGCGTATTTGGTATAATAAATTAGCATCGCGTTTCGCATTATTGACTGGATTTTGAATAATAACACACAAAGGACCTTTCGACCCGCAGGATAAAGAAGGTGCCGCGCTCGAATCCACGGGATCCCATGTAACTGTAGACCGGCGACAAATGGAGAATCCGAATGGGGCAACGGGAACCCAGGCAGGACCACTAACGAAAGTGAACAGTTTTGCACTGTGAGAAATTTAAATCAACGTCTAAGCCCTTAAAATTTAAGCGCTTGCAGGAGAGTACAGCTTTTGAGGCCAAAATTTATATATGTACATATATATAATTTTATATATATTTAAGATTAATCATATTATATTACGGTTGTAATCACATTATATATTATTGAGATTAAGATAATATCTACGTATGGTTTATATTAAATAATAATAACATGAGACATAAATACATGTTATACAATTTTTAAAAGTAATCATTTACATTTGAAAGCTTCTTGCAATAACTTACTGCAGCTTTTCTTGCAGTGCATCGCGCATCACCAGCACAAAGGCACTGCCATGTAATACATTCCAAATGCTGCAGTGAAGGAGGAGGAAAGTCGAGATGTGGGGAGCATAGAGAATATCCTGCTGGTGTTTGGGGCGTTTCACACAACTCAGCACAATTGCGCACATAAATTTAGTGCGCCGAATAATGCGGCGGGCGGAGTGAAGTAAAGTGTAGTGAATGGCACACTCAAGTCAACGGCATGACGTCGCCGATTTCACCGAACGGTGGATAAAAAACTTAAATCTGGTGTATTCTAGTAGGGCATTATATAATCCCACGCATCAGATAATTGGAAAAGAAGTTAAAAGAAGGATATAGGTGTAAAACCCAGAAGAGCCTTTAAAATATCTTTATCAATGGGATCAATTGAAATTTCAGGTAGGAAGCAAATTCATCAAACTGATATTTCGTTCCATTTACATTTAGTCTGTGTTTTAATAATCAAATTTAATCAAAAATCGAGATATGTACATAAACTCTAAGTTCATTTATTGCTTTAAAAAAAAAGCAAATTTGTATTGCTATTTTGATAGATATATTTATTTGAGTATTTCCAACTAAAACCTAAGTTCCCATAATTGTATGCAATGAATCAGTTAAAATCTAGGCCATCAAAAGTGTTTCAAGCAAAATTGAAACTTGCAATGCAAATAGAATTTAATAAGCCATGTTCCGCCAAGCATTAGCACTTAGAAAACTTAAAGTTTGCTATTCCGAAAGTTTGTTTTGCATAATCTGGAGTGAGTCCCCTGTTCCCCAGCCAATATTCCCCCAGTTCCACTGTGCGGAGAAGAGTTTTCTCCCTTCCCACCCCGCAATTCTCGCTGGGTTGTAATTTTTTGGAATTGTTTGTTTCTCTTTTTTAAAGGTTTTTGCGTGTACAACTTGAGATTTCTCTCATGTGTGTTTGTATGTAGTTGTGGAACGCCCACTTTTCCATACATCTTTGCCCCCTTTTACCTTCTTTGGCCCCCCTTCCTCATTCCCCTTCCTATCCACCCAGTAACCCCCTTTTTCACCTCTTTCCCCAGCCCCCATTTTCCAGACTCATTTGAATGTATTACAACAAGTTGAAAATGTTGCAGAAAACTCTCCAAGCTAAAAAGCGCCCAGAACGAATGCTGCCGACATGAATTATTTAGATCGCCAACTGGGTTGAGGATGCAAACCACCCCCCCTCCCCTCCCCCCTACCCCTTAGTTTTCCCCTATCCCCCTTCTGGCGACGCCCATGTGTGTTTGATTAAAGTTGTAGGAGAAATAGGGGTAGGTAAGCGTTAAGCTCCTTGAAGTTGAAGCAAGTTTTTGGGTACTTAGGTCGGAAATTAACTCGTTTTATTGCGCCTTTTATAGAACTATCCAAGGTGAAGTTTTTCGGGGATGGAGGGGTGGGGGTTGTGGTGGGGGTAAGGGAAAGCTACTTAAGACTTTTCCAGCAAGTGAGCCTTCATTTCTCGCAGATTGCTGACTGACAAGGCAATTCCACGTTATTGCCAACAATAATTCACACGCAACAAACGATGGGCGTTGGGTGTTTTCTGGGTTCGAGGGGGTGGATGGGTGGCTTGGGGGGTTAACGGGGGTGGCAATCAACAATTGTTGCATGAATAAAGCGACAAGCGGACAGGACATTGAGGCTAATGATTGCCAGCGCACACAGATCACTGAGCAATCTTCGGTGGGGAAGGCTGCCAGTGCTCTAATGCTCAAAATTGTGCCATCAAAAATAATGCGTAGGCGGGTAATTTCAACCCCCCACCTCCCAGAATCCTTCCCCCTTTCTCCCCCTCCGAATATCAGGCACTTGCTGGCCCAAGATAACGCATTAGATGATGGAAATTATCCGGGACAATGGAGGGAAAGCCTGTCGACAGGCCATTGTGGTTCTCCTGCTGAAACTGGAGACAGGGCAAAAAGAGGTGGAGAAAGTGGGGGAAAATGGAGGGGACTGTGGGGGAATATCAGGGGAGAAAGTGGGGTTGACTTGCCGTGGGCCAGAGGTGAACATTGACAAATGAAGGTCCTCAAATAGCGCAGAAATTGAAATGAGGCACTGCCTCCCTTGGCCATGAAAAAAAAACACTTGGGAATTATACGAATAAAAAATTTTTCAACAGTCTGTGCACTCTGCAAGTTCGGGAAAAGTCATTTGTAAAGCTCAACTTACATTTAATGATCTTATTTTTAATTACTTGTAGCTAAGGACCAACAATACTTTGAAAGATAAGTAAATCATTACCTTAATCAATTAAAATTCAGGTAATTTCACTATTTTTTTTAATATATGGATTTGTTGTTAAAATTTTAAATACTAAATCCAAAATAAATTCAGTCCCTTTACTTCAACTAAACACAAATATTATCATTCCTCATCCTAACACAACCTCCTTACATTATCTATTAAATAAATTGATAAAACGAAAAAAAAACTGCAACCTGATTTCCATCATGTTTAGGTCAATCAAATTTGAATAAAGTTCAATCAAAGTCAAATTTAATTCCCCAAAGTTAACCCACCGAAACCCCAAAACCCTCAAATGAGGTGTGCTCGGGATTATGGAAGCAATTTGGAAGTTTTTATTTTGATTGGGTTGAACTACTTAAAGTGCCATGAAAATTTTCAAATGCCATTTGTTCTCCTTCCCGTTGGCTCCATTTTACTGTGAGTTTTCATTTTTTTTTAGCATTATTTTGTTGTTTCACTCATATTGGGGAAAATCGAATTGACAACGACAGCCACAAGTGGTTGTTGGGTTCTTGGGGAGTGAGGCGAGTGGGGGAAACCATCGAGGGACCGCAGACTCCATCAGACTACTGATTAGTGAGAGTGCCCCTCACGTGGGCGGTGTCACTGGGCGCCTGGGGGTGCATAAATCCCGGGTCCCTCCCCCCAGCAGATTGCCGGATCCGTCTAGCACACACCTGATAAATCCATCAAAATCCGGAAGCCTCAGCAGTCGGCTGGAGAATTGCACTCCGCGGAGTTGGCGAAAAATGAGGAAGTGGAGGTTACCCTTTCCTTTTTGGGGTATTTCAAAGTACATATTTAACATACATTTATAGTCGTATTCATTAAAAAATAGTTACAGTTCGCGATTAACAGCTAACATATGCATAAACAAACAAAATACATATATTTCATTGCGTTTATATCTTTTTTTTAACTAAAAAGACTTTTTCCTATTGATTAAGATATTCTATAGTATAAAAGTTTTAAGGATTACCAACCTTTTTTTAAATAGTGGCTAAAAATATTGTATAATTTAGCTGAATATTGTTTAAAAAACGAGCACAGCACAAAATTGTAATTTAATTGCTTAGATAATTTTTTAAGGACATAATAAAACATTTAAATAATAATATATTGGTAATAGTTTGGATAAAAATTTAATTAATCCAAACATCACTTATTATGAAATATGCAAATATTATGGTATAAATATTTTAAAAAAGAGGTATTCGAATGCTAAAGAAAATATCTCCTGATTTAGAAGAGTATTCCCATTTCAACCACAGCGTTGAAACTCATCTGGCATCCAAGTTGTCCTGCTTATTTATTTATTGAGCGAATTGCGGCAGGTGAGGCAAAGTTTCGGATTGGACTTCCGCTTTTGGATTGGGATTGGGATTGGGGCTCGGCATCGCCGGGGGTTCGCTGTCCACGCAGCTTATCGAATCGGACAGCTGACAGTTGTACAAGCTCACAGGACCAACTACAGGATATTTGGATGGATGGATGGATGGACTGGATGGATTGGATGGATTGGAGGGATTGGATGGACGAAGGGATTGGAGCTTTCACGGGGGGATGGGAGCGATGATGAGGCAGCGAGACGGCGATTTGAAGTGCTCTGCAGACAGAAACCGCAGCGTACTTAGACAACGTTTGTCAGCTGATAAATGGTTGCCTGTCACTTAGCCGCGTTCTTGATGGAGTACTAAGCCAAACATCCAAGCCATCCAACCACCCGGTGGAACCACCCATTCGACCCACACTCGCACCACCAGACAATGTCGCCCGGAGGCGTGCTAAAAAATAAAACAAAGTTGAAGTCCCCCGAAACGAGAAATCGCATTAGCGAGCCTGAGGTTAAGGTTGGATTTCGGATTTTAGTTTCAGTTCCAGCCGAGAGTCTTTGCTTAAAGTTGAGGTGAAGAATGAGTGGCCGCCGGCCAAGTTCTGGATGGAAGTGCTATTTTTCATAAGCCCTAAAATGCCCTCGTAAAGTTTTCTCTACGAAAAAGGCATAACTCAGAAATAAAACACATTTTAAAGGCATAGCTAAAACCAAAAGTTGTAAAACGTATCCCCTTATAAATTTAGCAGAATTCGTTAGTGTTTTTCTTGCTTATAATATTATACCTTGCGACATGTATAAATAAAGCATACATTTAAATAATAATTAGATACAATTTTCAATCAACAAGTTTCCATAATACATTAGTTGTAAAGCATTAAGAATAATTATGAATTGTCTATTTAGTTCGTACAAGAGTAATCAGGACTCTTTAAATATTTTGTTTGAAAAACACCCTTGCAATTAAATTACCTTAAAAATGTTCAAGTTAACCGCTCTTTACTTCAGGTAATTGACTTGAGTCCACCTGCCCGAGGCTTTTAGTACTTTTTCTGGAGCCTTATTAAGCAGTGACTTTAATTATGTTTAAATATTAATTAAGATTGGCCCGAGGTGCTGGCCACTTGCTGCATCCTCCTTTGCCGCCAGGTTCAATTTCAATTTAACTTTGTTATCGGCTGTGGCTCCCCGGGGCCTCAGCATTTTCGGCTGCCAAATCAAATTCGACGCCCAATTAAAATTCAATTTGTTGCGCGCCATTAATTAGATTCAATCCCCCTTCCCCTCCCCTTTTTCTAGCCCCAATGATGAGTGGATGGGCGGGGAGGCAGGGGGGGAGATTGAACTTTCTTCTTATAGAAACGAACGCCACCTGAGACTTCCTCCCCCCATTCCCCCTTTACCATCCATTATTATTCTATTACCCACCCAAACGATCTTTATGCAATTCCGCCCACTTCCTTTGATGAGTCTCGCCGCCACCTGCAGCGAGTGGCGGCCCCACTAATTAGTGTGGCCGACGCTGCTGATGATGCTGCTTTTCTTTCGGACACTTCAATTAGGTGTAATCTATGCGCATAAATTAATGGGGCATGTGCAACATGTGGTGGTCGTGGCAACACACACACAAAAAATAGATTGATTAAGTTTAAATTAATTGAATAATTGACTTATAATTGAATTAGTACCACAAAGTACGTTTTTAAAGGATATAATTTTCAAAACTCTTCTTTTACATCTTTAAAAATTACTATATTTCCACAAAATCTTATAATTTAGTATATGAATATTTAAAAGTAATGCAGTATGTACCAAAACCTAATAATACATTTTTTCCACTGTAGCGTCCCTGAACTAATCCTCTGGTCTGACTCACCTGCTTCTGCAACGTGTTGGAAAGCTCCTCCAGACACTCCTTGCGCTCGAATCGCTCGAACTTGAAGCTGTTGGAGCGGTACAGTTCGTTGTCCTCCCGCCGACGATTGCGGCACAAACGGCGGGTAATTATGTTGCCACCACTGCCACTCAGACGGGGTCTGCAATCGAAAGTAATCAAATTAACTTGGATTAGTGAAGGGTATTAGGATTTTGTTAGAGGGATACAAAAAATAACTACAACCCACGCCAGTGTTTAATACACATGCCTTAGCTATACTATTAAAAACGTGATCTACATAATTTGATCTTTCTACAAAGCGACTTCGTAACTCACCCTAAATAAATTTTCATATTTTTGTAAAACCCTTTTAAAATGGTCCTATGATTTAACACACGTTGCTAAGCCATCAAGGCAAACACATAGTTAGATGTTACATTTTTAAGGTAATCATACATTTAAGCAAAAATTTAAAGTATGTAATTCCAACTTCTAATATAAAATGCGCCTAATGCTAATTTAGATACTCCAACTGAAAGTGAAAAACTTTAGCTCTCATTTTTTAGGTCGCTATCAATTTGATTTCTCTGATGACAGAGGCTTTCCCCAATCCCCCAAACACATTAGCAATACAAAAAAAGGGCAACACGGAAAAGGATGAAACTCCACAGACCGCAGGGGCGGTTAAAAAAGTGGGCGGATGACATCGGAGCTCGTTAGCTGGCGCTTCATTAAAATTTCACACATTCGGCGGTAAAGTAAACTCTGCTCCATTTACCTTATTATGCACGTCCTCCGATGTCTGATGTGATGTTGGCTTAAAGCCTCAAAAAGTTAAGCCAGCGCCCAGTGGAACGGCGACCCACTTTGCATTCGGGTTCGTTCAACGCCCGCGGCCACTTCAATGGCTTAAAACTCAGTTGCAACCGAACTCCACCGCCCAACTTAACCGAACCACAACAAAAACAAATGAAAAACTTTGAGAGGGCGGAAGAAAATGTGGTGAAAAATGGGTAAAGAAAAAGGGAAAGGCCGAGGGAGTAGGGAAAAGGGGGGCAGCGGACTGCAAAAAAAAAAAAAAAAAAAACGGAGCCAACCCGGTGAAAAACTCTGTGGCAAACAAAAGCACAAGCCACTGGAGCAGACTCAAGTGGCAGCCACTTGGGCACTCCAACTTACTGGTGGAGCTCCAGTTGCAACTCCACTCGCAGGCTGCACTCGAAAAAAATAAGTGATGGCAGGCAACCCTCTACTTATCCAAGTACGAAGTACAAAGGTATTATACCGACTAAAACATTGATGTCAAAAACCACACAAATAACCACATTAAAAAATTGTTCACAGCTTAGTTATGGTTCAAAACTTTCAATTAAATTCAACAAATAATTACTAGCTTATAATTTGCATAGGCAAATAGGAGTATGAATCAATATTAATATCTAGGCTAAGGTAAACATTTTTTGATCGGAAAAACAGATCAGGACCAGAACCCATTCTTAAAGCTTTTTAAAATTCTTTAGAATTCAATATTGTTTTGATAATAAATACAAGTCCTCAGGTAAATATGAGGTCACCATTTAAAATCTTAGGAAATTGTATAGTTTATTAATTTATTGAACTCTACAATTTTTGATAAGAATTACAGATTGTAAATAAATCTTGTATTTTAAAGATTAAAAAAATGTGTTTCTTTTCTATATATCTATATTTCTATCTATATTTTATGTATTGATCTTAAGGTCTCAAAGTCACTAAGTAGTTCCTACCTTATTTCTTAGTTTGGCTAGGACCTGCCTTTTTTTCAGTGCAGCAGTTCTACTCACCCGCAGGGCTTGCAGTGCGTCATGTGCAGATCCCAGTTGAGATGGAAGTTGAACATGCGCAACTTGGCCACCGCCCGCTGTCGCAGCGAGATGTCCGGCGGTCCTCCAGATCCGGATCCGGCTGCTCCTCCTCCTCCACCGCCACCGCCACCTCCTCCTCCTGCTCCGCCACCACCACCACCCGAAGTGGTGGGCTGTCCGGGTCCAGATCCTCCAGATGGTGCCAGTGCCGCGACTCGCTGGGGATTCGGGTACATCATCACTGTGCCGCTGGGCGCCGAAGTGGCAAAGAGACGCCTCGAGGAGCCGCCTCCGCCGGAAACGCCTCCGCCGTGATGGTGACTGGGACGATAGTGCTGGTGCTCCTTCAGGGTGTAGAAGCCGCCCGAGGAGCTGCAATGAAGAGCGAGTCAAGGCCTCGTTAGAGTCCCGCACACACCACCTCTGAATGGCATTGTCTGGGAGCATTGAAAATAAAGAGGACCATCGCATAAGGGCGTGCTAGAAAACTATCTTGAGCTCTGAGTCGACTTTGGAAGGCGATGGTACAAATAAAAGCTTCCTTTTTGGGAAGTTAGCTTTTAAAGCCTCTTAGAATTTTCGGGACTACTACATTGTATGGAAAAATATACTAAGCATTTTTCTTAAATTCAAATAAAATAGCAAACTTAAAAAGAAAACAGATTTTATTTCTTTTGTTAAAGAACAATCTACCGGAAACTTTTTACTTTAATTTTACTTTTATCTCGGATTGAAAATGTTTAATTTCTTGTTTTCTGGTGATAAGTTTAAGGTCAGATTTCTGGAGACTATCGGAACACCTGGAAAATCTAACTGAGGAGTCAAAAAATTGACCATTACTAAAATGAAAAACGTATAAGCAGTTTTTTTTTAAATTCATTAGATTAAATTTGATTAGATAATATATGTTTAAAAGTTAGTTCTATAAATATCGGACTACTATATTATATAGCTGCCACAGAAACGAAAATAATAATGGAAAAGTCAACAAAACTAGTAAAGAGCCTTATCTAGTCTAGTCCTATTCCACATTTAAATTCTAATTGCAAGGGTATATAAGCCTCGGCTCGCCAAAAGTGGCTACCCGTTTCTTCCTGTTTTCCAACTTACGACATGTTATCGCCGCCGGGATCTCCGACGCAACTGGTGACCGCACCCATGCCGCCGCCGCGTCTCGGGCGACTCTTGCGCCTGCGTCGCCTGCGGCGCTCCGAGGAAGCGGTACGTGTCTGCAGGACATGCTGGCTGAGCGACTTGTTGCAGCCGCCGCCACTGCTCGCCAGTCGTCGTCCGGTGGCGTTGCTGCCGCCGGTGGCAGTGATGGATCCCACACCGCCGGAGGCCAATCCTTGGACGGCGACCACCAGCTGACCGTCGCCGAAACCGCCAGCCGAACTGATGGTGTCCGTGGATTGGGGCGTGGCTGCAGTGCCACCGATGGCGGCACCACCGGCGCTTCCATCGCCACCTGGTCCTTGCTGTTGTTGCGATTTGTTGGTGTTGCGCAAACTGTGGTTCACTTTTCGCCACATGCGCTCCATCTTAAAGATTCTGCTGGGTGGTTCGTTGGTTATTGAAATTTCGGGGGTTTTGGTGAAGTTTGTTGGAATATCTTTGGTTAGCTTAATATAGATTCCATTACATTAATTTGTACAACCAAATTGTTTTTAAAAAGGGTCCATTAAAGTTAGTGCCTCATGCAATCCATCTGAAGAATCTACTGCAATCCTTTTGGTGGTTCGTTGACGGTGATTGGATACGTTTTTGAATAATATTTTTATAATTGAATATACTTCTTTTAAAACATTATATTATTTAATTGTTTCATTAATGTATTTACTTTTTCTTTAAGCCAAAACTCAATATTAGTATTAACATTTGTTGTTGTGCGTTTTTAAGTTGACTCAACAATATTCATTAATTATGGTTTAATGATTTGTGCGTTTTGAATTGTGTAAATTTGTGATCCGACAATAATGTAATTGATTCTTGTATAAGTATTTTATTTTACGATAGCTATAAACGCTTTCTTTGATTTTTTTGTTTAGTATGCTATACAATTATGGAAGCCGTAGATCTAAGATACATTCGTTTTGTGTAAACCACAACATTAATTAAAGTTTGTATTTATTGTGGTTCCTAGAATAGTTGATGATTAAAAGTAATTTAAGTTACAGTTTTTGTGCGAGTTTCAGTGTTTTTAGTTGAATTTACCGGAATATATAGATAGAATTATTGTTAATAATTTTGGTAAGCACTTTGTTTTATTTTTTGAAAAGAACATGATTTTTTCAAAATTGTTACGTTTATGCATTTGCTGGAATGTTTTAAGTAGTTGATTTATAACAGCTAATTGTTAACTCTTTCGTTGTTGAAGTTTTTGGATTTCAATCGATATTGATGTTATCGCAAATGATTGTTGTTTGTGTTTGGAAAATTTGTTTACTCTTTTAATATCTTTTAGAGTTTGCTGTTAATGGTTTTTGTATATGGTTAATGTATGACATCGTTGTGAGTTGTGGTTGAAGATTGTTGTATTTGGCAGTTTTCGTACGTTTTTATTCTGGTTGCTCTTATTGTTTATTATTTATTGAATTCTTTTTTTTTTTTTTTTTTTTTTTTTTTGCACGGTGTCCGTTTAATATAGCTTGTAACTTTTTTTTAAAGTAATTTATTCATTTGAATTGGATTATCCTTTCTGCTATGGGAAATTCAAGCTAGCTACGAGGTTTGAGTGCTTTTCTCTGTCTCTTTTTGGCCACACTTCTTCGTCTTTGGCCGATTCTTCTTGGGTTCTTGGGGATTTCCTCCTCTTCGCTTTGTTGTTGTTAACTTATTGTTTGTAGGCGGCAGTGTTTAGTTGCGGTTGCGGTTGTTGTTCTTATTGTTGTTGCTCGATTGGCTTTCATCTGGTTTACCTTGGATCTCGCACAAATACACAAAAGGACACTCATTCGATTATACAAAAAAGCTACTCAGCAGGAACTATGCATTGTTGTTGTTATTATTTCGATTGTTGCTGTAGTTGTTGTTGTTGTGGTCTGCGAATAGCGGAAGTAGAAAACAAAGAGCATGAATTGAGTGTAGAACTCCTCCACACGTGTGTGTATGTGTTGCTGTGTGTTTGAGTTCCTGATTGTGTGTAATTGTGTGGGTGAGTGGCCTGCACTTTTAGGTTAAGCACGCGCTTCACTCGTTTTTTGTTGTTATTTGTTTTATTTGTTGCCTAAGCCGCTCTATTTCTGCCCCTTTCTTGCTGTTGTTGTTTTTCACATTGCACTTGTGAATGAATGACGAATTTTTTCCACCGCCTCTCACTATCTATCTTTCTCTCCCTCTCTCTTGCTGACTTTTGCCCACTCTCTTCTCGTCTTGCTTACTCACAAGTGTTACGAATTTTTTTCATCGTTATCAGCACACTTTAAGAAGTTCTATAATCTTTTTTCACATTCACCATCTCAATTTTTTTGCACACAATTTGTGTAATTTTGCGTTATTTATTTGCCAAGCAGCGTGGAATATACACTTATTAAGTGCTGCGAATTCCGCAACTACAACGCAGTTGTTGTCTCGTTGTCAGGTTGTTGCTGTAGTTGTTGTTGCTAAAGGAACGTTGTTGCTGTTACCGTTAGCGCCTGGCTGGCTGCTGGCACGTTGAGTCAACATCATTTTAGTTCACCCGAAAAAAAAGCCAAAAAATAACAGGGACACTGTCTCTTTGCACGGTGGGGCAGACATAAGAGTTTCTTTTGTCAGTTTTATGTTCATCTTCCGTATATTTATAATTTAACTTAAACGAAAAGTAACTACCAATTAGGTCCTTAAGACTGAACTTTTTTGTTATGAATTAACTTTAAATCTTTAAGATATTAAGGTGTGTTCAAATGTTTGTTTCGAAGCATAGAGATTGAAAAAAAAGGACTGTCAATGTCCACTGTGCAAAGCAGAGAGAAAGAATAGCGGAAGAGCGACCGTGGGAGAAAAGCTGGAGAGAGAGTGCGCTCTTGGCGCTAAGGATGTAGATGTAGTCGTGCGTGGGCGCAAGCCAAGTTACGGTATCCAGTCCCGTACTTTTTGCGGCTGTATTTGCAACGGTGTCCTGTGTATAACACAAACACATTGCGCTGCATAGGAATCTAAAGAGAGAGCAAGAACGAGAGCGGAAGCTGAATGCTTAACCGTTTTGATATATTTTGTTGCCTATATTTTAGGGCCACCAGAACACACTTAAGGAATTTATTAAAATACCGGTTAAAAAATGGGAGAACACACAGATTAATTGGCTAACGGTTAACGATGTACGGTTAATCGAAATGGAAAATCCACAGGAATCCACATTATTTTATCACACAAGAGCAGAGGCCGCTGCCCGTTTATTGGCAACGCGCACGCACAAATAACGGAGCCACTGTGGCCAAAATCAGCGGTAAAAGCAGCAACGGCTGTCCAAAAGCAGCGACGCCGGCAGCGATAGCAGCAGCTGAGAGCCGAAGATACGAAGTCCTAGTCGAAGAAGAACTCGCATCCGAAGCTCAATCGCTTTACTTTCGCTGTGTGAGTGAGCAGGTCGTTAAAATGTAAACATTGGAGTCATCGCTTGCCGGGCTAAGAGAGAGCCGGAAAGGAAGAGAGCTCTCTCGCAGGCTGATTGCGCAGCACAGCGACATCTGTTGTTAGTTTTTCCCAACCAAAGGACACACTTATCGATTAATAGCCTTAACCAGTCAACAAAAGAGACCGCTTTGGTGCATTGATAAAAACATATCCCAAAATTTCTTCATGATTTTTTTGGGGGTATTTGCTTTCTTTATCGATAATTGTTTGGAAAACAATTAAAAGATGGCGTATTGGTAGTATACACAGAAGTAAAAACCCACACAAAAAAACGTTTAAATCACTTTTATGTTAAAAAAAATATCGAATTCTTCAGATTTCAGTTTTTTAGTTTTTCAAAAGACTAATTGCAAACACCTGACTTTATTTGTAAATTTAGTTTGTAATTAAAACAAGTGTTGTATGAATAACACTGTTAAGTCAAATTTAAAACGGCATTCGTGTCGTATGTGCAATATTTATTTTATGTAGCCCAAAAATATCACTCATACGTAGTGTTGTCATGGCTTGAATATTTTTTATGAAAAATACCAAGAACCCAAATCCAGAAAAATATTTACTCAAGCGGCTTGTGTCAACATGAATATTAACTTAATATTTTGTTTAAGAACCTTAAGTTAAGAAATATACATAAGAATCATCTGAAAAGTATGCAAAGTTTTTTGTCTTTAATGTTCTGTATCCAAATTGTTCTATAAACAAGACAACCCAGAAATTAAACTACAAGAAAAACACTTGAATGATTTTTCGATTTTGTATAGTATTTTTAATTGTTTTGCCCGTCATCAATGTCACCAATTAATTAATTAATCAATCAATTAAACGTTGCCAGCTTCCGCTTCCGAATGGTATTCGTTTACGTGATCGCTTTATCCGCTTCTCCACTTAGTTGTACCACATACCACATGTGTGTCTATCTTTAGTCGTTAAGTGTATATGTAGTATAAAGTTGATACTCATGCTAAATCGAATCGACTTGGTTTGCTTCGTTCAAAAAATGTTATAGGCTATGCAATACAATTACGTGATCGTTAGTTGACTTTAACATTTAGTTGACTGACATCAAACACACAAATATAGTTTATATTCCTTTTCTTTCCATTTTTTTCTTGGGTTTTAATATGTATGTACTCGTACTTATATAAGGTTGATGCATTATGCGATATCTGATTTGTATTATATTTAGATAGCACTACTGTTTTACACACACACGCACAAGGTTTACAAACGTTAGTTATTATTTAGTTTAGTTTTGTTGTAAAGAAAATTTCGATTAGTTTTCCTCTTAGACTTAGATTGCTAAAACGTTGGTATTGGCCTATTGTATGATTTCTTTATAAATTGTTTTTTTTTTTTTTTCATATTTTTCCTTTGGTTTTTTTTTTCAATTGCGAACCTCATTTTGAGATCGTTATTTGGATGTCCGAAGTGCTGAACCTGCTAAATTTATTTTGTTTTATTCGGGTTCCAATGCTTTTTCCACTTTCGTATTTCCGATATTCAGGATTTCATGCTCTTCTTGTTGCGGTTCTTGCTAGGCTATATCACAAAATGTGTTTTTCTTTATCTTTTTTTTCTTGCAAAAATTTTAAGATAAATCGACTGAAGAAAGGGAATTGTAAATATAAGAAAATAAAGTAATGGACAAACTATAGATTTACATATACATACATTGTTCTTTAGTAGCTTCAATCTTCGTCAATTTCACTTACTTTTTTGTTTATATCGATTTTGTGTAAATTTTGTGCTATCGATAATCACCGTTTTATCATTGTTTCTATCGAATTCATGCAAGTTTTCGCCTTCGATACACTGTCGCTGATTGTTTTTAAAAAACCGCATCCTCAAAACAAAACAAAAAAAACGAATTAATTGTTCTACTAAATAGCATGAAATATGTTTTTGAACTACCATAAATGAAATAGAGTACGTATTTGATCAATACGGTGGATAGATTTAATACACTTTTAAATCAAATCTACAATTCATCCATTTTTCATTATTCATTTATGGAATCGTTAAACGTCGAAGTAAATCGCAAGAATTATGCGAATCGAACATGATAATACGCCTGGCTCATAATGCATCTGTGTTCCTATGTTTTCGGCATATATAAATTGTATTAAGCCTGATTCGCTTGACATTTTTTATATATTTATATTCGCTCCCCTCCTGGATTTCCTTTCGTGTCTAGTAAAAAAACCCTCTAGTACACTGTATTTATAAATTAGTTTTGAGTTGTTACCTCAAAAAGGACAGTTGGCATTGACGCAGTCCCAAATCGCGACCAAAAAAGATATTTTCCTGGCAATTTTCAAACCGACATCGATATTTGTTGTGCATTTTTCGATTGGTTGGTCCAGTTAGTGCGTGTTTCTTTCTTTTTGCAGTTCTTGCCCAGCGACAACGGCTATATACATCATAAACATATATAGCTAAAAAAAACGTTTGCCAATCAGATTTCCCAGAGGAATTATCGCCTCCTTCTACATTCAAAAACACAAAAAATATAGCTAAAATTTTCACTGACCGAATAATGATATTCGCCGTGGTTAAAAAGTCTGTTAAAATTCCACTGCAACACCATTATTGAAGGTGTTGCCAGTGTTTTTCCGCCAATTTTGTGTTCAACATCAAATATATTTCTATATTATTAAATATATGTATATATTTATATTCCGATTATGTGGTATGCATACGTATGTACATTTCTTTAGTTTAATAACTGTTTTTCTCTCTTTCTTTTCCATTCGCTTTCTCCATTGTGTTGTTTTAAATTAGTTAAACTTACAAAAAAAACGGTATTCATAAGAGTAAAAGTAAAATATATAAAAAAAAAAAACGTAAAAATGTGAGGGAAGGAGGGTAGGTAATGTAAGATTGTAAATTAAGCAACATTTATCGAAATAAATTAATTAATTAGTACAAACTATACGTAACTTATGAAGTAAATCGCTCGCCTACATAACAGAATCTATAGTTATCGTATAATATATAGGTTTTATGTATACTCGTATTAAAAAAAAGGATTTTATATCTAATGCCAGCAAGTGTATATTCCTTTATTTGTGTTTTGCTGCTCGCTTCAGCTGCTACAAGTAGGTTGATTTTATTTTTCTGTTTCTGTTTTTTCTGTTCTTTTGTAATTAAGAAATATTTCCAGCTGCCCTCTCATTCTTTTCGGTTCGGTATTCTTTCTCACTTGGCTACGTATGCAATTTCGTATAAGCTTTAATGTTGGTTGTTGTTGGTGTTGTTGGACAAATCTTTCAACGCCCGCCTATAAGATGGCTACAAAAATGTATTTCAACGCGTTCGCTTACATTTGTTTTTCTCATTTTGCGAGGGTTTTTGGTGTTTTTTATCTTTACTATTCTCAACATTTTTTGCTGGTAACAAATTGCATTTTTCATTTAAGTGGTTTCATCTTTGTATTTTTTTTTTTTTCTTTTTTTGTATTGTTGCTTACGCCTACAAAATTGTGGTTTTGCTGTTGTTGTTGCTGTTGTTTGGTCGGTCGTCATGGACAAAGACAGAACAGAGCATTCATATTCGTGTCTGCTGCTGTTGAGATGCCGCCGCCGTGGCCAAAAAAATCGGTTGCTCCTCCATAAAATCCCCGAATGTTTAACCAGTGACCCAACTGAGAATGTCGAGAGTTGGATGCGAAATATTATCCAAGGGGCGTGGGCGTCGGTAAGGTAATTCGCCTCTTAAAAGTGCTCCAAAGCCCTGCGCAGCTTCTTACAGTAAAATGGACATTAAGACTCGCGCTCCTTCTTCACCTTGACCTCCTCGCCCAGAATGGTGGTGATCTCGCCCTGCATGAAGGCCCACGGTATCACCGAGTTGGCCAGCGGACAGCGATCGCCGCTGGGACAGTACACCTCGTTGCCCAGACCCTGTCGATAGAAAGGAAAAGTTGGGAGTGAGTAAGAGATCTAAGGAAATCCAAAAAGTTCTCAGCTACATATTTTTCCATTTGTCAAAGATTTACACTTCCATTCTCATTGATTTTTATAACAAGATCATACATTTTTACATGCATTTCTTACTAAAACCAAATACATATCACTTTTGAATTGCAAATTAACTTAAGTTTTGTTAGTTCCAGAACAAATTACTGACCGATTGAAATATTAAAAAAAAAATCAATTAAAATATACAGTGGACAAAGGAATTTACGCAAATTGTTTATAAATTCGAAGTTCGCACTTACTATTTTAATTTGTTTTAAAAAACTGTAATCATCTTATATAGAATTTTTTTATGGAAAAACATGTTGTAGGTAACTTTTTTTATACTTCACTCGACTTACATTCTGGCGCTTGATGCTCTCGCGGCTGCAGGGAAAGCAGAACTTGTGGTGGTTCACCGAGGGGCATTGCACGAAGTGCGTGTCCTCCAATCGCTCCTGGCACAGGGTGCACTTGAGCGTGGCGTTCTGGGCGGCCGCCGCCGCCGCTGCCGCTGCGGAATTCGAGGCGGCACTGCTGCCGGGAGCTCCGCTGAGACCACCGCCGCCCGCCGATCCTGCGCCGCTGGCCAGTGGTGTGCCGCCGCCTTGGCTGCCACTGCTGCCGGGTCCGGGATTCACGGATACGCCGCTGCCATTGCTGCCGGATGGACCGCTGCCGCCGGCCGGACTGCCATCGCCGGCCACCGAGTTCGGCGCCATCGAGGCGGGGCCAATGGATCCGTTGCCACCACTGCCGGAATTGGCACTGCCGCCCGGTCCGCCGCTGGTGCAGCTCAGCTGACCACCGCCGCCGTTCGGTCCGCCCAAGGGTCCGCCGCCGGCCGCACTGGCGCCGGGTCCTCCGCCGCCGCCCAGAGCGCCGGCCACCACCGCCTGGCCAGGATTGGAGCCGCCCACCTCGGAGCTGGTAACGGTGGTGCTGGACACGTGACGGGATCCCGATGAGCGACGTCCCGACGAGGAACCTGCAAGATGAACGATCGAATTTGCTTTCGTAAGAATTTATCAGCGTAAATACGAGTTATAGAAAAAGCATTAAAGCTAAAATGAAAATTAAAATATAAAATAAAAAAAATCTATGCAGTCAAAAACATATTTAATTTTATAACCAAAAAATATGCAATTTTTGTCCAAGTTTACTTTTATTTAAAAAAAAATGCTTTTATGGTAACCAATATAACATTACAATTGCAAAGCGTTCTGTTACTTTCTGTTACTGAAACCCGAATCTTAAATGTGCCTTGTTTGATTATTAAAGAGTTAGCCGTGTAGTTTGAAGTGTGAGTTGCTTATAAAACAAACAATAAATATAAATCCGACTGCATATTGTAATATGCCTTAAAAGTCTTTAAAAAAAATATAAGAAAAAAAAAACAAACACTTAGCCAAGCTCAAGTAAGAAAATAAGATTTACACACAAAAAGTAAGTAATCATTACGGTTTCAAAAATTAAATAATAATAGATAGGAATCAAAACTTGAAAAGACAACCGTAAAACATAACCAATTTAAACGAACTTAAAAAAGAATACATTTTTTACAAGCCTAGTGCAAGACTTAATATTTTACAATCATGCAAGTACTACTATTTCAAATATAGACCGCAACCGAGTGGGGATGTGCAAACTAACCCGAACTGTTCGGCGAGTGTACGCTGCGCGGGGGCAGCGGTCCCGAGGGCGGACTCGATCCATTGCGCCGACTGGCCGGGGACATGTGCTCTGCAATGTGAAAATGGTGTGGAATCGGATTAAATATCGGATTGGCTACACAGAACAAAAAAAATTCTATATCAGTTTGATACAGCTAGAAATGTTTGTTAAGTCTAATTTTTTATCTTAATAAATCTAAGCATTGCAAATCAAATTACCCCAACTAATGATTTCGATCTCGTGATTCAAGTGCAATGTACGATGGGGCCTTGGCCCCACTTTTCACAAGATCGGACAGTGGCGTTCATAAGTACGCCGACACACCCACTAACTATTGGTCATACAGTCGCGGGATAGAATATCACAACTGACAACCCGCAATTTTAAGTACCTATCATTCGTACCTGATTATATATAATTTGGGTTGACATATGTATGTATGGGCGGGGTCTTGACAAAACAGTTCAATGTTTTATTAACTATCATATTCCGTTGTAGCATTACAAAAAAAAAGATTTTCAAACTTTTTGCATAGGGGAGGGTGGTCCCATACCGACCCCCTAAAAGGCAAAGGCGATAAAGGTGAGAAAAATCAATTTTTCAGTTCAGTTCAAAAATTTACTATGTAGAGGGATCAGTTTACTATACATCTAAATGATTAGTAATTGCGTAGGTGCTTTGAAGCGTTAGATATTCAGGCAAATATAAAACTCTACTTTTTGGTCGTACTCAAAAGTAGTGGTCCGAAACCGACCCCCTATTTCTTAACAGAAAAATTTAATAACATAAAATAGAATTTAATGATTTTGACGTTTATTAAGAAATATATTGAAGGTTCTTTCCAGAAAATAAAAATTAATGTATGAAATAAAGGGCACTGTAGTCAATTGATGAAGTCTGAGTTGTCCTCTTTCTCATAGTAAGTTTTCGCGTTGTTTTCGCGTTGTTTTTCGAGAGCCGCTCGTTGATGACTGTCTCTTCGCTTTCTTCTGATCTTTTTGCTGTTTCTGTTACTTTTCTTTACTGAATCTTGTTTACTTTTTCATATTTTCCCTCAAAAATACTCTATGACATATTAAGCTGCCAATAAATGGGGGTCGGTTTCGGACCATCACCTAGCGGTCGGTTTCGGACCACCACGACCTTTTCTGATTAACTGCTCGGCATTAACTAAAGACGCAAAGAGCGATGTAATTCTAATTATGTGAGTGAAAGCTAGGACTATCAACGATCAGAAAAATTTACTCTCCGATTTTTATGCAGAGAAAAAAAAATTTAAGCTCAAGTTCAGTAAAGCTCAAAAATAAATGTCACAGGCGTTGAAACAAAACAAACGGAAAAATTGCAGTGAAACAAAATAAGTCAAAGTGGCTATCTATCTCCAAAATGTCTGTGTTATAACAGCTTTTCACTGAAGTTACCGACAATTCGGCTAGCATCGCCATCTCTGAGAAACATGGGGGGTCGCTATGGTACGACCGGTCGGTATGGGACCACTCTCCCCTAATATTTGAAATCCTAACAAGAACTACTTTCTTTGCCCTGTACTATAAATTTGTAAATATTTTGCAACATTGGACCAAAAGCAAAACAATTTCATTCAACTTCTGCTTTCGATTTTTTATGCGAATGAAAAAAAAGTTAATCACATGCTTCTTCTTCAGCGTTCATTGCAAATTAAATTGTTGTTATTGGGGCTGTGTGTTTCGGCCTTTTTGTTATTTTTTTGTTGTTGTTTCGGATGTGTAATTTTAGAACTTGGCACGAAACATGTTTCCATATTTTTTTTTGTGTATGGATGTATACATATATGTATATATATTAACACGTATATTTTTTGCATGTATTTGTATATAAGTGGATACATATATTACTTGGCAACGCCGGCCCAACAAAAACAACAAGTTTCATTCACCAAACCGCCGGCGAGCCATCGATTGTGACGTCACAGCGGCACGATACGATTGCGTGTCATTCTTGTTCCACTGTGCACCGCACACAGCTGTTTTTTTTTCTTCTTTGTTTTTCCCCATTTGTTTTTGTTGCTCTTGTTTCACCGTTTCTTCGTTAAACTCTTCTTCTTTCAGTTGGCAAAGTGCCAAAAGCGAAACGAAATGGATGGAATGAAACGAAACGAGTTCTGCTTGCTGCGCATACGTCACCAGAGAGGAAGAGGGAGAGAAAAGATGCAGCCGGTTTCTCCATCTCGTTTTGTTATTTTTTGCATGCCAGCATGCAATAATGTGTATGTACACCAGACACGAATACAAATACATATACCGACCGATTTGTTTTGACTGTGCTGCTGCTTCTTTATTGTCGTCTGCTTTTTGGTTTATTTTCGCTTTCTGTTATGGCGCTGTTATTTCACTGTTAACTTGTGAGGCTTATAATTTAATTTTTTTCTTTTGTATGCAATGCACGCGCACGCGTAGCTGCTTGATATTGAAAATAAAAAGCAAAAAAAGCAGAAGAAGGTATAAAAAGCGAATGGAAAAACGTATTTAATTTGTATGCCCAACAGACGATGGCACATTGCTCAAATGTCGACTCTTGTCAGTTTGCCGGCGGGGCACAGTGGGCTGCATACGAAATTAATCTCACACATATGCCCAGTGTGCTGTTATGTTTATTTATTTGATAAACTGTTGCTCTTTCGTATTGTTGCTTTTGCTTTTGCTAAATTGCTTACGCTGGCTAAATTGGCGTAAAAGGAACAAGACGGAAAACGGCAAAGGCGAAAAAGGGGAGGTTAAAAAGGAGTAGAAGAAGAAGACATGATGTGTGGCCCCAACACGTACACACAGAAGTACGTGTGCGTGTGTATTTATAGCATTTGTTTATATTTTGCATGCAAGAGTTGAAGAACAACAGCAATAAATGCCAAAGCGAAAGCCTGCCCTCTCCCTCGCTCTCCCCACCCCCATCTCTTTCACACTACTGCAGTTGCATGTGCGTGGCCCATTGAGATAAAGAATGTGGAGATAGCGTGCGCCAGAGTGAGACAGCAAGCCTGCCACATACAGTTGCAAGTCGCACGCACAGTGGACGAAATGCAAGTAAAAGCAGAAAACAGTAGAACACAAAAAACTTAAAGCTTAGTGTATATTTGATCACTAATTTAAAATCTAATATTGTTTTAATTTTTTTATTTTCGAAACTGTTGAGCCACTTATAATTTTATTACTGTTATCATTTAGGGAATGATTTCTGTATATTAGTATTTCGATTTAATAGTTTGAATAATTAATTTTTGAATCGGTAAGACTCCCTCGTTTCGTTCAAGATCATTAAAACCTTTTAGTTTTTGTTCTCATTAGGCATTCGAAATCCAAGGAACCACTGTAATCAGTTTCAGTTTACTGCATTCGAACTTCACTTGACTGCAACTTCGTTGCAATCTATTTTTGAAACGACTTTTTATTGACGCATACTATATACACAAGTAGTGCTATAGTGCATACATGTATATATATACATATGAAGATCCCGTTTAAGATGCCCCAATGTTTATTTGTTTTTCATACATTGGGAGCTGAAAACAAACAAATTTGCGCGATCTCCGTTCTTAGTATCGAATATGAAACTATTTATAGAGTAGTTTACGTTTTCCGTTCAGCACCATTTTGCCTAGCTATGGAATATTTCTCGATATTCCACGTTTATTTTCGCACTACTTTGTTAGAATGAATCATTTGACAATTTATTACAAATATTCAGTCATGAGCAAAAGAACCGGGCCGAGAAAAACAAACAATAAATATTTATACAATGTTGTATATGAGAAAAGAAACCATATTGTGTTCTTTATTTATTTGTGGAATAGCAACTATTCGCCTTCGAATGAATGAAAACGAATCGCACCACACCCAATGGGCGGCCACGCCCACTCACCTCCCTTGCCTTTTTTTTTGCGCAACTCTAGAAAGCTATTTTTCCGGGTATTGATATTAGATTCCCTTGGGAAAAAACAAATTGTTGGCGAACTAATCGTAAGCAGAACTGAAAGAATTTGTGCGGGATCCAAATTATCGCTCTGATCTTCTATTTCCAGACCACTCATTTCGACTAAAATTGGGCACTTTATTAGCAGAACATGCTGTTCACAAATGTAGCTGGAGATGTCAAGGTTTTTCGTACCCATTCATACTACTTAGTGTGGATAATAGAAACTAATAAATATTTATTCCTAGAATCTTTAGGTAGGTTTACTAAAAATGAATTCTTTCTTAATTAATTATCTCTAATACCTTTTAAAGGTCAAAGCTTCGGGATCATAGAAAACCAACATGATAATATGTAATATTTCACCATTTTTGATAAGACTAAAAATCCCTTATAATCAAAATCGTACCGCATAATGATGCTTGATATTAAACGTTATCTCTGAATTGTTCCTTAAAACCAAGCCACGTGACTTATAAGAAGTTATACTACTTAAATTAATCAACCCATAATATTTTAAGAATTTATAATATTTCAATTTGACATATATTATATGTTAAGCTCGTTTAATTCCCATAAAAACTTAACCCGTATTTTTGGTGCTTACTTATCATTATATTTCTTACAGCGATACGATAAAATGGAATATGGCCCCAAGTGGCAATATTTTCAAGTGGATCCAATCGATGGAGCATCGATTGGTTTTTAAAGCACATCTTCAAAGGGCGAGCATTCTTTTATTTTTGTTTATTTAATGTAGAAAACACAAAAAACTTTAACAAAAAGCAGAAGATCTAATGAAAAATAAACAAATGTGTTGCTACAGGGTGCACTCAAATAAATCGACCGACAAATTTAAAGCGACGCGGTCCTGCTATCAGTCAAAGTTGGCCGTGGTTGATAAGATAGGCTGTGGACCCTGGTGGACGGCATCGAATCGTCCAGTCCACTTAACAATTAGATAAGATAAACAAAACAGCTGTGTGTATTAAGTATAGAAGAGCGACCAAGAGCAAACGAAAGTGGAATGGAAGTGAAAATACAATTTTAAATAAAAACGAAGCGGTGTATTGTGTACCCTGTACTCGTACTTTCCCCCGGAATCCGTCTAGATTGCTTATTTCTTATCTCCATGTCGGCGCGGCTTTCGTGGCAATGTTTACCGGGAGGGGGCGGAAAAAGAGCTTATCAACGGTCGTTAAAAAACAGGATGATCTCACTAAAGAGATCAAGAAACTGTGGGACTTTACCTACATCAAATATCCATTAAAACTTTTTAAAACAGATTAGGTTTTTTTTTAACGAAAAAGGAATTCAGATTGTTAAACTCATCATTATTAAATAAATCATATTGGATCATATTATAATATACTCGTATAATATAAAAAAAGTTTACAGCCATAAAATTTCCCAAATCTATAAATAAAATATTAAAAAACCCAAAATGTTTATCAAAAAATTGGAATAAATTTCCCCAAGGTGTTGATAAGACAAGCAAATACGATTCCGGCATCTTTCCATCAAAATTCGATCAGTTATCAAAAACCGGCGATTTCATATCATATCTGGCTTTTACCGACAATATTCAGACCGGTGCTCTTTCCGTCTATTTGCTCAGTGGGTCGCATGTTTTGGGGCTTAACTCCTTATCGAGCAGTTGTTTGCCTTATCATCCAACCACATGGTCGGGTCCCTGAGATATGATAAGATATGATATGGTTGATGGCGCAATCTTCGCCGATAAGTTTATCGCTTATCTCCGCACAAAACAATCGCCAACCCCATTGACACTTTCTAAGAATGGCAAACAAAAAGTGTAATAAAAGCTTTTAATACCCTTACAGAGAAATAATGTTTTGTTTAATTACCACTTGCGTACAATACGACTATGTATATTAATTACATTATATAAAAACTTAGACAGTAGTTTGATAGTACCATTCGGTTTTTTTTTTTTAACTAGATACTTCTTAAGGCTCTTGAACCTAACAGACAACGTGAGAAGACTAGTTCAACATCGAATTTTTTTTTTAGTTTAGATACTCATGTGCCTATTTGATTCACAAGGTCGGAAATGCTGGACTCTATTGTATATTCGGATCATTAGTAAAATCGTAGCAAAAAAAATGGGAAAGCAATCAAAAAACGGTTGATTTCATCAAGTAACATATTTATCGAGTTCTCAGAACTAATATTTTTGATGATTACCTTGAAATCAGAATATATATTTTTCTGACCGCAGCTGTGCCTTATCGGCAGCGGCTTCGCTGCTTCACGTGTTTTAACGGTTAACAGCGGCCATGCACTGCAGATAGCCATCTCGCTCACACTTGCTGCAAATGCAGCTGCACTAAGCACGCAATGTCTAATTATAAGAGAGCGAGAGAGGGAGATGCACTCCTTGCACCACCCTCCAGCCCCTTAAGGAAAGGCACGAACAAATTCCTGGCGAACGCATTGGAATGGTCAGTCAGTAAATGCATACATACATACGTACGAACTAGATACATACACACAGCCGGCAACACGAAGCGCTGAATGAAACGAAACGAAAAGGGGGTGTGAAGTGGGCGAAACAAGGAGTGGAGTGTGGAAGAGGGGGTGGCGCGCGCACGTTGCCGTTCCATTCCTTACGAATACATACATATGTACATTTGTACAATTTTTCTCTGTACACCGAGAAAATGTTTGATATATTTTTAGTATATACACAAACGCAATATTAATGTGCATGTGTGTGTATTTGGTATTTTTTTGGTAATGAAATGAATACACACAGGAAGGAAGAAGCAGAAGCGTAACGTAAATACAAAACAACAAACGAAATTGGCACAGTGGGTATTGAATTAAATTCTGTAGAAAAGTAGTTAGTTTTCAAAGATCTTAAAGAAGGATCTGAGCTAAATGCTTTTTGCAATACGTGCGCAAAATATAAAAATATAGAAGGCATTTCCGATTACTTTCAATGTTTTTAGTTGTTTTTTTCTGATAAAGCTCATGTTTTTTTAAGATAAGAAAAAAATTAAATGTGCCGTTCTTATCGGTTTTCAGAAGACCACACATTATGGTAAACTATGAAGTTGTATTATTTGTGTATTAAGGTATATGAACATTCGTATGTATATAGTGAAATGGATTTTCATAAATTTCTAAAATTTATTGTTTTATTACTAACTTTTATAACTGATTAAATTGGTCGTAACTACATTTTTTGTAGTAGCCAATAAAGTCTCCTCTTGCCCCACTGTTTGATGACGGCATCGGTATGGGCCAATTTTTTTTTTTTTTGTTTCGTTTGTGACTGTTTTATTTTTTGTTGTCACTGCAGCTCGTTCCGTAATTCGTATACCAACTAAAATTTATCTACACTCTGGTTCGATTGTGTGTATGTGTGTGCAACTTGTTATCGCATAGCGTAAAAAGGTGAAACAGCAGAAGAAGCAGCGAAAACCAAAACAAGTTTAATGACGTTTTGCGCGCGCAGCCAAGAAAAAAAACAGACAAACACACACAAGAAACCAGTTTGGAAAAAGGCGAGCGAAAGAAAGAGAGAGAGAGAGAGCAAGAACATTACAACGTCAGCGTCGACGAATTTTGCACGTCTCTGTTTTTATTACATTCTGCGGCCCTTTTTCGTGTGCTTTTTGCGTTTTTTGTTTTCCCCATTACGAGTGTTACGTACGTGCATGTAAGCTACACGTAGCTATGTATACGTGTTTAAACATGTATTTTCCCTATATATTGGCATGTGCGCATGCCTTTTAACGGCAAGGGTTGGCAGCCCCTTTTTTTTTTTTTTTTTTTCTGTTAGAGGGTTGCAAAATGCGTTTCTACGTTTTTGTATGTTATACATACACACACACAAACACACGTATCGGGAAGAGATAAGGCTTTTCTGATAAGCAAAAAACGTTATCTAATCTTCAGCACCCCGCTTATCAACCATACACTCTTAAATTCCCGCTGCTGCTGCCTTTTCTTCATCTTCCAGCCAGGAGAGATAAGAAGCAGGCAATCACGCTGTTTTACTCTGGCCTGAATATCTGCATGTGTACATATGTATATATGTATGTGTGTCAGTTTGGCTACCCTGCCTTATCCCTCCCTTCCCCAACGCTCCAAAGCGGGACAGACAGCGCGCTCTCTTTTTCGCCCGCGATCGCAGGCTCTCTTTGACGCTTAAAAACGGTAAACAAATACAGTGGGCGCCAGCAATTTGGAGCCTAGGGATTCAATCTTTTCTTGGGAAACAAATTCGAAACTTTAAGATCACAAATACGGCGTGCAAATTCCAAGTATAGATTATTATTATCGTTTGGCATTTTTTCATGAATCGAAGTAGAAACCTAAACAACAAACTATTCTCTTTAAGGGACATGTTTAAAAAATGTTTAGGCATAATTATAACGGAATTTTTCCTCGACATTGTCATTCTAAACAAACTCTATTGGGATGGTTATCCTTTCTTCTTAGTCTTATTGGCTAAATGTTTCATTCCGAACAATACTACAAACACAAATTCCACTAAAATCCATAAGTAGTTTAATAATCATTTGTACATATGTACTACATATGTACCTACATTTGAAAATGCATGCTAAAAATAATAATTGGGAACTTAGAGCTTTTACTTTTTAATGTGTTATTAACTTACCCGGCGAAGTGTAAGTTAATAACACATGAGTTGTTTAATTTTGGCTTGTTTATAGTTTCTTAAAAGTTTGGCTAACTAAAAGCTATCATCATAACTGATAAGAAATAGTCACATTTCTCCCCTGTCACATTATTTTCATATCATATCGCATATTTTCCCACTGACGATTTGATTACAAAAAGTGATAAGAAGTCATCGGTATTAATTGATAGGGGATTATCCCAGCTTGTGCTTTCTTGTTGTAACTTGCCTAGTGTAAATTGTTATTTTTAGTTTAGTAATTGTAAACAAGGTCTACCTTTATTGTTTGCCGGTTTATGTGCCCTCACAAAAGTTATGCTTCCAAAATGGGTAGAATAAGTTTTGTTTAGTCATTAAATAAATAGGGTTTGATAACAATCTTTTTGATAGTTTTCAACCAAAGTCCGATTATTGGGAAGTCAGATTGGGTTTGCAAAATAAAAGCAAATTTGAAATAGGAAATTCCTGGTGTTAATAAATTACGGTTTGTGGCTTTTTCATATGTACATGTAGTGATAAAATTGGGGTATTATCATAAGGAGTTTTGTTTTAACCAAGTGCCTATGCTGTCGACTTTCCCTAAGTGACTACTGTAAGACATGATTCTTATCTGAATTTGTTTTATTCGATGTTCTTGATAGTTGATCTATTAGCTCACCTGCTTTGAAGGTCGATGCATCGAAGCTGGGCACTCTGACTGGCTGTTGCTTATCCCGCAGACCGCTTAGCTGGCGCTCCGGAACATAGCTGACCGCTGCGGGCAGGGATTCCCCGCGTGTCAACGGCGGCCTACCGCCCCCGCCCGTTGGATCGTCCATGGCGCTGCGTTTGACGCCCGGCGGACCGCCGCCGGCCACGCCTCCGCCGGCGGACAGGGGTGTAGCGCCACCATCGGGTGGGAGGCCATGGGCCGACTGTTGTTGGGCGACATCCACATCGACGTCCTCGCTGGGCGGTCGCTTAAGATTAACGGACAGGGCTGGCGGCAAATTACTTCCTCCACCGCCTCCGCCTCCTGCCGCTGTGGGCACGCCCCCACCAGGACCGCCGCCCCCTCCGGTGCCGCCACCGCGCAGGTGAAGGGGCGTCATATGGGAAATTCTCACTGGCCTCACCCCACCGCCGGGTGCATCCTCCAGCTTAACGGGATAATCCAGGGGCGGACCGATGCGCGGCACGGGCATTTGATAGGGCATCTGATGATGATGGTGTTGGGCTGCTGCAGCGGCAGCGGCTGCCGCAGCGGAGCCTATTGATAGTGGCCCCGCCCCCGAAGGTCCTGGACCGCCACCGCCGGGCGGTCCACCACCACCACGATGGGCGCCCGGTCCGGGTCCTGGAACGGGTCCGCCCACTTGTAACTGTTGTTGTTGCTGCTGCTGTTGCAGGGCCACCGCTGCTGCTGCGGCGGCGGCAACCTCACCGTTCTCGTGCGAACGCTGCTGTTTGCTGGCGGGATGGAGACGCTTCATTTGGCGGGCGGCGTCCAGCACCGCCTCGATGCGATCGGCGCCCTCGTAATTGACGCAACCGCGGCATACCGCCTCCGAGAAGTCATTGATCATGGCCCAGGGCATGCGGGGTAAATCGCACAGATAGCAGTGCTGCCTTTTCGTTTGCAGCGACATCCTGGAACGGAGGGGGAAATCCTGGAAACTCCTGCTGGATCTGGATCTGAATCTGTCTCTTGTTCTCGTTCTCTCTCTCGGCCGTTGGAAATTTCTAGCTGTGTGCACTCACTGGAATGGCAAGCTGTTCTTTCTCCTTTTTCTTTTTTAAACTTTTTTCCTCTTCTATTTCTTGATTGCTGTGTGTTTTCCTTTTAGCTTTTGTTATTCATGTTTTCATATTGATTTTCGCACACGCACACACATACGCGCGCACGCATTTTTCACCGCGCTTCCACCCGAAAAAAATTCACTAATGTTTTCTATTGCGCTGCGCTGCTCACATATACACCAACAACAACACACACAGTCAAGCACGCGCGAGAGCCCCGCGCGCGAGAGTTGGAGAGCGAGTGAGAGAGAGCTGGACACGTACACGTACGACGCCAAAAACGTGGAGTAAATACAAAAACGAACGAGCGACGCAGCGAATAACGGAAAAGTTAACCGGACGCCACAAAAATCGCTGACAGAGTGACCTTGGAGCTGAGGTGCGAATATACCTGAGAGGCCGGCAGAAATGCACTAAAAAATCCGCAACAGCGTACTAAAAATACTGAAGAAATACCAAAAGCCGGTATTATAGTGTGGACTCAATCCGTGGTTGTAAGCACCGCATGGGTTATATCAAAGTTTCAAGCCATGTTTATCTTTTTAGTCCAATTTGTTTACCGTTTAACGGGATCTTATTTGAAAATCAAAAAACAAAACGACTTACCAACAAAAATTAAAAAAATGTACGTTTTATATTTGATGTATAAATTACATATTTTTATACAAAAATCTCCTTTGCTTCCTTCGCTTGGTAAAATATTTACTTAAATGTAATATTTTTTTTTGTAGGTTTATCTTTGGAAAATTAAACAACTTGATTCAGCGGGCATCTTATTCTTTATTATTGAATTCTAAAATAGAATAAAATAATAGAAACAATAAAAATTGAGCCTTTTTTTTAAATGTTGTGGGGGTCTAATGATAATGTATATTACCGTTATTCCCCCAAACTCATATGCGAGCAGTTACCTTAGTGACATCAGATGGCGGCTAATTAACCCTTTTGTTGTTTCAAAAGAAATATAAGACACCATTTTAGGGACTCAATCGCATGTCCCAACTCCCCTTTCTGCAACGTCCCTGTTTGCGTACGTGATTGCACGTCATAATCAAAGGCGAAAAACACACGCAAAACGACGATTGTGACGAAGTCCGCCACAAAAAGTGGGTGGCAAAGTCATGCCAGTAAGTATACCATGTAAAGTTCGTGTCCTGGGCTGGATACACATCCTATATAAATGCATACATATGTATATGTGTATATACGTACATACATATAGCTGGCTTTTTTGTGTGGATACAGAAAAGTAGACCTTGAAATGGCATCGTCTGTTTCGCTCACTCGCCGAACAGCTGATTTAACAGAGCTCTGTAACTGTTAATGAAATTAAGAGCTGAAGCGCGGCAACGTCGCCTGTTTTCCCAGAAAAGGAAGGAAACGAAAGGACATCGGAAACCACTGCGCAGGACCACAAACTGCAGGGAGCTGCACGTACACATACATATATCCGTATTGTCCTGGGCTGTTGGCCTGCATCGATTTCCCGACCATGGTCTGAACAAATTCCATTCCACGATATCTGTGCGTGTATCCTGGAAAAGGGCAATGCGGAAAAGGAGCAAACCAGATACACACGAACAAGCAACGACCTCGTAACGGGGTCTTACCTTATCACCGCCTCCACTTTTGCAACTTACAGTTATGCCCATCTGTTTAGGTCTTGCTATCACACAAAAGAAATTGTAGACTAGGTTCTGTAAAAAAAATGAAAATATCCTTAAAGATTTTGGAAAGCACACAATAAAAAAAAAAATTATTTAACAACGTACAATTTCCTTTTAACTCCGAATTACACGAAGATTTCCCCAAAAAGTTCCCTCGTTCCCATAAATAACATTTTCTCTTAAATTTTTCCAATTTTCACTTTTTATTAACAAAAAAAAGGTTTAAGATTAAAATCAAAGGAGAGTCATAAACTACGTTTATACACAAGCTTTTATTGTAACTACAAATAATTATCTACCCAAATAACTAGGCAACAAAAAATTACTAGTTAGTAAACTTATTTACAATTGGGCAGAAAATTGTTGCTACACTGATTACATTTGTTCAACGGTATGGAGATTACAAGGAATTGTATTAGTTGTTTGTAAACACTTGAAACACTTTTAAACATATTGAATAGCAGGCGTATAAACGTAGTTACAAGGTGGAGTGGAGTCAAAATACACAACACATTACATTAACCGCATATAAAAATATCGCACATATTTGTTTTATATAGATTTAATTAAATGCTAGATCGATTGGGCGAAGCCACTGTTATACGGGCATACGGCCGTATAACAGTGGCCAGGCTCAAGAGTTTTAAAGAAGCTGTTAATTGCAAAGCGTTTCAATCCTATATATAGGTTTATGTATAATGGCTATATAAAGTACACGGTTTAACAGTATAACAGTATTAGGCTTGAGCGTGTGTGCGTGTGGCTTGTATAACAGTTAGCGTGGGTGTATCACTTACAACTAAAATTGCTTTTGAGCAAAAAACATTCTTACACAATTACACAAGTTAGACTTTTCCTCCGCAATACATAAAAAACACTGTTCCTTAGCATGGTTAATTATTGTTCATGGAATGGGGGGACGGGAATTGGATGGGTGGAAAGTCTATAAATAATAAATTAGATTTAAGCACTAACATGGAATACGTTTATCTATATAGTTATGGAATATGTATATAAATATATTTATATATCGTGTATATCAAAAAATATTTAACCACAATTTTTCTAGTTAAAGTTCTTTTCGTTCCTTTGTCGTTTTGTCTTTTTTGTGGGTGGGTTCCTCCTCTTCGTCGCAAGGATTCTTCAGATTCTTTCGTTCTTTCTTTGCTCAGCTTCATGGCACAAGTTTCCTATTCTTCATCTCTTTCTCCGTTATTCTCTATCTCTTTCTCGATATAACTTTATGTTAGACAATAGTGGGTTAAAAAAAAGTAATTGCTTAGCATATTTAGTTGAGTTCGTTAGATTAGTCGGAACAGTTTTGTTACCCTGTAATCTTAAATACTATAATTATTCGCTTGGGTAATACAATCTATGTAAATATTGCAACTTGTTGGTTTTCTTCTTAACAGGCACTTAACCTTCTTTTAGTCTAAACATAAAATCGAATGTTAGAAACAAAAAAATAAACACTTTCTATAGAGAGCTGGGTATAACAGTTTTCGTTGGGCTTTCTTTGAGCATCACTGTTATATTCGTAGCTGCATCTCCATAATTTTGCTTCTCTTTTCGACGGTTTTTAAAACTGTCGTCGAATGCCGCTTTTGGAATCGATTTCTGGTTATTCCACATACTGGTTCTTCTCTTTTAAGTCTTCAATTCCAAAAGTGTCGCTATAGTTCGCTGTTCGTTTTAAATTTATTTTGCGTTTTTCGTACTTGATTTCTGGACTTTGTTGGAATGTTGATTTCATGTCATGTGCGTATAACAGTTGCGTTAATAACAGTGGTACGGTTCACTGGTTCTTTTGAATTATTTTGTATAAACTCTTAGTTACACCAAATGAAGAACAGAAATTTAGTCGTATTATGCTTAGATGGTGGAATAGTAGGAATATGGCTATTTTCTGTACGATACAAAAAGCGAGCAGTATTACGAGTTACAACAGTTAAGTAGTTCAAAAAGTTAGGCTTATACAACAGTTATTCAGTGGCACATAACACTGCTTGCAAGAGCTCCCTGAGTGGAACAATAAATACACTGCGCACAACATTTTGACAATCGAGTGTGCGGATTTAGAGCAGGTCAAAATGTCACCGGCTAACAGCGGGTATTGAAATGCGTGCGAACCGGAGGCGGTGGTGCTGCTCGTCGTCTCCTATCGCCACCTGCCGAGTTCGTCGATCCGGAGGCCCCTGTCCGATGACCTTGAAGGTGACCGTTTGCGGCTCCCGGTGCAGGCGTTGGAGCACTTCCTGCCGCCTGCGCCGCTGCCTCTTCGCGCATCTTCTGCTTCTGATCACTGAGACGGGCTCCCAGGCGATGCACCTTCTCCGGACTCAGGATATTCAGGCGGGTCGTCTTCGAGGATTGCTGCTGCTGCTGCTGCTGGTGTGCTGCGACCGCTGGAGACGGAAAATGAGGTTAAACATTAGTTGGAAAGGGAAAGGAACAGTCGATAGACCTAAATATAACTCTGATGTATAACTCCATCTAATGCTAACCATGTTTTAATAACAGATAAAATATTATTTTACCGATTGGCAAAGAAGTATCAATTAAAAGACAATTTATATAAAAATGAATGATAAATAATGAAAAAAAAAACTATTTTACACGAAATATTTATGTTTTTTTGGATCAATCGAATCACTTTTTATAAATGTACTTTTGCAGGATCATTAGGTCATGAACAATTTACGGGTTAAATACTTATGTACCCTTGATTTAAAGAAACATTTAGCCATTGAAGAAAGGAACTTGTTTGATCAAATCAATAAGTTAGGGTTTCCTTTTCAATGGAAATTCTAATAACGAAATAGTTCCATCTTGTGCAAAAAACGAAGTTCTCATTTCATTAAGCTCAAATTCTAGTTTTTAGCTCTTCAAATTCCCTACCATTAGTCAGTCGCTGTGCCGTGGAGGCAGTGTGCCTTTGAGCCAAGTGCTTGGTGGGAGACGCGGGCCTGCTGTTCCTGGTCGGCGAGACGCAATGGCTGGCGGGGATCCCTTGCGAGCCTGCTCGACTGGGCGGCGGCTTCAGTGGCTTGCCCTTGCTGTTGCTCGACGACGGCAGGCGGTGATTGTTCCCCGTTCGCTGCGGCGGCAGCTGCGGCGGCGCTTGCGAGGGCGGAGGGAGTGGCAGCGTCAGCTTGTGCTTCTTGGGCAGCCAGTCGAGAGCGGAGGATGGCGGACAGCTGCTACTGGTGGTCAGGTGGCCATTGCTGGCAGGCGGCAGGAAGAGTGGCAATGGCAGTTCACTACTGCCACTGTTGCTCTGACCTCTTGTCGTGGCGGTGGCTTTGCTCCTCTTGGGCGCCGGCGTGGTCGACTGTTTGCTAATCCCGCTGGAGGCCAAATGCTCCAGCGATTCGGCATGCTGCAGCTTTTGAGCCACACTTGCCACCGGTGGATTCTTCCGACCGAATATCGGCGTCTGGTTGATGCGCTGCGTTCGCGGAGGCGGCGGTGGGCAATTGTTGCCACCGTTCAGTGCTGCCGCCTCGTGCTCCAGGCGCTGGAACATCTTTAAGGCCACTGGTGGGGTTTTGAAGAAGTTGCGCATCGAGTGCTGCGACTGGTTGAAGTTCCGCCTGCTGGCCTCCTCCAAGTGCTCGAACTTGCTGCGGCACTGGTGCAACCGATTGCGCATGTCGTCGATGGCCAGTCGGTGCTGGGAGTCCGTTCTGGTTGCGCTCTCCTCCAGATCCTCCCTGCTCGACTTCGTTGGCTTCTCGTCCTCTGCAGCTGCTGGCAGACTATTCACCTCCTGGTAATTGAGACTCGTATCGCAACTGGAGTCCACATCGGAATAGGTGTTCAGATCCCGCACATCCTGCAGCTGTAATTCGGCCCCAGGTCGCAGGTCCACCAGGTAGCCACGTTCCCCAAACGGACGGCACTTCCTCAGCGCCTGTTTTAGAGCTCTTTCCTTGGATTCGGTTTCGGGTGTGAGATTGCGCCGCTCCTCCTGGGCGCCCAGGAAGCGCTGGCGGCGCCTCGCTCGCATACTGTCCCTCAATCGCTCGCCACTGGGCGAGAAGTCCTTGCCGAGATGCGGTGACTTTGGTATATCCTGCGGCTTGATCACCAGGTTCTCCTTCTCCTTCTCCACCGGCAATACGTCCGATTCCACGGCAATCTTCACCAGCTCGTCGAGGTTGTTCAAACTGCGCTGGGAAGTGGGCGACAGGACATCTTCGGAGCTGGCGTACCACTCCTGGAAGTTCTCGATCTCGTGCAGCAATCGCTCGGGCGGCAACCGCTCGGCGGCCAGATCATCGGCCAGCCTTTGGAGCCAGATGTGCAGGGTTTCGAAACAGGGACGCATATCAGGATTGAGGTCACAGCATACAAAAGCCACCTTGACAAAGGCCTCGGGACACTGGGCGCAGAACTTCTCGCGAAACTCCTGCTGATTGAGGCTGAAGTCCGAGTTGCGGGGCATAAAATCGGGATCAGCTTCCACGCGTCCGATTATCTGAAAAGTAGTGTAGGGAATTAAATGAAAGGTTCGGCAAGTTCTGAATGCAATCGCCTTCTCACCTCACACAACATAATGCCAAAGGAGAAGACATCCACTTTCTCATCGTACTTGAGGCCCTTCATCATCTCGGGTGCCATCCAGTAGGGATTTCCAACCACCGTGTAGCGCTGTCTTCGCTGCCTGCTCTTGCTGCGCCTTAGAGTTCCACCTGGCGACATGGCAGCATCGCTGCCAGCTCCCGATCCATAGCCACCTGGAGTGCCACCGCCACCCCGATCCGAGGAGCTCACGCCACCTGGCAGACGCGGTGCATCCACACTGCGCGCCAGTCCAAAGTCCGCCACAATCACCGATCGATCCTCGCGCACCAGGCAGTTCATCGAGTTCAGATCCCGGTGGATGATGTTCATCGAGTGCAGGTAGCTCATGCCGCAGGCGATGTCCCTGGCCAGGCAGACGCGCTGCGGCCAGGAGAGCGTTTGCGCCGAGTCGTGGATGAGCTCCTTGAGACAACCACCGGCCACGTATTCCGTGACCATGTGCAGCTTCTTGTCCTTGTAGAGCACCCCGATGAACTTCAGCACATGCCGGTGGTCCAGCAATCGAAGCACGGCCACCTCCTTGATGAAATTCCGCTGGGCCTCCTCGTCGGCGCGATGCAGCTCCTTGAGGACCATCACCTCGCCGCTCTGACGATGGGTCACCTTGAACACCTTGCCGAAGAAGCCCTCGCCCAGCTTTTCGCCAATGACCAAGTCGGAGGCGCGAAAGATTCTCTGCGGTTTCTGGACCACTCGACAGGATTGGGTTCGCGACAGATCGTAGAGTTGCGGATGCGCCGAGTGCTGTTGCGCCTGGTGCTGTTCGTCCAGCAGCTTGGACAGACTGGAGCAGCGCTCCTTCTCCTTCAGCTGCGTCATCGCTATAGATCCTGCGCCCGCTCCTGCTCCTGCTGCTGGCGGAATGGTGGCCGATGCATTGGTGGCCTGGCGGAGCTTTCTCGCCTTGGAACCCTGATCGCCGGGCGTCTTGTAAAGCCGTTCCCTGCCCACCTCCACGCTGGAGGCCGATGTGCTGAGCGGCAGGATTAACGTGGACGCGGACATGGCTCGCTGGATGTCCGCCTGGCTGCACGAACGGCACACCTGGACCGGATCATGCTCCACGGTGAGCTGCAGCATCTTCTCGTTGCTCCGGATGAGCTTGTCGATCTGTTCCACCGAGGAATCGCTAACTGGTGTGCCGTTCACCTCCAAGATTCGGTCGCCAATGTGCAAGTTCGTTAGATTCACATCGATCCTGGGGAGAAGGGAACAAATCAGAGATTAGAGGGCTTTCTATGGGGGTTTACTGCCTAATTGAATGGGTTTCATTTGAGTTAGTGGGTGTTACCTATAGGAGGCACCACAGCATTGCTCAGCCATCGAGGTCAGCCAGAAGAAGAAGTTACAGAACAAGCTGTTCCAATGGTTGGTTTGTTTATTTTGTGTAAGCATGTTTGGGGAGAAATGCAGAAAGAGGCGGAGGGCAAGCCACCAGCGGAATTAGTGGGAGATCATGGGATGAAGTTAACAAGCTGTTGCAAAAACTTTTACAACTAAGCTGCAAACGGAAATAAGCCACAAAGAAATCAATAGCAAATAGCAAATTTACAAGCGTAGAAATGGGGACAAATGTTCTGTCGCTATTATGTGTAATTGGCAGTAGTTCACGTTGCTTTTTCAAGAGGGGAAAACTCACATTGCTACTCTCGCTTTTACCTGTTGTTAATTGGTGCTGAAGGCCCAAAAATAAAAACTACAAAATCGTACAAATGCTTTCCGAAAGTTGAATAAAAAACCATTTTTGAATTGAAGTACAGAATGCCTTTCTTGTGTAGCAAATTTAGACAATATATGAAAGTTCCAACATAAAGAGCAAACGTAACTTGTTTTTTTAGAAATTACAGTTTTTAAAATAACATTTCGTGAGTCCTCATACTTTTATGCTAATAAACAAGGGATTTTTTTTTCTAAAAGTGCGGGAATTTATAAATTTAAATATTAGAAAATGAATAAGGATAAAAAGTTAACGTGTAACGGGAATTTTCCTTTTCTTTCTAATTACGTGAATTTTCCTTTCCCTTTTTTTAAATCAAAATGTTATTTATCAAATTATGATGAATTTGTGCCTTTTGCTAATGCAGCTAATGCACTTAAAAATAATTTTTAAGTCACTAAAACCCGTAATTCTGTCGAGTTAATCATCGTTTGCCTTGAATGAATTACAAATTATATATCTACATAATTATTATAATATGATTGCGAAATGGATGGAATTTGTGGTAAAAAAAAGCATGCGAAATTATTTTAGCTAAATAAAAGTGGGTTTTATATATTAAATAGGCCAACTGTGTGGACAATCCTTACTCTGTAATGCGGACCGTGGGACAGCCGTCGTCGAGGGCCACACCATCCACCCGGAGACCCGGCGTGGCGTCCTTGGGGATCTCGACCAGTCGGATGGAGTGCATCGGCTTGCCGGCCGTCGTGATGCGCGCTTTGGCGTCCGCCGGCTGGCAGGACCTCTTGCCATAGCACTGGCCACAGTAGAGCTTCGATCGTTCGACCAGAGCATAGGATTCCCCCTCGCCGATGAAGGCCCCACAGGCGGCGCAGCAGAAGCACTCCGGATGGAACTTGTGCTCGCCGGCGACCATTACGGGTCCCGTTATTACGGCCGTACACTGTTGACAGGCATCGCCGAAGCGGCCGTAGTAGTCCTCCCGGCAGTACAGTAGACCCTCGCGCTCGAAGTACCAGTTGTGCAGGTGGCCCTCGCAAACGGAGCAGCGGAAGCAATCGCAGTGCCATTGCTGGCCCAAGGCCATCACGATGGGCTCCTCCGGATGGGGCAGCAGTTGGCCACGGCAATGGGCGCACATTGGCGGATATCCTGGCGCCGCATGTCCTCCAGTTCCCGTTACCGTTCCCGTTACCGATCCCAATCCTCCTCCTCCTCCTCCTCGTCCGCCATTTGCCCGCAGGCGCTGCTGGTGATGCATGGAATGTTTTTGTGTGCCTCGATTCCGATTACGTTAGCACTATAGGAAAAAAAGGTACGGAGGGGGAAACATATATATTAACAAATGACGGAATCCGTATTAAATATAGTAAATATAGACCAACAGTCACGGAAAATGTCCCATATAATGGAAATAATCGTAAACAAGGCACTCAAACTGGCTAAGGTTTTATCTATACTTTCCATATATGTTTGTATTTTAAATTCCAATAAGACAGTGGCAGTACTATATGTATATCTTTTATCTATATTAAGTAACCATTTATAAGTATTGTTGATAAAAAGACATTAAGAAATTTATTAGGCAAAGAAATTGTTTCGTTTTTAATTGAAATGTTAACTTCATTGTCGAAAAAAAGGGTTATCAACATACAAATGGGCTTTTGAACACTTTTTGATTAAATTAATACATACATATAAGATATTTTATAGAACGTAATTTTTGTCAGATTGTCCTACGTGAGCTTTTGAATATAGGCGTTTGATTCGTAGGGTTTTTTTTTAGAATTGACAACGTATAACGTTAGTTGATTGCAAAGCATTTTTTGTTTAACTGAACTCAATTAATTCCTTAGAATTATATTATTTTTTTGTTCTGTAAAATGTAAAAAACGATAAAATTCCTAATAGTTTCTAGCACTGCGTAGATGGAAACAAATTGTCTATTAGAAAATTGTATCTCAAGAATTTTATCCGGGTATCGTATAGCTTCCAAGTATCTTCTCGGTAGTTATAAATTGTGTTTAATCAGAAAATTTTTTGTGTACAATCATAACAAAAGAACAGACAGAACAAAAAATATCTGTGAGTCGGTGGTCATTACTTTAGGGTTCAATTCTGGAAATAAATCACACGCGATAAAGGTCGAGATCCTGAGTCAGCGAGCTCCATTGGAATGCAAAAACTAGAGCCATTGAGTTCGATTTTGATTGACTGTCCGGCGTTTCTTGCTTGGATCATCGCTTGGCATACTGTTTATATGCATGCACATATCTCAACATTGACCGTGAAAACGAAGTTGATGCAATATCCACGGGTCTTCAAAGCAACTGCAATCGCAATTGCACTTCAGCTGAGCTAACTGTAGTTGTTGTACTTGCCATCTCGCTCCCGCCCGCGTAAATTATGCCAATGAATGACGAATGCGCCATCCAAACACTATCGCACTTACACTGGCATGCAGGCACAGTGGTCGCCAAACCTGAGCTGAAATCCCATTGGGGTAATGTCCTTCCTATCACATTCCATGAATTCTCAATTAAACAATTATTTATTTGGTATTTTAAAAGCTTACTATACAAGTTCAAAGTGATATTAATGTACAAATGATAATTTAGGAAAACAGTTTTTAAGATGTTGCCTTAAACAAATATCTGAATTTATAGAGGTATATACACAAGACAAAAGCTTTAAAATCTCCTAGTATAGCCTAGAACATTAACTTCAATGTCCCACTCTTAATAAATCATACAATTATTATTGGACCTTATTAGCACTATAGTCGAAAGTAATCCGTATAATAAACTGTTCCTATGAAAACATGCAGCCAATTTATGTTAATTAAGTCAATTAATTCACTGAGGCAATGTGAGCATGTTTATTTTCGACCAGGATAATTAACAAATCTGCCCATCGTGCGGAGGCAGCAGCACAACACTCACACACATGCCCCCAGGCGCACACGAACACGCGTACAGGTGCTGCTCATACACACACTCACAAATTGTTAGAAAATGTGTGTGGGAGAACGGGAACAACAACGACATTAGCAATGGCCCAAAGCAGGTACAACAACAACAACTGGTTTTACCAACATGCGCGTCTATTGTTACCAGTTTGTTGTTGTTTCCATTGTTGTTTTTGTACACTATATTAAACTAAACACACACACACTTACATAATTGTTCGTTTGTGTTGCTATTAACTTGACGCACATTGCACATTTATTTGGATTTTCGTCGCCTTTTTTATTTAATTTTTATCCCGCCATGCAGTTATTGGCCACAGCTGCCGAAATGCCGCGGACTCAATTGAAATGCCGACGCACAACTCGCGAACTCAAACAATAAAAAAGAAATGCATAATAAACAAAACAACAACAAAACCACACAAAATAAAATACAATCGCGCCAGTGTGACCGAAATGTAACATTAAAATATTCCAGAACTATCGGCTAGAAACCGCCAACTCTTAAGAAAATATAATTACAATTAACTTTATTCATTTTTAAAATTAATTTATATAATTGTTGTTTGTGTTGAGATATGTGGGCATCGAATTAAGCTTTTTAAATTAAAAGCTATCACTTTTTGTGCAGTGTGACCACATTTTAATTAAGGCACTGTTTGTTTTGGGTAAAGCAGTGCGGTGATTTTAAGCAGGATTTTTTAAATAAATTTAACGGACAATATTGCAAATCTTAGTTTTTCTTTATTTATAAATTTTTCAACACATTTACACCCCAAATTAATAACAAACCCAAACCAGTTTGATGAAAGCCAGTGAAAATTTTGATAATGGCAATGAAATACTTGCGTTTTGTAACAAAAACAATACTGTCTTCAGCGTTTATTTTATTGTATACTTATCGTTAGCGTCTCTCACCAGTTTTTTTTGTTTTTGGTCAGTTGGAAATAAAAAAGTGAAAACAAAACATTCTAATAAGTTAAGTGTACAGGGAATCATCAATTTGCCTACGATCGTTTAGCCCTGGGCGGTGTTCGTCCTGCCGCCAGAACTGCTGCTCACTGACTCAATTTTCTGCTGCTCCTTGGCGGCCACCACGTCCTCCACGGCTTGGACTTGCTCCTGGATGTCACGCCGCTCCTGCTGGCGGACCAACTCGAAGTACAGGCCCCGCTTGGCCATCAATTCGTCATGTTTGCCGGTCTAAAAGTAAGGAGAAAATAAAATACATTACTTTAAAGAAACTTGCATTCTTAAAATAAGTAATTTAAATGGAATTTATGGAAAATTGTACTCATTACACAAATTACACATTTCAAATTCAAAACTTATTAAAATAAAATAAATAAATAAATACAAGAACAATTTATAAAAGCCAGGATTGGCCTTTGCTTCTCGCTGGTTACAAATCTTATTTGCGAATGATTTAGTCAAAAGTTCTTTAAATATTATATTAAGCATTTAAGAAGGGAAAGCTAAGGAATTTGTTAAAATCTGAGAGACTGTAACAGCAACAAAGGTGCTTCTACCTTGCTTCTTTTAACTACAATTAAGTAAAAATAACTGGCCATAGAAAAACTCACCTCTACGACGCGTCCTTGGTCGAGGACGACGATGAGGTCGGCGTTTCGTATCGTGGACAGCCGATGGGCGATCACCAGGGTGGTGCGGTTCTTCACCGCGGTGTCCAGTGCCTTCTGCACCTCCGCCTCGCTGGTGGCGTCCAACGCACTCGTTGCCTCGTCCAGGATAAGGATGCGGGGATTCTTGAGCAGCGCCCGGGCAATGGCGATGCGTTGCCGCTGGCCACCGCTCAACTGGGTGCCTCGTTCGCCCACATGCGTCGCGTATCCGTCGGGCAGGGCGGTCACAAAGTCATGCGATTGCGAGAGTCGCGCTGCCGCAAACACATCCTCCTCGCCGGCATCCTGTTTGCCGTACCGGATGTTCTCCAATATGGAGGTGCCGAACAGCACCGGCTGCTGTTCGATGAAACCGAGGACATTGGATCGCAGCCAATAGGGCGAGATGTCCGACAGCTTGTAGCCGTCCAGTTTGATATTGCCCGCCGATGGTTCGTAGAAGCGCTCCACCAGCGATGCTATTGTCGACTTCCCAGATCCACTGGCTCCCACCAGGGCCACCGTTTGGCCCGGGCGGAGCGTCAGGTTGAAGTCCTTGAGAACCACCTGCGAGGAGATACAAAATAATAGAGACTTTTAGAATAAATTACTTACTAATATTATTTAAATATGATAAATGTTTCCACGGTCTAAATATCTCTATTAGAATTCTATTAAAATGTTAAAGATTACTTATATTTTTGTATTTTTCAAAGAAGCAACTATTTTATATTGAGCTTTAAATATAATATAAGCCAATGGGAAAAAAAATATTAAAGGGTGTTTAAATTTAAAATTAACGAAAATATTGTTAGTCCAACATATAATCGACGAAATCTAATCCATAAATATTTGCCAATATTAATTTATCAATTTATTTATGAAAGTAAATAACCTTTTTTATTACGCAGGTGGTAATCTTTTTATCACTTAGCCGTAAATATAAGCTATTAAAGTTTGTGGCTGCTATAAAATGGTTATCTATTTGCGGAAGCGATAAGAAGTTGGTCAATGTTGCATAAAAATCTTACGACTCTTCAAATTACACAACATTGATTTGAGTAGGGAACCTTTAGATATGTAAACTTATGACACAAAGGATAACTTACATGGTCGGGTCGCATGGGATATGCGAAGGAGACGTTCTCGAACCGGATCTCGCCGTGCAGGCGCTCCTGCGGGATGACATAGCCGCGCAGCAGCTCCACCTTCGGCTGCAGCGAGAGGAACTCGAAGACCCGAGTGCCGGCGGTCATGCCGCGGATCATGGTGCCCAGCAGGATGGACCCCTGGGCGAGGGATCGCTGCACACCCTGCGAGGCGACGAGGAAGGCCATCAGAGCGCCCGGCGACAGGCTCTCCGTGGACATTAGGTGGCCGCCCATGAAGAGCGTGGAGAGGACTAGCGTGTTGAGGAAGAAGTTGGTCAGACCCTGGAAGATGGCGATGCCATAGCCGAGTTCCTGCGCCAGTCGCGCCGCCTCGTTCGTCTCCGCCTCGAAGAGCTGCATCTCGCGGTATTCACACGCACTGGATCGCACCGTTCGGATGTTGGACAGCGCCTCCTCGCACACTCCCGTCGCTCGTTCCGCCTGCGCCTGGGAACTCTTGCTCAGCGAGCGCAGTTTCTTGCCCAGATACGACATGAACATCACCACACACGGAACACTGGCCAGCGCAATGGCCGCCATGTGCGGTGAGATCATGAAGAGCGATATACTGCCGCCGATCAACTGGGCGGCACTGCGCAGTCCCTGGGCCACGAACTGCTTGAAGGAGGTCTTGAAGTCCTGCACGTCGGCGGTCAGTCGGTTGACCAGCTCGCCGGTTCGATTCTCATCGAAGAAGGCAATGTCCTGGACGACGATCTGCGTGAACAGATCCTGGCGCATCTTGGCCGCCATCTGCTCGCCAACGCGACTCAACAGATAGATGTACATGAAGGTGAAGCCCGACTGCAGCATGTAAAGGCTCAGCAGATTGCCGGCCGGCTTGCTCACGTCCTTCACGAACGAGTTGTTGATCGGATCCGTCACGTACGTGTTGGCATATCTCGCCAGTGTGTTGACCAGGTCGCCCAGCAGGTTCGGGATCCGGATGTTGATGTACGCCACTATCAGGGCGGCCTGCAAGCAATGGGAGTAGGATTAGTAAAATGTATAGTAACACAGGTTTTAAAAACATATTTAGATAGATGCGCGTCTCGAATAACTAGCTAACTAACTTAAGGCATTATACGATCCGACTTTTGGACACTATCCTGCTGCTGAAGTCTCTGGATTACAATTTCCTCTGAGTTATTTAACTGACAACACTTTAACTTGTTGCTCTGCTGCTGCTGCTGCATTTTCTTAACCTTTTTAAAGGTACCTAAGTGACCCAGGCACTTACGCATATCGCTCCGATGAGCTCCCAGAGATGCGGCTCCAGGTATGCCCACAAGCGGTGCCAGTCGAACCGCTGCTCTTCCGCCGGCTCCTCTTCCTCCTTGCGAATGGCCAGCCGGCTGCCTTCGCAGTGGACGACTGCGTTCCGCCCCGCCCACCAGGAGCGGGCGCCCAGGCCGATGGACAGACTTCCGCCGCCCCATAAGAGGAGGCGTGTCGTGTGCAGCAGGCGACTGGCGTTTGTAGGCGTGGGCGGATGAGGGGCTCCTTTGGCATTTGTGCCGCGCAAATGTTGACGCATCAGGCGGGCGGCATTCTGGAGGCGTGGCAGTGGCTGCTGCGTGGGTTGAAGCAGGTGGCGACTACGAAAAAAAAGCGGGCGAGGTAAAAATAGGTTTGTGATTGATGACATAACCAGAGTGAGGGTCAGGGGGTGTGTTTGAAGGCCAGGTGTAGCTTGGCCATGCGGATCGCCAGTCCCTGACCCTCGGACGGGTCACCCCCAGGACTCCTACCTCAACAAATCGCTGCTGCGGCCGCAGTTGGACACGAGTAGGCGCAGCATCTCTTCTCGTCTCGCGTGGCTAGCAAATATCAACAAAATACGCAAGCGCTAAGGCATCAGTGTTGTTATTGTCGTTGTTGTTGTCTGTCGATTTGTTGCCGTGTTGTTGTTGTTGCCAGTGCCGTTGGTGGTGGAACTTTGCTGATAGGCACACGCATACCCGTGTGTCCAGCGATAATCAGCTGACGAAATATCGATAGTTGGACGTACAGTAAAAAGGGGATTCCCGCTCAATGCGATAAAGGAACCAAGTTTACTGAAAGAAACTAATGATAATTAATTTGGGAATTAATAAATGTATCACAAATTCAATTACAATATACAAATTAATTACAAAATATGTCTTTACAACCTTCAATATGTGCTTAAACAGGAACAGGAACTTTTGGACATTTATTTTAGATGACATCACTACCAAAATGATTATTCCCAAAAAAAAAGGATGTAAGACTAAAATTTGATGTAAGTTATCATTATATTAAAGTTATCTTACATAAAATTTTTTATGCATCAGTTTAAATTAAATATTGCTTATTCATGTTTACAATTTTAAATGGACACAAGTTTTCCTGCTAAATAATATGTTTTGGGATTTAAATGAAGTAATTAACAAACAATTTTATTTATTTATGTTTAAGTAACGAATATGCAATAGCGAAATCAAATAGATATGTAACTTTACATCTCCACCCCTTGACCAATCTGGGTTCCCTGGTTGCCGTCCGCTCGCCAGTCTGGCAACGCCACGAAAGTCGAGTTGGCATTTGGGAGATTTTAGCTGCGTTCGGACCGAGAAAAATTTCATAGTTAATTGTTTAAAAACCAAGACGTCGGCTTTAGCAACCAGCAAACAAGTAAATGTATTGTTTAGTCAACTGCCAAAAAACAGAACTACGTGCGTGTAAATAAAGCAAGCGATTTGTGTAAGTTCAGTGTGCAGCGTAAGCTAATTAGAAGAGAAAAAGGAAAGGGACATCGACACTTGTGCCCGTTGTGTGTGTGTGTTGCGTATGGCTGTGTCCGTGTGTGTGTTTACGGTTCTCTCGTAGTTTTGGTTGTTTTATTTTTATAAGAATTAAGAAATTGACAAAGACAACTGCCAAGTGTTGTTTTCTTTTATGGCCAGTAAAAATAATTGTGTGGTCAATTTTGCAGAGAACACCGGATTGCAACCCTGCGTACGGTTCTTTTTCGCCAAGAGAGTGCTCTCTCTTTCTCTCCCAACCACTGCTCCAATTTTTTTGCTCCCAAGAGAGTGTTTTCACTTTTGACTTACGGGCAGAAAAAAAGTTAATAATTAAAAAAATTGTCAAAAACATTTAAAAGGTGGGACCGAATATCAAGTGTAAAAATTATCAGTGGCGTTAAAGAAGCAGAAAAAACCTGCTGCGTCAAGAGAACAAAAACAACAACAGTAAGAGAGCGAAACGGTGGTAACAAAACGAACAAGAGTAAGAAGAAGAGGAAGAGTAGAAGAGTGTTGGTGAAGAGGGGGCAATATATGGCAAACGTCCACGTAAACTTTTAACTTTTGCTTTTCCGTGCTTTGTGGCTCTATGTAATTGCCATATACTCGATATTGTTAAAAACCCATCTGTGCCTTTTCCATCGCTCTTTACAATTTTCAACTGAAACTGTTGAAAAATCTGGGGAAACGGGTAATTTTTCCATCAAAACAGGTTTCGTTCATTGAACCGCTCCACAAATCTAACAACCACCAACTGCACACTCCCCCGAAAACTCCTTTTAACACCTATAACACCTTGGTGGGTTAAAGATCTTTCGAGTTTTCTGGAGCTCAAATACAAACGATTTTCAAAGGCAACAAGGCTTTAGATTGAGAGGAAAATTGATGATGATTAAAAATCTGTCAATATGGTGCAAATTCTAGCATGTTGCACTGGTAGTTTCCAAGGATCCGAGGATAAAAGATCTAAAGATTTGTGCTTCATTTAAAATTGCTGAAACTTTAAAAAAGTTATTAGCAGATCCGGTATTGTATTTAGGATAATAATTTTATCTTAGTTCCGGAGAGAAACATAGAATTTCAATTAATCAAAAGAAGAAATTCTTGGAATTGGAACATTCTAAGAAAACCCAATATGACTTAAGACACAATACTTTTACTTGAACATAAAAAATGTACTTGAGATTTAAGCAATTCGCATAATAATAAATAAAAGAACGTAAGATTGAAATACCGAACTTTTTTTTTACAAAGACTTTCACTTTGAAAACTTTGACATTTGTAGGACTGTGCCACTAAATAAATAAATAATATTTTTTCTACATGTATGTAGTAGGCTTACAGATTTAAGTTAAAATTTAGCGTTGCTTGTTTATTGAGTTTTAATATGTGCTTGTTCTTTCTTTTAAAGCTCCAACATGTTGCACAACAACGCGCCCTGGCTGCCACCGCATCAGCAGCAGCAGCAGCAACAGGCGCCGCAGCAACATCCTACACCCCAGCAGCAACATGCAACTCCTCAACAGCAACAGCAGCAGCAACAGCAGCTCTACGCCAGCCAAATGTTTCAGCAACAGCAGCCAAATTACTGGCCGGAGGACCAGCAACAGCAGCAACCATCGCTGAACTACAATAACTACTTTGCGGGACAGCAGCAGCAACAACCCGTGCAGCAGCCGCAGCAGCAACTGCCACCGCAGCAGCAGCAGCCTACGCAGCAGCAACATCATAGCATGCAGCAGCAACTGTATTATCCCACTCACCAGCAGCCACAAGTCCCGGCGCCAGCGGAAACCGCTCTGGACTCGTTTGACAACAATAATAGCGGCGGCGGGCGCAGCGATGGCTGGGGTGACTGGGGCGATTGGAACGACAATAGCAACAACAACAGCGTCAGCAACATGAGCAAAAGCAACGAGGCCCTGTTGGAGCCAACGGGACAACTGCTGGAGGATTCCTTCAACGTGCAATCCTCGGCGGGCAGTTGGCAAGCCTTCGCCACCACCAATAATGTGAATAACAATGTGGAGCCGCTGCCGCCAACGGAACAGCAGCCGCCTTTGTCGCACCACCAATCGCAGCAGCCGCAACCGCCGCCGGAACTTGGCCAGGAACCCGAACTGGACGCCATTGTGCCTCCGCAGGCATTCCAAAACCAGCCAGCTCCGGTGGCACCACCACCAACATCACTGGCATCGTTCAACGCACCACTTCCCGCGGTGGGATCGCCTCTATATGCTGTTGGAGCCCCACCAACACATCTCCCAGGGGTCGGAGCTCCTCTAGCACCTCTCGCCGGAGTGGGAACACCACCTGCTCCCCTCGCCGGAGTGGGAACACCGCCAACACCACTGGTTTCAGTGGGACAACCACCAGCAGCACCACCTGCTGGTATTGCACCACCTGCTGGCATTGCACCACCTGCCGCATTGCCGCCCAGTTTGACACCAGCGGCTGGCAATCCCTTCAAGCGATCCACGGGTCTGAGCAAGCGGGTCAACATAATGGCCAATCCGGCGGGAGAAGCTCCTTCGCCGCCAGCACCCGCTGCAGTGGCTCCTTTGGCCCCGATAGCTCCGCCACCGGAGCAGCTGTTTGGCTTGCCAGCAGAAGCACAAGGGGAGGGTTTCAGTTTACTGGCCGCACCACCCGTGGAAGCTTCGATTGGAGCTCCTCTAGGTGTACCAATTCCTGCATCTATTGCTGCACCAACCGCATCACTTTACGCACCACCACCACCGCTGCTGCAGCACGTGGAGCCGGACAACCAGGAAGTGCTCTCCGCACCGAACGACGAGCGAGCGCAGTACTTGCAGACGAGCCACCTCTCCGAGCAGCTGGGCGAAGGCGAGGCGGACCAGGATGCGGGTCTGCTGCCACCGCCGGGATTGTCGCGTCTGGTTTTGGGCCAGCCGGAGTTGGATTCGCAGCAGCAGCGCTTGGTCACTGGAGCCACGGAGCAACCGCCACTGAATGCCGCACAGGCGGCTGCTCTGCACATGCAGGAGCGTCAGGCGGATGGCGAGGACACCTCCGATGGCGAGCAGCAAGTGCGCAACATCCAGACGCCACCGCGTCGCGTGGTCACCGGTGTGGAAACGAATGCACCGGTCTCGCTTCCTGTGAGGGAGCAGCGAGAAGTAGTGCTGGACGGTGAGAATCTGGAGGATCGCGAAGCTTTACAGCCACCGGCAGTGAACGAACTGCCTCCGACATCGGTACATCACACGATTCTGCCCGACGAACCGGAGCAGCTGCATCACAGCAATCCGCCGCAGGCAGTGGCTCCCCTGAATCCCCAGCAACCGCACCAGCATCAGCATCAGCAGCAACCACTGCTGCAGCAGCAACACCAGCAGCATCCCGCGCAGCTGGAGAAGAAGCGGGCGGCGACGGGACGCCGGGCGAATGCCTCGTTGGATCTGGAGTCCGAGGACGAGTCGGACGAGTTCCTGCAGAGCGAACGGGAACGGGATCGCGAGCGTGAGCGTCGGGACCTAATGGAGGATAGGCGGAGTGGTCGCGGCCGCAGCCATGGTCACTACACGTACGACGGCGAGACGGAGGACTCGGTGCGCGGTGCTGGCCACCATGAGACCAAATCGTTGAGGGAATCGCATCACAGGCGCAACCACGAGTCCACGCGCTCCCGTCGCCACCAAGAGCCGGAGGCGGAGCGGGAAAGGGAGCGGGATCGGGAGCGTGAGCGGGACCGGGAGCGCGAGCGCAACTGGCGGCGACGGTCCAACAAGTATCACAGCGGCGGCGAGGACCAGGATCGTTCCTACGACACCTCGCGTCGCTACGACGGCGAGTCGGATAACCCGGAGATGAATCACCTGGGCGAGGGTGAACTGGACGGCGCCGGTGGAGCCGGCGGTAGCGGCGGCCGGAGCAGCAAGGCCAGTCGTCAGCGACGCAGTGCCGCCGAGGAGGAGTTCGATGACTACGAACGGGAACGGGATCGGGATCGCCAGTATTCCAGGCGTTCCACCAAGCAGCCGCCTTCGGCTGACAAATCCCGCTCCTCCGGCGGTCGGCGGAGTTACGAGAACCAGGGACGCAGCGGTGGTGGTGGCGGTGGCCGTCAGGAAGATGGCCGCCGGCGTCATCCGGATCTGCGCAATTGGGATGGCTACGAGGAGTACCGCCGCAAGAGCTCCCGCAACAGCGATCTCGAGAAGGAACGGACCAACGGCGGCAGTGCAAGTGGTGGCGGCGGCACCGGTGGTTCCGGTTCAGGCAAGCGCCGCAATTACGGCGATCCATTCGATCCGTACGGAATGTACGAGCAGCTGTCACGGAATCCACAGGCCTATGCCGATATGTACGCCAAGTTCTACGGTCAGATGATCAACTCCATGACGGCCGCTGTTTCGGCGGCTGCCTCGAAGTCCGGGGTTCCTGGTGCCGCGGCCATTCCGGGATTGGTGCCCGGAGCGGCACAGGTGAGCCCTGCCCAGTATCTGGCCGCCGCGAGCGGAGGAAGTGTCAGCGGGAGCAGTGAAGCCGCCCTGCTCAGGGAACGAGAAAGGTTAGTTCCAAAGTACTATATCCTGTTTTTTTTTTTTTTTTTTTTTAATATTTGCTTGGTCCTTTAATTATTTCCCAGAAACTTGCAGAGATTTTAGGGTGTATTTGTCAGAAGTAAGATCATTGGCTTTTCTTGAGAAAGATAAGGTTTTTGCGGGGTTTTGGGTTAGTTAAAATGTAAGTTTGCATTCAACCAAATTGTTAAAGAAATGAAATCTACATACATAGTATAGTTTTATGAAAACCAAAGAGGGTTTGAAAGTTAAATCTCACTGGGATGACTAATATAATATAAATTATAGATTATTTAGAAAAAATATATTATTTCCAGTCTTATATATTATATTATATTGTATATATAAATATAGGTATATATTAAAAAATATATTATTTCTTTCTTCTTATTAAAAATATTTCTTGTCCATTTTGTTGTCACGTCGTTTGACACAAGAGTTAAGCGTGTTAAATCTCTTTTTAATGATCCATAAATTTTAGGCATTAAAATAGAGAGATAGCGTTTTATTATACAACCGTTAGGCCGGCGCCATTTCACTCTTAATTGTGGGTTATTTCGAAAGAATAAAATAAAAAATGCAAAATTTGAAAGGATGTTAAGTTAGAGCTTTTTCAATCTCTGCAAGTTTTAGGATTTTTCGTTTTGGCAGACCCAAAAACGTGTTATTTTTGCCTTCGTTCCTTTAGTTTTGTTTAATCCTTGTTTACCTTACACCTTAACCCTTAGTCTGACCCACCTTACCTGCTCTTAACTTTTTGATCTTGAAAGTAGTTGTTGTGTTTCTCTTTGCTCTCTAATTCCTTTACTTTTACCTTAGTTTGCTGAACAAAGAAGACTAATGATTAACTTAGTTTGTTTAACATAATGGGACTGTATGTACCCCCTCCCTTCCTCTCTTTCCTCTTTACCACACCCCCAATAAATGTTGAGGTTGGACTTGGGCTTTAATCTTATCAATTAACTAAATTGCTCATTTTTGTAGTTAGTGATTAGATTTGGAGGTCTCGCTCGCTCTCTTGCAGCTTTCTCTTCCCCTTGCGTTGTACCCATTTACATATTACATATTCCAATTGGATTCCCGATCCCGTCATGTACCATATTCCATTTCCAATTTGCTCCCAATGTGTGCCGTTCCGTTGTGTACGTTTTACTAATTAAAACAAAGCACAAAAACCCAACCAAAACAAAAACAAAAACTAATGCAAATTCGTAAATAACCGCAAAACTGTTTTCGTCTCTAACCAACAACAACAACAAAATGCACAACCAATTCGAACAACAACAATTGTGCTCTCTGCCCAAACTTCCCAACTTTACATATATACAGGTATACACACGCATACATAACCCAAGCCAATGAATTCCATCGCCACCAATACAAAGAGCTGATCTACCAGCAACAACAACAACAGCATCAGAGGGAGGATCACTTGAACTCCAGCTTTGCGGCTACGGAGGATAATGGCAGTTATTACGGATCGCGTGGAGGATCCATCTATAATCAGTTCCATCCATATCCGATCTCCAGTGCCCGTTCGCTGAGTAATTTGACCGGCGATGGACGCAATTCCCGATGCGGACCGTATTACGCTGGTTCCGAGTGCGGTCTCGATATCAGGTGGTCACAAAAAAAAAGAAGAACAAAATAGAGAAAGGTCGCTTAACTTTGGCAGTCCAAAGTTTCATATACCCTTGCAGTTAAAAGTCAAATTAAGTTGTACTAATTTTTTAAGATCCTTTTAAATTTAAAATATGCACAAAAGATCAGTTTAATGCACGTAAATATATACATTTGTCCACATTTAAACTTTGAGAGTTAAATGATACTTTTAAAAGTATCATAGGTCGTCCGAATAAATCTCCTATTTTCTGCAAGGGTATACCAAAACTAAAAAATATAAGATTAGAGAACATTAAAAACAAAAACAAGCCAACAAATCCAAAAACGCTCTATCGCTTTCTATCGTACTCCCTCTCTCACTCTTTTTCTGTGCAGCTTTGCTCTGTCATTAAGGCAAAAAACAAAATCCACCAAAACACCTGACCTCTCGCCCACTCTCTCCATTACTTTCTCCCCTCTCTGTCGCACTCACTCTTCTGCTGCTTTGGAAAATAGTTCTTCGCTTTGTCCTTTTCTGGAACGCAGGATCTCTTGATTTTCGTCTTATATTTTTGGATGGGTTAACGGAACTTTTATTTTACTTTCGCTTCAATTGTTATAAAAGCAAACATAACTAATAAGGCTTTAGGTTTCTTGAAACAATCATTGATCAAAGAATAGTTAATATTTTGATGCATCACAAACAAAAACTTAAAGCAAGATCCCAAAAAATAATTTAAATATTCATAAATTTATAAAAATATTTCGTTTTAATTAAGCTTGCCAAAATATCTTAGTATCTTGGAATTCATCTTGTTCTAAAAAGTTAAAAGATTTGATTTATGTAAATGTTATACAAATAATAACAAGTCAAAAATATTGCAAACTGAATGTGTAGGCTTTAAACTCTGAATAAAAATATAACATTTCTCAGGCGGTTGGCATTTAAGAATACTGTCAGAACTTAAAAAAAAGGTGCATGTAGTGGGAACTGTCGAAATCAACCTAGCTGATGGATTCTCTTTTCCCCGAATCCACCGTACCCCTGTCCCTTCTCCCGAAACCCGATCTCTGATCTCTCCAAATCTCCAATCCCTTTTTTCGATTTTGCATGAACTTTTTTATTAAATTTATTTTTCTTTTTCGAAACATTCATCTTTGTTCCACTGTACTAACTCATATTTTCCGTAATCAATCGCAGATCTGCCGCCGAAGCGGCTCCTCCGACCTATGGAGGAGTGACCACCGCTGGATCGGTGACCACCACAGCGGTAGCTCGTCCGCCACGCCGACGCACTCCCCTGCAGTTTAACCGACCGCATTTGGTGGCCTCGTACGCGATGAGTCTGCTGCTGAAGGTGAAGCCCAAGTACGCCGGACGCGGACGGCTGCGCAACGACGTGGAGGTGGCACCGCCTCGCATTCGCGACGGAACGAGCAGCCTGCTCCGCATGTATCCGGGTCCATTGCAGGGACGCAAGTTGCATAAGGACAAGATCATCAGCTTCTGCAAGGAGCAGATCCGACTGGGACCCACGCGCGGCTGCACCGTGCTGTATGCCACGCAGAAGAAGCCGCAGGGCAACGTGGCCAAGTATCGCGCCTCCCACGCCCTCATGTGGCACCTGCTCATCCTGCTGCTGCGTCAGAACGGAGTGAGTTTGGCATTAAATCTAAATTGTAACCTCAAATTCACGTTCATTTCCTTTTCAGTACATTGCTGACACGGATGTGGGCGATCTGCTGCTGGAGAACCAGCAGGAGTATCCCTACGATCCCAGCGAATACGAAGCGGAGGCCGAGCCCGATGCAGATGCCGAGCAAGATGCCGCAGTTCCGGCGGAGAAGCCGCAGGAATCCGATTTGGATAGCGATGCGGGAGCAGCTGTTGCCACTGAGGAAACACCTGCAACGGGTGAAGCGGGTGGCTCATCGAATGGAGCGGACGCAGGAGCCGCCGCGACAGGTGGACAGACTCCGCTTTCGGAACAGGCGGCCACGGACAAGTTCCGCAGCTATGTGCTGCGCGGAAATGTGGAGGAGGCACTCCAGTGGGCCACCGACAACGGCCTGTGGACGCACGCCTTTTTCCTGGCCCTCTACGAAGATCGCTACGCTCTGACCGATGTGGCGCAGAAGTTCCTGAACCGGGCGATCAAGGCCAACGATCCGCTGCAAACGCTCTACCAAATGAAGAGCTGCCACACGCCGGCGTGCGTCAGCCAGCTGAGGGACGAGCAGTGGGGCGACTGGCGGTCGCATCTCTCCATCCTGGTGACGAACAAGAGTCGTCAGCCGGAGTACGATCGCAGCTCGGTGGTGGCCCTCGGCGACACGCTCTTCCAGCGGGGCGATATCTATGCCGCACACTTTTGCTACTTGGTCGCCCAGGAGGAGTTCGGTCGTTACGATAGTTCTGCTACGGAGCTGACTGCTCTAACCGCAAATGTGCCCAGGTGGGTTTCCTGCTATCTCCTGCTCGTCCCGATATCTAACCCCTTTCGCTTACAGACTCATCCTGTTGGGCTCCTCGCACTACAAGTACTTCAATGAGTTTGCCAGCAACGAGGCGATTATTATGACGGAGATCTATGAATATGCCCGCTCGCTGTTCGATCCCAAGTTCAGCATCGCCCACTTCCAGCACTACAAGTTCCTGCTGGCCACGCGCATCCTCGACTACGGTCAGCACTTCCGCTGCACCAACTATCTGGAGCAAATCGCCAGACACATCGAACTCAAGCCAGAGAGCTACGATAGTGATTTTATACAGCGGGTAAGCTCCTGCTTCTGCTGTTTGTCAAGTGTAATCTAATTAATATTAAATTTATTATTACAGGTCTGCGGTTTGGCTGAACGTCTGCGTTATCACGATCCCATTCTTATTAACCGCGTCTCCTTTGCGAGTCCTCCGAATGCCACTAGCAAGGACAGCGCCGCGCCCGAAGAAAAAGCCTGGCTGCGTCAGCTGCGATCCCTGGCCGATGTGGTGGGTTAAACTCTCTCTAGAATCTAGTTTTAAATTATCTGATGGAACATGTTTTTTTTTTTTTGCAGCATCCCCAGCAGGAGCAGCTGCCACAGCTGCAGCAGGAGAAGCAGGAGCAAAACGACATCGATCAGCAGTTTGCGGAGGTGAACAAGCAATTCAGGGAGCTGAACATGCAGTACGATGGTGGCAATCTGGAGAGCACGCTGCAAACGCAGTTGCCTCCAGTCGAACAACAACAGCCACCGCCGCCGCAGCAAGTTGTGCCGGAATCGCAGCAACCGTTAGTGCAACAGTACTACGAGCCACCACCCCAAGTGCCGGCAGAGGCCGATCCTTATGGCCAGGGACAACAGCAGCCATCCTACTACGATCCAAATGCGATCCAGCATCCATACGATCCGAATGCGGCGCACCATCAGTACGATCAGCAGGCGCAGCCACCGAATCCCACTTATAGCCAAGTGGAGCCCGCCACTGAGGCTTATCAACCGGGTCAAGCAGCAGATCCGGCAGCTGCCCAGCCTGGCTACGGATACGATTACTGGTCGGGCACACAGCAGCCGCCTTATGGCGATGAGGTAGGTTCAGGAACCCAGTGTTTCTAGGCCCTCTGTATTCCCATTTATAGCACTTGTAATATAGCATTCGTTCATTTGCTCAGAGAGATGATGGTTTATGTACAATTAGCAGTTTAAGCTTATTTATTTTTTAAACTGTTTATTGTTTAAAGAAGAATATTTATTTCCCTTCAAACAGTTGGTTTACAGAGGGTTATTTTGTTGCTTTCGTTGCCTTTTAAGTTTATTTTAAGTTGATCAATGTGCAGACTGTTCATCCGTCCTTATATATTTTGTTTTAGTTTTGTACTCTATGTAATTCTGTTTAAGTTCTTTGAGTTTTGACCTGTCTGGAACTTGTGTTATAGCCATAGACATTGGGACTCGTCAAATTTCTAACAAGTTTCTAATCAAATTGCACACGAAACAAAACAACAAAATAAAAACTTGCCTCTATCCAAACGGAATGCAGCCGAATGAGAACCAGGCTGGGTTGCACGATGAGGAGCGGGATGAGCAGCAGATATTAGAGCAGGCACAGCAGCAACAGTTGCAGCAGCTAAAGCAGCAGCAACAGCAACAGGAGCAACATACACGCAGCAATGGAGCAGCCAGTGGCAACAATCGCTTCAAATCGAATGCCTTGAAGCAGGAGAAGAGCAGCAGTGCATTGCGGAAGCGACAGGAGGCATCGCGAACAGCAACCATTGCAGCGGCAGCAGCTGCCATTGCCCAGTTGACACCAGCAACAGGTGCAGCAACAGCAGCAGCAGCAACAGCAACAACCACAGCGGCAACACCAACGAAGGCATTCAATTTGAATGATGTAAGTAGCTTTTCCAACACAAATAAACGACATCAAGCTACCAGCAACAGCAGCATCAGCATCAGCAGCAATCGCAGCAGCAACAAAACAGCAACAGCAGCAACAACAGCAGCAGCAGCAGCAACATATGCAGCAACAAAAGCAGCAACAGCAACAGTTGCTGCTATTCCTAATCAATTACTAAGTTGTAGAAAGTCTAACAGCCAAAATAGCCCATGTTTAGCCACGCCAAAAACGCTTACAACGCCCACGCGTTTCATCGCCGCCAAAGCAGCCACAGTAACAGCCACGCCCACGGCGCCCACCACCTCAATGACCACGTCTACAGGTTCTCGAGGGCCGTCCAGCAAGCGGGTTAACTTTAATCTCCCGACGACCATCGCTGAATCGGAGCAGGAGTTCGAAAATGAGCTGGACTTCGATGAGGAGGAGGAGGAGAACACTCTGGCCTTGGCGCAGGCCAAGCCAAACGTGAATCTGTCGCGGAAGCCGCACATTGTCTTCAATGGAACCTTCCCCATTGACATGCCTTTGAATCAGGGACAGAGCCAGCTGAAGAGCAACTCCTATGATCCGGAGGCGAATGCGGATCGCGGGGACTTGCAGCGCTATAGGAACTACATGCTCCGAGACTTTGTCATCGATGAGGATGCCGAAGGGGAGGAGCAGGCCGAAGAGGAGGAGGGGGAGGAGGACGAGTACGCGGACGAGGAACTATTCCCATATGCCGACGACGACGAGAGCTTCGATGACGGCGATTACTATACGCACCAATTGCTGAACAAGTACGGGATTGTGCCCAGCAAGGAGGGAGTGAGGAGCGAGCGGACAGTGGGTTCCGTGGAGGCAGCCACCGCGGCCGCGAAGCCGCAGCACGTGTGGTCCATGGAGGAGCTGATAGCCAATCCCGCGATACCGCTCAACTACAAGAAAATGTGCTCCGAAGTGGAGCAGAGCCTCAGTCGGTTCGAGAACTATCTGGACAGCAAGAAGGAGCAGCAACAGACGCAGCCGGCGGCCGCAGTGCGAACCTTCGACATCGATGCTCCGACCAGAAGAGGCCACCGGAGCACCGCTTCCACGAACGATGGCTTGGCTCTTAGATCTAAGAAGAAATTGTAAAGAAAAACAAAGAAAAACTCGCAAAAAAAAAAGAACAGAAAAGAAGTTATAGTCGTAGCAAAAGATCAGTATTTACAAATCCAAAAAGTAGTAGGTAGAAAGATGAGGTGGAGAGAAAATGCATTGCTGCTTTCCTTCTGGGAGCTTTCTGTACCTGGAGCTTGTCTTAACTGTTTAGGTGTTAAATCCACAACTAGTTTTAGTGCCACTGAGCAATCCTGTTATCACTAAGCCTTAAACGATAATAATTGTGAGCAAGACGTTTTTGACTGCGCCAGTTTATGTTTGCCATGTTTACGTTGTACACTGGATTCGATTCGATTTGACTAATCCATAACCCAATCTGTTACTACTAACCAACCTGAATACTTATCTGTCTAAGATCTAATGTCTAATGACTAAACCGATTGCCTCTCGCAGAAGACTAATCCAATGCCGTTTCTTGACTTTAACTCCAATCTCGCCATCCGAATCACAGCTGCAGCAGCAGGTGCGCCCGGCGATCTCCATGCCCAAGTCGAAGAGCTACGGGGACGAGGACGACGCTGGCGCCGGTGGTGCGGCCCATCCTGGCCAGAAACCCTCGCAGGGAGCCGCCTCCTCCGAGGCACCAGGCAAAAAGCAGGCGTCGGGCAAGCCAGCCAATTCCGGCGGTGATCTTGGGTAAGTTTATCTTTTATCTATCTACTATTATTATTATATATTAACCAACTTAATACCTTTTCAGTGCACCTGGCAATCAGAACGCTGGCTGGTTTGGCGGACTCTGGAACAAGTTGTCGCTGAAGCCGAAGAACCAAATGATCCTGCCGGACGACAAGAATCCGTCCATCGTTTGGGACAAGGAGCGCAAGTGCTGGACGAACACCGATGGCAGCGTGGACGAGACGGAGAGCTTTAAGCCGCCGCCCAAGATGAGCGATCTGGGCATGGGCATGCCGCCCGGGGCACCAGCGGGAATTGGACTGGGAGCAGCGCAACCGCCGTTGGCCACCAATCCGTTGGCCGGCCATCAACCCGCTCCTCTCATGGATCCCACGCAGCCTCCGTCTCAGCCGCAAATGTACGGCAGTCCCATTGATTACACGGCTGCTCCGGCGCCCGAGATGATTCCCACGGTTCCGTCGCCGGCGCCACTGCCCGTTCCCTCACCTGCTCCGGTGCCAGCGGCGGCGGCTCCCAATCCCGCGGCCACTTCCGGCGGACCCCAGCCCAAGCTGCAGTCGAACATGTTCAAGATGCAACGCAACCGCAGTAAGTTAACCATCCAATCATGAATATGTGGAATTTTAAAGTTAAATAGAAACATTCAAGGATTTATTTGCAGAGCCTTAGGCTTAGTTTAAAATTATTAAATGTTGTTTATCTAATTTAAATTTGTATGGAAATGTTAATTTCTATAAATATTTTATATTGCTAAAAATCAAATTCAGCTCTTGATATACAAATATCATTCAGAAAATATGAGAAATTTAATAGATAATACAAGTAATTTTAACGAACCGTTTTCCTCATGAAACATTTAGACAAGGTTTTTCAAGTTAAGTTAGCAATCATACGAAAAACCGATTGTTGTATAGTTACACCAATGCAAACCTTTACTTATCCATTTGCAGCGCTGAAGAACTCCTACGTGGATGTGTTCAACCCCTCGGGGGCGCCCATGTCGGCGCCAACGGAGAATGTGATGGCCCCCATAATGGCGCCGGCAGCGGTGCCGCAGGGCGGCTACTTTGTCCCCGGACAGCAGTAGGGGATCTGAGCTCTGGCATCAGCAGCAGGAGCCTCGGGATCTCGGCCAGCAGAGGAGGAGGGTGTTCAGGATTTGAGGACGCGAGGACGAGAGGAGAGGGCTGCCACAAATGCCAACTAGATGTGAGTTGAGACGCATGACAGCGGATGATGCCTGATTGATGGGGTTACTCTTTCTTTGCAGCAGCACTTCGAAACTACGTAAAACCTTTTCGAACCGGCGACAAACGCACACACACACACACACTCGCACACACGCACAGTCATGCATTAAAAATATACAAGCAAACACACATCCCGACGAGAAAAACTGGCCAATTTCCACCAAGGGGAAAGTTGGCACTGCGATACTTTCAAGCTTCTACTAGACTCTGTCAAACCTTCTGTCTGTCTGTCCTATCTCTGTGTGTCTACTAAATTAACTCACCTAACTAAATTAAACACCTGATTTTACCAATTTGTGCGCGTGGGTGTGTGTGTGCGATCGATGTCTTAACGTTTAGTGAATGATTAAATGAGGAAACGAAGAAGAAAGCGATTAATGTACGACTAGCGAAATATATATGTAAATTTCCTCTATGTTAACTATACGCCCCCTTGATTCCCGATTTGCCCGCCCTCTATATCCCCGAACGCCCCCTGCCTTTCTCTCCCGACTTCTGTTTATATATATATATACATGTTTCTTTTGTATGTTGCATAGTTTTTATGATTATTTTTTGTTTAGCTGTATGAATATGTATTCGAAGAAGGAGGTCAGACATTAATTCGGAATTCACCCTAATTATGCATTGCTGTACTTTCCGCATCTAAATACTACTATCTATTGTTTTCTATAACTATATAGTTGATATTGGATTGATAAACGATTAAGAAGCAAACGAATTGTTCTCCCTGGTTTCTATTTCACAATGTATTCTTCTCTGTGTCTCTTCTTACGATTGGTGTGAAATATGCAAATGATTCCAATTATATATATATAAATGTATCTTTAGAACAATTTAAATGGTTTTTCTGTTTTTTTTTTTTAATATTTGTTTAAATTGAAAATGCATTTTGAAAATGTTTATTTGTTAGAACTTGTTTGTTTATGCTTTATTTTTATTTTAACAATATACGAAAAAAACTGGTGCAGGCAAAAAAAAAAAAAAAAAATAGCAAAGAATAGAATAGAAGGAACGAAAGTAAAATTCTGAAATTATATAGGAAGTATACTGGCACACATATGTATTATGTACAAATCGAAAAACTAATTGGTATATCAAAATTAAAATATAAATCCCCAAAAAAGGGATAAACTGCTGTGTATTGACCACAAACTCTGTACTCAAAAACGGTACACAAATTACGATAACCCGAGCTCTGTAACTTGATTTTTCAAACTCCTTTATATACACATATATTATTATGATGATCAAGATTGATTGGAAATATGATAATGTTGACAATGACGGAACTAGATCGAAGAGAAGTGTGGTATGAATTCTTAATGTTTAATTAGCCTAAAATAAAAACTAAATCAAATGCGTACGACAAAATACAACATTTATGTAAAAACATATAGGCTTGTAGTTTTATTTGGTTAAGCGGCTGCTCCATCGCTTTAGACAAAAGTAAAGGTAAGCGGCGGCTTTATGGGTGGCAAATTGGCCTTTCTGATTATTTGGTTCCACACATTGGATGAAGACCAATTCTTGACAGGCTTCTTGCCTTTAGCCATAGATTATTCAACTCTCTCGGCTTTTTGGAAATCATTTGTTTTCCTTCATGTCAAATAAAGAGTTTGAGCGGCTTCTACAGTTCCGCGTGTTGCCTGAAAAATGCCTCGAATTCTTCGTCATCTTCAGACTCACTGACATCTTCACCAACAAAGGTAGCAGCAAGTTTTTGAAAGACATCATGTGGTACATCCATGTCCTCTTCAACTGCTTTGGCTTTAGGTTGGACAGGTTTGGCTACAGGCGGCTTCTCGATTTCCTCATCCAGCTCCTGTTCTTCGCCTAGAAATTTTAAAAATAAATTAATATAGGATAACAGTTATTTTTAAAGCAAGAATCATACAAATTGATCCTTGAATTACACATATAAACATGTTTCTTGTGAAAAAGCTTAACCTACCGCTGTCGATGGCATCATATCCTCCTGGTGGCTTCGGTTCATATGTAACAAAGATGGTGGGAAACTCCACGATAGTTTTGCCGGCCAGATTCTGGCCCAATGTTTTGGTCGCCTCCAAGGGATAACACCTGGTGGAGCTGCGTCGAACGCCCTCGGCTCTCAGCCAAAAACTCAGTTGGCCAATTCCGGCAGTCTGATGGTTTGCTAACAGTTTGCGATGATCCCGAGCTGTTTCGTGCTGCAGATCTATATACTTAAGGACCAGACCCGATAGCGTAACCTCCTCATCACATCGGGCGTCCACAAAACGGGCCGCATTCTTTGAACCACTGGCCTCCAGTGAAATGTTTGCAAATAGCCACTCAACGCGCCAATAGAAACGTCCAAGCTTCCAATTCAGATACGTGGTGTTCTCCTTGTGCCTGCTGAAGTTGGGTAACTGAAGGCGCAGCTGTATATTGCGATTCCTGGCCGCTGTTCGCATTCTATGTTGGGCAACAGGAAGATTCCTTTGCTCGTGGGTGAATCGCTTGCACTGATCCGATTTGCGATTGGCCGCATAGCGGGTGCACTCCTCCAGGAAACAGTAGTCGCTCATGAATTCCCGCGCCGTCATCTCGTTCAGGGGCACAAACTTAGTCCGATCCCGCTGGCCATCGCAGGAGAGTTCCTTTTTGTGAATTTGGACGCATGGCAGGCTGCAGGTTTTCACCTCGCACTTTGGGCAGGCGTAGCGGGCTTCTTTTGCCGCGCAAACTTCGCACATTCCTAGGCGCATGGTGCTAAAAGGATTGGTGGTTTATTATAACATTAATTAAAGGTTAAGAATCAAATAATACCTTGCTTTTGCGTTTGACTCCGATGCCATCATCTATTCATTTCAATTGAAATCCGCGTGTTCGCCACTGTTTACATCTGGAAGTGCTGACAACTGTTGATTCAGGAAATCAAGTTAAACACTCGCTTGTTTAAAACAGCAAAATTATTTCTTAAAACTTTAACTTAATCTAAATTTGTGCACAATTAAACACTCTATTTGGAAACAAATAAATATAATTTAAAAAAGCATTTAAAATATTAAATAGAAAATAAACCCAAATAACACTAAAAAACGCCAAATTTAGCTTCTTCGTAGTCAACTGCTCAGTCTTACCACTAAAACAGCTGATTGCCGTTTTCGTGGGGGGCATGTTTTGTTCATTTGCGATTACGTTTTTCAAATTGTGCTTAAAGCTGTACATTTCTCGGTGACAGTGAGTTTGTGTTACCCAAACTTTAATAGATAGATTGATAATCCATTGAGTGCAAAGGTTCTCATATACCAATGAAATTTCTGTTATTTTGTTGAAATTGCAGGTAAGGAAATCGAAACATTGTTTATTTGAATTGCTGCAATAGTTGTATATGTGTGCTGGAGCACGTGTGTGTAGAGTGCGATAGACTTGCTGCAATTGTTATCGTTCTTCATATATCCAGTTATCGCCATCGATAGTTAGCTTGTTATCCGTTATCTGGCGCAATATTTAAATACATATCCGATGAGATTTATATATTTACTTTCTAGCACGTATTGATAAGTCTTATCAGTCAATTAAACTGGAATTTACAGGCCACGCACACGCGCTTTTTAGCATATCTTATTGTCTGCCCCTGAATTGCTCGGTTGTTTCTATGCCTAATTTGTGTTGTTTGTTTACCAGTTTTACTTTTTCGTTGCTTTTCTGTCATTAGATACGCTCACACACCTGAGAAAGGGAGTGGGAGAGTCGCGGCCGGAGAGCCATTCGCCAGGCGGTACCGGCTCTATAAATATGGCTGCTCGTCAGCTAGGCCGCTTAGTCCGCCGCGTTCCCCACCCCAAATCGCTAGCCGTTAATCCCTTGAGCACTTCCAGTGCGGTGAATATCGACGGTACAGTAAACACCTGCCGTGCAGTGAGCCCCAGGCCCATGAACCACATACGTTTGGCTGCTCCCAAGGAGCAGCTGGCGACAGTGCGATCGATGTCCCAAAATACCCTAGCAGAGCTGGTTTTCAATCCAAGTATTAATGGAAATCACAGTACGACTAACGGTTGCTCCAGCCATAACAACATTAACAATAATAACAAAGCTGAGAATGAAGCCTTTGAGGTGAGTTTAAAAGAATGCGAATGCATAACAGAAAATAGTAGAGTTGCAAAAATGTAACAACTTTGTAATTAAAACCGACTTTCTAAAACTAAACTAATTGCCTACTTTCTGGCGACAAGCAATATACATAGCTTACTGAAATAAATTCTGGAATGATATCTTTCTGATTTATATAAAATTTCGTTCGAAATTATAATAGCACCCTCTACTCTTTTAAAAATGTTCCATCTGCCAAACTTATTGAAGCAGATAGAACAGTTTAATTAAAAAATAATTACATATTAAAGATTTTCCTTCGTTTTTTAGGAGGCCATCAAAAAGCTAAATTCTCTGCAGTCGAACGATGCTGCCATTCGGAATTCCATGAACAATGCCCGAGTGGATACAAAAGCGGATACCGTTAAATATTTGGAGCGGAGCGGTCTGCCATTGGAAACTGTCGAGCAGCTGTCATTCATTCATGTGGCCGGTACCAAGGGCAAGGTCAGCACAAGCTCTTTAACCTGTTTTTGGGTTCTGTTTGCTTTTCATTACTTTATTCTAATTTAATTTTTGAGCTCTTCTTTATGCTCCACTAGGTTATCCAACATCAGCTGGTTTCTAATTAGGCTAATCAACCTAGGCGCTCAGTTCGCTTTTCTCTCATTTAATCAGAGAAATCTCTCTTTGGCTCTCTCTTTTCGCGAGGCCAATAATCGCTCACTTGCTGATAAGATTTGTTTAGCTTCCAATTTGATACATATATTGTTTTGTATTGATGGATCTGTTTGGACATTTGATACCCTTAATGAGTTTGCCAATCGGGTATACTCACTGTAATAATACCTATAAATTATTGTTAAATTTCCGAAATTGAAAGCATAAAAATAATAATGTGTATGGGCATTATACAAATCAATAGGATTTTTCCGTACGTTTTTTGGTGAAACAATCATAAGTTTATAATAAGCAAAGTTGTAAATTCAATACAAATAGAATTTTTTGTATGGGCTTGACTTTTTGTCACTACCCAATTGTTTTTAGTTTCTGGCGTTTTGTACGTTTAGTAGGACACGTCTATAGATAACAATGTACAATAATCAGATAAAAAGTTGTTCGAGTGGATTATAATTCTGATAATTTTGCACTTAACTTTTGATTCCAATGGCCTTCGAACTTATTTATAAATTTTTAATGGAAGAATATTGATTTTCTATTTAATTTATGATTATTTTAAAAAATTCCAATATGTGCAGCTTACAAATGTAAACATACTCGTATTATAAAATGGAGATTTCTTAGATATTTTTGATTTAAAGAGCTCATATTAGTAATTACAATGGCTCACTAGGTAATATATAACTGAATATTAGCTTTCAGTATAATATAAAGAGCTTATATTTATGTTTACAACTTTTTGATTAATAATTCAGTAGTTTGTTATTCAAAATTATTAACATGAAAATCACTGAACTATGTACTTAAAAATTATCAAGAGGAGATTTGATAAGAATAAATTGAAAAGTAGCTACCGAATTTATTTTAAAGTTAATATACTCAATATATACTAATGCTTTTATATCTTAACTTAGGGCTCCACCTGCGCATTGACCGAATCCCTGCTGCGTCATCAAGGCTTTCGCACGGGATTCTTCAGTTCCCCGCACATTATGTCCACCAATGAACGAATCCGCATCGATGGCCAGCTGCTGGCCAAGGACAAATTCACGGAGCAGTTCTGGAAGGTCTACAACCGCCTGTGGGAACTGCGGGAGCACGATCACGACATGCCGGCCTACTTCAAGTTCCTTACCATCCTGGGTTTCCATGTTTTCGTGGTGGAGAAAGTGGATGTGGTTGTTTTGGAAGTTGGCATCGGCGGCGAGCACGACTGCACGAATATCGTGAGAAATGTTCGCACAGTGGGCATCACATCGCTGGGACTGGAGCACACTGAGCTCCTGGGTCGCACTCTGCCGGAAATCGCCTGGCAGAAGGCGGGCATCATCAAGCCCGGGTCCCGTGTCTTCACGCATGTCAGTCAGCCGGAGTGCCTGGAGGTGATTCGCCAGCGGACGAAGGAGCGGGAAGCCACGCTCTACGAAGTCCCGCCCACCGAGGATTACTTCCGATCGGAGGCATATGCTCCACTTTGGGAGACCTTCAGCCACATGATTCGCCTGAATGGCTCCCTGGCCATTCAGCTGGCCGAAGATTGGATATCGCAGGCGAGAAACCAGGAGCACACGCCCAACGAGGTGAGGATGGATCCCCAGTTGCTTCGCGGTCTGGTCAGCACCCATTGGCCAGGTCGTTGTCAGCTGGTCGAATGGCAGGGCATGCGACTCCATTTGGACGGAGCTCACACACTCGAGAGCATGGCTGTGTGCACCGACTGGTTCGGAAAGAGCGTGCAAGACAGGTGAGTAAAGGACCCTTAAAAATCCTTAATAGACATTGCCAAATCGGGGACTTTAACACAAAAAAGCACCAAACATAAATCTTTATGTAAAAATAATAAACTTATTATTTAAAAGCAGGTGGGCAGTTACTCAAACTTGTTTAAAAAAAATTTCTTGTAAAATGTTGTGATTACTTAAAAAATAATAATATTAGTTGGCTAGTACTTTTAGCTTATAACCCAATTAAAAAAGTATTTTGATTGTCTAGTCTAGTCTACAAATCAGTGACCTTATCTTTCAAATAAGCAAGGTAGTTGTAAAGGAAATTAGTTGGATCCGGATTACTACAGCTAATATGTTGATTAAAAGTGTAATAATATGTACAACTGTAAATGTATTTAATGTTCATGTCTCACCTTGTTAATTTCAATTCTTAACATTCCTCTTTCAGTGTCAACCCGAAGATCCTGATCTTTAATCGCACTGGAGAGGTTGGGTTTGGTCCCCTGCTGGAGCTTTTAAATGCCACCTGTGCCTTCGACATGGTCTGCTTTGTGCCCAACTTGGCCACCTCCACGCCAAATGCTCCCAGTCAGGTAATGGTTCGTTTTAGTGCCGAAATGCAATTGAAGCGGGCGAGAACCATTGCCGATGCATGGAGCCAACTTTGCCAAGAGCAAAAGCAAAAGGATGAGGGTCAGGTGTACGACACACTGACCGATGCCTTTACCGCCATTCGACAAAGATTTCCTCAAACGGAAAACGGAGGACAACTGGAGGTCCTCGTTACCGGTTCCATTCATCTCTTGGGAGCAGCCATAAGCGCTCTGGATCTTATGAGTCCCAAAGCTGAGAATCACATTCCTGTTCCAACCTGTGGATCACAAAAAGCAATCGTTTAAAATTAGATTTAGTTAAGATGGGCTGAAAATTAGGGTAAGCTAACTTCGCGTGGAATTTAAAATATTTTTTATATATATTTTAAAGTTATATTTTAAAGTGGAATAATTTTTTTTAAAGTATATTTGTTTATTAAATCTATGCAATGAAGGAACACGAACAAATATTATAACTGAATCTACCAGATATAGTTCTGTGCACACCCATTAAATGACTTTTAGTAAATAGAAATACATATGTACCATTTATTCGTAATACTATTATGATGTCCTTTTAAGTATGCAACATACACATCCTATTAAAATAATATACCGAGAACTTTATAATTGGGACACTTGGTGATTTATTTTTAAAGAATAATCCGTTAGTGTATTTAAAGTTTACAATTGCGAATCTTCTGAACTTTGAAAAATTTTTCCAGTTGAAGAATAGCCAGGACTGTCAACTTACCGACGGCAGCGGATTTTTTTCCTGTTGCCTGAACTTTTCACATCCAAATTTACTCTGATTCAGAGCTCGTAATATCCGCGACTGCCAGAGATTTGGACGACGACATCAGACTGGGCTAAAACGTAACGAAAGCTTTAGGGGTTGCTTATTTCCCCAGGGAATTTTAAGGGGTGGATTGCGAAAAAAAACCAAGAGACAGCCAATGGCGAGGCGGCAACCCTGCTTGAAGAGGGAGACAACTGGCTTGTGCTCTGCTCCCCCGCGCGACTAACGGTAAACAAAATGGCTAACGAGGCAAGCGGAAGTCTGTGTGCGAGCAGGATGGCATAATGGTGCGGCGACTAAAGCAACTGATTAAATAACGGTTAAATGGCAGCGGCCATTGCGAAAGTTTCCTTTTTGTAGCTATATTTTTTTTCTTGCATTTTTCCTCTGCCAACGTCGACGTGGGCGCTAAACTGTCCCGTTTACAGCAACAAATCCGCGTAATTCACTTGCCTTTCCGAACGAATGTGTGCGTGTGTCTGTGTGTGAGGGGGTGAATCCTGGCGATGTTCGCTAAAAGGATTAATAAACGTTCGGCGTTTCGCATTTCAGTTGTTCATTTGACTCGGCGCTTAGCGGTTCAGTTACAGTTACTACTACCGCATCATTGTGTGTGTTTGTGCGTGTGTATGTGCTTCGTGCTGGAAAATTTGATTGCAAGCTGAAGAGATCCTGACTCAAGGATAATCTCTGAATTTACTTACCACTGCCGACGGCTAAATAACACGCATAGGAATAGATTAATCAGCATAGAAGTGAAAAAATTTTAAAAATTAGAAACATAACCGCTTAATAAAAAGCTTAATAAAAAAGCAAAGGAACTAATAGTTTTTGTTTTTGTTTAACAACAAGTGCAACATGCTTAAAACTAGTCAGATATCCAAAAATCTGGACTAAGGCCGATTGGAAATCACAGTGGAACAGTAAACAAGGAAGATCCATAAAAATGCAGAGCTCAAAATCATTTCTAATACGGGATCTTCTCGGGGACTTGATCAATCGACGACAAACAGATTCGGGTAAGTTTTCCTTTGTTTGGTTAATAAAAGTAAATAAGAAATCCATCAAAGTTTAGTTGTGTTTTAAGAAGGTTCTTGTACGGTCCAATATAAAAAAAACATAAGAACCAAAGCTGTTCTTGTTTGCTGTTTAATTTTTATTGATAAGTTAAATAGTAAAAAGCCAAAAAGATTTCAGATATTAAAATTGAACAGGCTTAAGATTGTGTAACCTATGAAAACCTTAGAGAAAGTATACCTTCACAAAATTAAAACAGCAAAAAATGGATTATCGAAAAACAGCTTACAGAATGAGAATTTAATTTTTAACTGATTTGGGATAAGCATTGTGCTGAAGAGTTCAAGTTTGTACTTTTATTGGATACAATAAACTTGCCAAAAAACTTGAATAAAATAATTAAAATGAAAAGTAACAATATATGCACATTTACGAAAATTTATCCTCGATAAGGTTCAATATTAAGCAATATATTCACATATTCAAGCGAAACCAACGATTCGTATATACTAAACGTCTTTGTTGTCCAATTAGCCAGCTCTTTGTTCATCCCGCCCCTTCTTTGATGTTTTGGTTGGGTGTTTTGCGGGGTTTTCGGTTAAAACCGCTGACAAATTGCCTTTCTCACTCTCGACTTTTGCCGCCCCCAAATCTCATCCTTCTTCTTTTAAGGCCTGTGGCATTTAAATCTCACACTTCGCTCAATTATCGCAAACAAAACTTTTAGCGGGATGAGGGGGGATTTCCCTTTCCTGAGAGCGAGGGAGATGGGTATATAAAGTGAGAGGGGGAATATGTTAAACAACAAAAACCAGCGCTTTAGGTCACATTTTAATTGTGCAGATGCCGCCCTCCACCAAAAGATATTTACCATAAATAACCAGAACTCGAGTAAAAATCTCTTAAAAACACAAATTATAAAACAATTATACATTGAATAAACAATTTTAGATAAAAACATTGGGATCATCTTAATCTTTGTTACTTAAATATGTAATGAACTTTAAATCTTGGAAAAATTAGACGTTGTCAGAAAGTTAAGGCGTTCCATACAAATAAAAATGATACTTAAATTAATGAAAATTTTCTTAATTAAATATAAATAAATAATAAATAAATAATCAAGATGAGTATAATTTTTTGCCGTGTAGGTGGCAGTTAATATTATTTTTGTTGCTGTCGACACTGCTTTATTCGTAACCTGCGCTCGAGCAATTTGTCACGTACGAACACTCTAATTGTTTTTAGCCAAGGGACCAGAAACCGAAAGGGAAAGCCACGCGGAGGATGAAAATGCGAAAGGGACTGAGCCTCTGACTGGGAAACTCAGCAATGCCAAATGTTTTCGCACCCGCAGATACACAGAAAAAACTTTAGTTAAACAATATGCTTTAAAATTGTATCAAATATTGTAGAAAAGATTTAAGATTTTCAGATAAACAGTAAAGCTATCAAAGAAAATAAAATAGGTAAATCCTAAATTAAAATTATTTAAAACCTATCAAATCGTTCAAATAAATGATTCCCAGCTTTTTGTGCAGCATACTTTTTTCGCAGTGTATCGCCTCAGGTGCCCGCTTACTTATGCTTTGTTTTTTGGTTTGAGCCAACTACATGAGTTGGCCATGCGTTCTCTTCTAATTATGCATGACATTAAATAAAGTTTAGCACAACAATTACAACTATTTAGAGGCTAATTGCTGTCAGCTAAAAGGAAAAGTGAAACTTATGCGGAATGTGTGTTGGCAGCTTTCGTTTGAGAGGATGAGATTTAAGTTGTTTCACATTTTAAGAAGGATAATTTGCAGGGATTTTTTACTAATTGAGCTTAATTTTGCATCATTTTTTGTTCTTAAATAAATACAAGTTGATGTATTTGAGAATGAAAAAAATAATTGCTAAATTTCCCGGCTAAAAATATGCTTTATTTCCAGTATGAGTCCTATTCCAAGTGAAAGTTGTTAGTACTGACACACGTCATTCTAAAACCAGTCTAAATTGCCGGCACATGCGAGCACATTTCTCCCACTTTCTCCCCCCTTTCTCCGTACTTTTTATGCGTGTCTCACAGTTCAAGTGCCTATTAAATGGCAATTGTGCCGCAAATTGATACGACGTGACTTTTCGAGAAAAAAGAAAGAGCTCACTCGAGACGTACCCCAGGATATCCACACACACACAAACACACACATACACACACACGCATAATTGAATATCCCCTCAGATAACCACCATCTACCCTTCCGTTCTGTCTGTGCAAATCGGTATAAATAGAATCAGAAGTCGAAACCCATTTGGGGTTAAAATACACAAATATAAAAATAATTTCCACCCGCTAGCTGCCAACTCGGAAAGTGGGCGGAAAGTTGAAAATAAAAAAAGAAAGGAATCCTTGCTGAGCGGACACACGTGAGCGCCTGCGGCGAACGCTCAGGTTCGGAGAGTCGAAGATGATGTCCTGTGGAAGACTTGACTGTGAAACAAATCCACTGGGAAAAAAATATTTTATAGTTGTAAATATTGAAGATTTTAAAGCTTTTGTTGCATAACAGGGGTAGTTGATAAAAATAGTTAAATTGCCTTTTTTGTTTTAGATAAAAATGCACTTTTAAAATAAATGTATGTATAATTCATCAAATAACAATAAAAAGATAGTGTCAAAAAATGTGGTACTAGTATCCTTTATTCCTATTCTAAACTCTAGTTAAATTCAACATTATTCATTGCAGAAATGATTGAAATTTATTTCGGAAAAATTAACTTTTATCATTATTCTGAAATATTACTTACTAATATTGTTTTATAAGTCCAAGAAATACGGAATACAATTCAATTAAAATTAGACTAGCATTAGAGCATATTACTCGTAGTATATAAACATATCAGCAAATTAGGAAATTGATTTTACCATTTATTTTTCCGACATAACAAAAACTGTATTTAGATAACAAGTATTTCTCGCAGTGCAATGTGGGGCAGACCATGTACATTCCAATGGGAAACAATTGAGCGCCCGACGACACGTGAATTTAATCAGGCAGCCCGCAGCGTCCGATTCCCGATTCCCGAGTCCGATTTGGATTTGCATTTCGCTGGGAGAAGATCCTGGAATGGGATCAGGATATGTGCGGCGGATATAAATAACACGTTGATTGCTGCAAATTGCAACTCATCCTGTCTTCCTAATGGACCAACGCCCACTTGATTCTCCTCTCCCATCCGAACCGATCCAATCCAATCCAATTCAATCCAATACGATCCGATGCGTTGTCTATTGCCGGATGCGGGGCGGTAATGAGTTTCCCGGCTCGCTTCTCGGCCGGAAGTGGCTGCACGCGCTAAAGAAGAGGAAGAACGGGAGCGGAACGCACCGAACGCATTAACGCCACGCTGCGCCTGAAAGCAGGCAACAGTCTCCTAATGCCAGTGTCTTTATTCCACCGACCACTTAACCCCACTCGCCACTCCATTTAACTCCTCTTAAGTGGTCAATCGAATGTAATTTTATATATGTTCAGCTTAAAAGGTTTTCGTTCCTCCCTGTCTCAAACATTCTTTATTAAAAATATCCTTTTTTATTCAATTTTCTAATAAAATATTTTGATGGTACCTTGGTTTACATTCTTTTGAAATATGTAATAGGACTTATATACTTTTAGCTGTGAACACAAATATGATTTTTTTAGAATCTTTTATGTAGGATATGTTTTTATAGCTAAGCTCCTTATTAATAAACAATTATAAATTGCCGTCTTATAAATCTAACTCCTATATAAATTGTGTGTGTTTTATTTATATATTTGTAAGATTTGTATACAATGCAACCCAAATATTGCGGTGATGCTTTTCTAGAATCTGTTGAAAAAGGATTTATGGATTTCACAGCTAAAATTTTTATTCATTAATTGTAAACATCGAAATCGATGCATATTCTCATTGAAAGGGGTTTTTGTTTTTCACAAAATTTTGTGGAGCTTATCAATCCGTCTTCCCACCACATTGCGTTAGGATTTTGCGCATATCAATATTAGTTATCTGATTTTACTGAATATAGCTATAGTTTATTTATAATCGTGTTTTTATTTTAGAACTCGAACTTTCCAATGACGATTCGGATATAGACATCGAGGATCGATCCACGCCGGACTCGACGGCTGCGGGCTGCCAGCAGGATCTGCTCCTGTCGCACCACCACCGCAGGTTCACCCACCACGACGACTCCAGTGTGGAGTCCTGTTTATCGGCAACGCGAGGTCCAGGATCCGGAACCGGTTCGGGTGGAGGAGGAGGGGGAGGGGGAGGCGGCGGTGGAGGTGTGGGAATCCCCGGCGGTCTGAGTGCAGCGGCGGCGGCAGCGGGCGTGGCCGCTGGTCTTTTGGCAGCGGCGGCCAGTGGCGCCAGCGGAGATCCCAACGGAGGCAGTGGCTCGGGATCGGGCGGCGGTGGCGGGGGAGGAAGTGGTGGCTACGCGGAGCACAAGCTGCAGCTGAGCAAGAGCGGCAGGAAGCCGCGACGCCGGCGTACCGCCTTCACACACGCCCAGCTCGCCTACCTGGAGCGCAAGTTCCGCTGCCAGAAGTACCTGAGCGTGGCCGACCGCAGCGACGTGGCCGAAACGCTCAATCTGTCCGAGACGCAGGTCAAGACCTGGTACCAAAATCGAAGGTGGGTTCTTATCCTAGAAGTGGATACACAGGAAATAAACCTGATCAGAAATTATACTCGTTAAAAATCAGTATCATTTTAGTATTGCTTAGGGTTTATCATAATAATTTCAATAGCCAAGTGTTTTCTCTGTAAACGGGAGTACAAAGTTGGTAAAAAACTTAAACTTTGTAATCTCAAACCTAATATTTTGTATTTATAACATTTAAAATAAATACATAGGGTGTAGACGAGTTAGTCAGCTTATCATATCAAAACATTTTTATCTTAACTTTTAATTTGGATTTGTGAAAGTATTAAAAATCTAACAAAGAAACCACAAAATTGGAGGACACTCCTAACACATACTAAGCACATATTACTTATTACCCATCCGCAGTGTTGTCAGCATATTATTTATTACTTATACGCAGAGTTGACTTTCATTTTCTTAAAAGATTTGTATAAACATAAATTTTTTTTAGAAGTTACGATTTTTAAATTAAAATAAATTGGTTTCTAATTTAAGTCGAATTTACAACATTTTACTTTTAATTTGTCCAGGACCAAATGGAAGCGACAGAACCAACTGCGCCTGGAGCAGCTGCGTCACCAGGCGACCATGGAAAAGGACTTTGTGGTGCAGGACGGCGGCGGCGCGGGCGGACTGGGCTGCTGTCCCAGCGGACTGAGCAGCTCTTTTAGCGCCGCCGCCGCCGCTGCAGCGGCTGCCAGCAATCCGTGCAATTTTCTCACTTCCGCCGCAGCAGCGGCCATTTTCCGGAACGTCGGCTATGTCCACGGATGTCCCATGTAGGAGCCACGCCCCCCGCCCCAAAAAATATAACAGCGAAACACACCACCTTCCAATTCCACGCCTCCCAGTTGCCTATGTACATAATACGTATAAAGAAAAGAGTTCTTGTGCAATAACCGATCGGGATGAATTATTGAAATAGCAGCGATGCATGGACATACTTACCAAGCGTACCCGATATTATTATTAAACTTACTTACCGATATAATCATAAACTAAGCTTAGTCGAATTAACTGTAATATACATAAAGACATACTTTTTTTTCGTCGCACTCTATGAACTTTTTTTTGGCCAGAATAAAAATTAAATTGCACGTGTTAAGGGGTTTTAATTGGGAGGTGGAAAAAAATATACATTTTGATAAGGGGTCATATCTATTGATTTATGAATTAACTATATAATATTGCATTGCGACCCATCTAACAATATATTTTTATATGTGGTTTAAAGCATTTTTAATAATTAGTCAATTACATATATTTTTGTTCTCAAGTCATAATTCCTCAACACATTTTTGGTAGTCATTTGTATTTATTTTGTATATTATTTTAAATCATGTATTATTTTATCTCTATTCGAAAACAGAAAGCCAGATTTTCCTAACTGTCGATTAAAAACGAATTGTTGGTAATTTAAGTACCGAATTGATCGACTTTTAACTTTCTATTAAGCAACTTTTTGATGCCATTTATTAATGCACACAAGAATTGTGAGAGTGACAAACATAACGCAACGTAACGGTTAAATGCCGCTCGCCCATCTGCAATCGGTGAGCTGTGAGTCATGCTTGAAAATCAACTTGAGCGAATCGCACAAAACGTTATCAATTTGTCGCTATATAGCAAATAACCCGCGACATATGCCCACTCACCGGCAGGATATCTCGTCTATCTGTATATAGGCCCACTCTATTCATATATTATTTGCATGAAGCTCCAAGAGAGAGAGAGAGAGGGCAAGAGAGAAAGAATGAAAGTGAGAGCGAGGGAGAGAGGAAAAGAGAAAGCTTGGATAAGAATAAAGCAACCAACCGGAAAACAAGCAACAACTCTGCCTGCAATTTCAACGGACCAACGGAGCGCAGAGCGCGCATGAGCGGGGGCGTGCGCCAAAAAGGGATGGCAGTAGTGCCTCGAGACGGCAGAGGCTGCAACCAAAATCTCGGCAGCAACGTCATATACAGGATACATTCCCTAACGCAACTTTAAACCTAGAATTATGACTTAAATACTTAAATTTTTGTTATGTAGTTAAATTTCCCAACATCGATGGTAAACAAACTTTCTATAACTCATACCATTTTTAATTACGTTTCTTACCGCTGTGCTCAACCAACTCTCCCACTGTAACAATTCTGATGCACACCTCAAATGTTCCACCTTTTCAGAGTTTACGGCAAGGAGGACTGCCTGTAGTTACAGTTATATTTTCATGCCCATTTAGCTCGCTACACAAAAAGGAGGAGAAATGTTTAGCCACAAATTGAATCTGCGGTGAGTGAGTTAACGAGCGAGCGAGAGAGGGCCAAAAGGATATGCCCATGGAGGATATAGAAGGATATCGTGGCAGACGGGCGGTGTGGGGGATATCTGGTGGGCAGAGTAGTTTTCGAGTGGTGCAGAGCAGCACAGAACGCTAATTAAAAAGACACTTGAAGGGAGCCACCGGAAACAAACGGAAAAGCCAAAGCAGAGGGGGCAACAACAAAAAAAATATAGGAAAATGGCAAAAATGGAAAGGAAAATGCAAATGGAAACGGAAATGGAAGGCGAAAAAAGCGAGTTAACGTTGCCATGAAATTGTCTATGAAATGTGAATGTAATTTAATGAATAAAATGCAGCTAACCCCCATCACTCAGCCGCAGCCACTTGCAGATAGATTCGCATTTTCTGGCTCTTTCACATCTTTTTCGCAAAATTCTCACATTCATGCGGTTCATTTGCGCAGCCATTGAGATTTGAATTGCGTTTTTAATTGGTACATTTTACGTAGCCATCCTTTGAGCACAAAGGCCCCATTCTGCTCCTCGTTCCCTTTGAGCTGGCCCCGTCCACTTTGATTTGTATTTATTTAATGAGTTATTAATTGCATTAAGCTCTCGACATTTGCCAACTTTGCAATTAAAAAAGCGAGGAACTTCCCGAGAAAGGGGAAAAAGTTCTCGGCTTTTGCATGCATCCATGCTGAAAGCTATAAAACTAGTTTGCCTTATTTGCTGCTCCAAAAAATAACAGATCTTTTTGGTGCCTTTCTTTAAAAAACTAAGATAATTTGCTTTGTTCATTTATTTAATTTATAAAAATATTTGACGATTAGAAAAAATTATAAATAATGGTTAAAAACAGCATTTTACTCGAAATATTAGTTACGACAAATATATGTACTCCAAAAATTGTAATCCACAGGATAAACAAACTCTTGTTTTTTATCTTTGTTTTTAGGCTTTTCTCTTTGCTTTATAATTATGTTTGGTTATTCTTGATATTGAAGTAATTATACGTAAACGTTTATACTTGTTAAACTTAACATAGTTGTACTAGCTTAAATAAAGGTGAATCAACCCCAAGAATAGGATGTGCTCGAATCATACAATTTTTTAAACCTAAGAACTACAGAATTTTGAAAAGAACAAGTAACGATTATTTTAGGCCGCATAAGTATTTTAAAAAAGGATAAAGTTTCCAGGCAAAACACTTGACTTTTTTAGCTATATACTCGTACAGGGGAGGAAACGAAAGTTACTCCGTCGCATTATATCCCAATTTCGATTTAAATTTTTGCCTGCTGTGGCCCCGCCGGAGGGCAGGAATAAAAAATGGGAGTGAAGTCCGGGAGTGAAACCGCAGGAGCAACTCGACATAATGATTGTGATGAGGGGCGATTATGTCATCGTGGATGGGCAGGACACAGAGGACTCGACACACTTGACTTCCGGTTGAGGGAAGGACGAAGGCTCGGAGATGTTTGCCATATTGTGTGAAAATTTGTGTGTTATCCTGCCACTGCCACTGCCACTGGCACAGCAACTGCTCCTGTCGTCATTGGTGGTGGTTTTAGCAGCTTCCAGTTTCATTTTGTGATTAAAATGTTTGTCATTATCCGGTTGGAAAATTGTCACAAATTGTGTTTGTGCCGCGGGCCGTGCCACACTTGTTTATTTGTCCCCATCCACATTTACATACATCGCTATCTGGCATCTTTATCCCTAATTGCCGCATTGTGTCCCATTGTGCGGCCATCGAACCTATGATTGGATCGCCCAAAAGTTTCGAACCCAAACCGAGCCAAACAGGTTGGCTTTGGCCAAAAGTCCACGGGAAAGCTGAGGCCTGATTCCACCGATCAGTTGCAATCTGTTGGACAAGCGAACAATGAATAAGTGAGTGGAATAAAATGATTTCCATTAGATAATAGATAAACGTATACTTACTCCGAGCCATGGGAACTATCACTTGATTTACTTGTGATAAATATGCATATATTAATCTGTTTGGCTCAAACATTCATATGAGAACTAAATCAACAAAGAAAGCTTTATTTCCATCCAAAATTGTAATTTCATCGTCATTACATGAAAATATCCTAAATCGTTTTTTTGGAAGTCATGTCGTTTACTCAAAAATAAATGTAAGTCCAGCCAAATTTAGTTTTTTATCGCAATATAAAAAATGTATTAAAAAAGTTAAGTTGTTTTTATTTGAAGTAGTTTTAGTAATACGAGTAAAGTATTCGGTAATTCCGAATTTTCGGTATATATATGCTTATTTTGGCAATAATGTTTTCGCATTTCTTCAAAGTATCTCAGTCGGTTGGTAATAGGTAAATACAAATATATTTATAAAAAACAAAATACAAATATGCTTTTTTTAACTTTAGTTATTTCTTCAGAAATTTATGTACTTTCTTTAGTAGATGTATTATGTACCACATTTTCAGAAAACATTCTTGCGATGACCAGTTGCGAACTCTTTTCCAAAGTTGATTATACCTAATTATACCAATATATACCAATAAATTCGCATTTACAGTACAAAGTCTTCACTAGTATACCTTAAGGTGTTGACCCAGAAAGTAATTAATAACGAAACAAATAGGCTCTAAAGTCCATTTTGGTTTAAATTCCACTTTTCTCTGATCAGGACATATTTTCAATCCGTATTTAAACGATTTTACAACTGCCAGATTTTGTCATGCGTAAATAATAATTGTTGAACCTTTATAAAACTTGATTCATTTGGACATAATATTGTGAAAAGTGATAATAATCGGTAATGTGCTTTTATATCGACAGCCTCTTTTTCAATATTAGACCGGAAATTATCCAACCAGCGTTAGTAAGGATGTTTTTATATGAATTATAGGCTACCTAATTAATGGGCTATCGACCAAGGATCAACGTTATATTGAACAAAAGTTACATATTAAATAAAATATTTTTAACTTGGCAAAAACTATTTTCCAAAAAATAAAATTGTCTACTTTCTCCTGTTATCGAGATAACTTTAAAAACAAGAGACAGACTTTCATGTCTATATCGACTCAGATGGTGATGCTGATCAAAAAATATATATTCTTCATGGGGTCTTGGGGTGAATTCTTCACTGCGTTGAAAAGTTCTTACTATAATCACATAATACTCTGAATCTATTAACTTTATACCAAGTAAAGCCTGAATATGGAATGGGAAACACCTGTGTAATAAAGAACCACTTTTTCTAAGAATTGAGTGAAATAGAAATGGTATTACTATATATAGATTGTGTGTGCATTTATGAATGTAAGTATATACTCGTACATAGTGAACAAGAAGGAATTAATAAAATAACTTACTGTTCTAGACTGCACACATTCGATGAAGTTAAAAACTTATTTCGGGGACGGCTTAGATTGAAAGTCCGGTCAACTTACTCGACTGACGTTCAAATTCCAAGTGGCTACTATTGACTTGCCGTAGATCCAAATTGCGATCGCTTATTATTTGTTTAGGGATTTATTATCTGTGGTCTGAACTTACTTTTATCATATTCCCATTACCACAGCATTTTTTGAGAGGATAATGGGCCGAATTTTGAACCGTAGAGATTACTTTTTTTGTAGAATTAGTGGCTTAGTCAGCCAAACCTTGGAACCAGAACAGTTTCATATTAAAAAAAATAAAACTGAACTTAACCAATCTTAATTTACGAGATCTAAACAAAAAATGTAAGTTGTAGAAAATCCAGTGAATACTTTTCTTCGTGAAAGACGATCATCATAAATTCCCCTAATATTATCCCAGACATCTCAACTTTCTCAGTCGCGACGCACAGTCGTGTTTATTTCTCAAATGACAAAAGTTTGTCATAATTTGTGGGTGGATCGGGCCAGATTTCACTTGCACTCTATGCCTATCATTTTGCATACCTCATACTTGGCATTTGTGTAAACAACAACTTCATTAGCAAACAAAAAGTAGACCGACAAAAGGAGAGAATGGGGTGGTGGTTAAACCCAAACTCGAAACACAAATCTAAAACCCGATTCCCTTTCAAACGCCACAAATCAGCGCATAATGATATGAAAATCTGTTGGCTTTTGTCAGGCCTTCAGGCCTCAAAGCCAAAAAAAAAAAAAAAATGGAAAATAAGTTGGGGTGGTTGGGCTTGGAAAAGTGTTGCAAAGCGTGGGGTGTGGGCTTCGTGTACATATTTATGTCAACAATTTGCCTTAAATTAGGCGTAAAATGTACAGATTGGTTACAAACACCGCACACAAGCGTCTCATCAGTTCGGTCCACCCCAAAAATTAAAGGGTAGCTTTCTGCCACTTGTCATCGTCATCTTGATTGTATATTATCATCGTCATCCGATGTGAACTCAATATGATTGTTAGTATTTTATTGCCACAGTGGAACATCTGTAAGAGAAATTTTACATAGTCCAGAAATAAACTAAAATACATACTTAAATTGTTTTTGTTTGCTAAATAATGTGAATAACCCCATTTAAAAAAAAAAAGTCATACATATATAGTTTTTAAAGTATTTTCAAGGTTTTTTAAATATTTGAATATTTTCAAAACTTTAATATTTGATTACAGCATCAATTTTGTATTTTGTATTTCAGTTCTCGAATAGCTAGGAAACATTTAAATTTTAGCGATTTTGTACTGTAACCCAGCTACCCTCGCTAATTGAGCGCTTTTATCGCATCTAATTGTGCTACAGGGGATTTTGAATATCGGTTTTATGAACATGTAGATTTCGGGCTCAAATGATCGGATCAGATGCTCATCGATAGCGCCACCTGATTTGCATAAGTGGCTTTAACAAGCCACAGTTTGGGAAACTGTTTGCCAACATAATATATAGACACATATGTACATATGTATATCTTTAATTTCTAGCTGAACTGAGGTTATGTTGGGCAGCAATCGTAACCTCACTTTTTCTAGATTGAAAGGTTATGTTGACTTCCTCTTTCCGTTGCATTTTTCTAAACAAATACATATGCATAATTAAAAGCAAAAAAAGGCATAACACGCTCACAAAGCCAACAGCAAGTGAAAAAGTTGTTAATCTTTTCATGCCGACGCATAATTAAAATGTGAATATGGAAATTTCAATGGGAATCTGTGTAAAAAATGAGCCAAAAAAATAAATAGGGAGCTAAAAAATAAGAGGTGATAAAAAGGCAGAAGACAGAAAGAAAGCACCAAGCAAAAGAGAAGAACCCACACACATACAAACAGCAACTTAACAGTTTGCTGTTGTTATCTCGCTTGCACCTTTTGCGCTTTTTACCGCCCATTTCTTTGTGTGTGTGTGCAAGTAATTGCAAAATACGAAATATGAATGCATAATGAGCAGATATTTCCCAAGTACGCAAGAAACTTCAAGCGGCAGTGGGCGTGGCAGGTGGAAAATAAGGAGCAGGAGGCGGAAACGGAGGCCAGGTGACTTTTATGCTAAAATGCGCACATCGCGCGTGCATTTGCATTTTGCCAGCCTTTTCGAAAGCAGCGCAAGGACAAGCACAAATACACACAAACAAACGGGCGAAAACGCAGCTACAGTAAACGTTCTTTAGCAATTACTTACTTTTCCATTTTTTTTATTACTCTTATTAAATTATTACAAAAAACATTGTGGTATTATTCGAATTGGACAAACTCGTAAAAACCTTTTACTTTTTACATAGTACACATTCGATTTTATGCCGTGGAAAGACTTGTTAAAAATATTTTTAAAAATCTTTAAGCTTTTTAAAATTGAAAATGATAAACTAGTTTGTAAAGTTTAAATTTAGCAACTTTGCACCTATTAACTTGAAATATACATATTCTTGTTTTCACTGTATTCATCTTGCTCAGCCAAGAGCCAAGTGAGGTTGAAAACATGTCAAAATGCTGGGGAGCTCATTAAAATAGCGTTGGCCATTTGCACACATCTTTCAGTCACTAATTTGCACAGGAGAGGGTATCCTTGAAGACTCCTCTTCCTGCCTCATAAGTAATATTCCCTTTTTGCAGTTGGTGCGCAAATCAGTTGGAGGAATCCCCCATAAGCCATGTGATTCGACCACAAGGCTTCAGTTTAGAGGAACTGCGTCAGACTCTGGGCCACTCCGTGATTCGTGAGCAATGCTATTTTATCTATGGAACCAATAACATTCTGGAGGTGAGTGACTCGGTGTATCTCGATTTACCATTTGCCCCTCAGATTATTTCAGGATTCGATGAGCTGCTCAACCAGGAGCAGATCGAATTCGGAGCGGAACAACTGGCATCGGTTTACGTGACCGGGATGATGGTCTATCAACTCCATCACGAGAATTTGGCGGACACCCAGGTGAAGAGAACTCTCTTCCTGCAGAGGTCCTTTGATTACATGGCCTGCACCGAGGAAACCCACGTAAGAACGCAACATTAGAAACATTAGAAATTCGAATAAAAAATCAATTAAAAAGACTGTTAATTAAATATTTGAAACCATTCAAAAGATTAAAGGGGAAAATTGTAGGTATAGTCAAATAATTTTAAAAATAACTTCAACATTTAAGGAATATAACCATGGCCCTTTCTAATAGAAAGTTTCTATCCGTTTCTTATAGATCCACCAGATATGCGTAAATATCCTGAGCCTGTTGGATATCAACAATTCAGATGTAATCCTGAACTTGATTTCCTGCTGCCGAGTAGCGAGTCCGCTGAGCACGATGGCCCGGGTTTTGGGGAACTGTCTGCTTTGGGCCATGTTGGATCGGCTGGCAGATTTGGGCCTGGACTCATACCGATTGCGCTCACCCGGGACACTTCTGCTCGTCATCGCAATGGTGAATCCCCGGACCTACCTGCAATCCTATCTGCATGTCCTGCATTTGGTGGTCCGCTTGATATCCGGTATCCTGATTGTGGGACCGTTGGGTGGCCATTGCCAACAGTTTTGCCAGGAGACCGGCGTGCCGGAAGGTTTAATGCAACTCGCAAGGGAGGACTCGTCCGTTTTGGTTCGCTGGCTGATCGCCGTCGTTCAAGAAATGCGTCCGCAAATGGTGGGCGACGGCGACTTGGCACACCTCCATGAGCGTCTGGTGCTTTTGGAGGCCATTTGCGAGCTAATGCAAATACTGCATGGCCATCTGGTAAAATACTACCAAGAAACAAATTCTCAAACCACAAACTAATGCTAACATAGAGCTAATTAATAAAGAAACAAATTGTCATACTATATTTTCCAAAACAAATAATGAATAACCTCAATTCTATTTGAACTATACTTTTTAAAATTAAAAACTTACCTTTAATTTTTATTCATATGTATAAAACTAAAATTTAAATAATTTTATGATGGACTTTTGACGTTACTGAACTTTAAGGATATTGGAAAAATAGACTTATTTTAAAATAAAACGAAAAGTAAAAAAAAAACAACAGTTGTACATCGCATAAAAAATGAATACCGGATTAAAACGTGAATATTATAATTTAAATATCTACTACACAAAAATGAAATTATAAATAAAATAAAAAAGAGTATGTTGCGAGTTAAGCATTTTATCGAACACAAGGAATAATTATTCCTATGGTGACAATCATTTTCTGCTGGATTGACGGTTGTATATTCACAAAAAATTAATAAACTTCCCTCAAATAACACACAGCTTAAGCATCGCGTCATTTTAATTGTTACAATTCAAAAGCTACAGCTTTGACTGCTAAACTAATTTAAAAAAAATTAGGGATTTTAATATTTATGTTGTACATAATTTTACTTAATAAAGGCAAGCACTTAGTGATTTTACAATCTCGTATAAGCGTAACAAGCTTAAAAAGCTCTGCAATCAATCCGGAAAGTGCTCCAACTTTAGTATTATGTTCTTCTGATATCCTTAAAAAAGATCCTGGATGTTTACTCGTCCAAAACAGAATCCAGCCACTGTTCTACTTCGTTTTTGCTGGCTGCCGACGAGGGAGTGGCCGGTTGCACCAAGGGCATGGGCATTGGCATGGTAATGGGTCCGATTCCAGAGGAACCCATATCGAGTTGGGTGTTGGTCATGGCCAGGAGCTCGTCGAGTTCATCGGGTTCAGCTGGAGCAGCAGAAGCTGGCTTTTCAGCTGCAAGAGCTGCGTCTTTGTTCGATTTAGCTGACGCGGCTCGGGATTTGGTACCTCCGTTTGCATCCTTCAGAATCCGCTGCTGGTAAACAGCCTCGGCTCGTTCGGCGGCCTCTTCTTGGGCAACGATCTGTGCCCGGGTGAACAACCCAGCGGGATAATCCATCCGCTTGTAGAACGGAATGGTCTGCAAACCAGCGTTTAAACGTGTTAGGTTCAAGGTGAAGTAACCACTGGCCGCCTTGGTGTGCAGTTTGGTCTGACCCTCGGCCACGCTTGCCCACTCGCGTTCCGAGCCAAAGGTGAAGTGTCCTCCGCCTAAACTGGGAAACTGGGCCAACTGCTGGAAGTCACCGGCTCGCATCTGAGCCCTGGCATTCTCATCGATGGGTGCGCCATCCAGGCCCATCGGCCCCACATCGTCGGTGTCGCTAGGCAGCGTGTCTAGCAAATCCCGGTTCCTTTGCGGTGCCAACGACGAGCGACCAGCTCCTCCACTGGATTGCCAATTGCCACGACGCGGAAACCGAGGCTCATCGCTGGAGTCCGCCACATCCACCATGCTGCGCCGCGAGGTGGGAGGCGGGGATCCCGATGATGTGGTCGAACGCCCTTGATCCTTTTTGTGATGATGATTGTACTGCTTCATGTTCCTTCGCTTTCTGCAAACCGAATAAAATGCAAATTGAGTGGTCAGTCAGACGTCCTTTGCTACGTTGCACTTACTCCTTGAATCGATCGTCCTTGCCGGACATTTTGGTGGGGGTTGTGTGGTTTCCGGGGTGTTATTTCTCAGGTAATTCCGATTCAAAATCGGATTGTTTACGCTTTCGTTGTTGTTGCTGTGGTAGCGCTGCGAGTAGGAGTGGGATGGATATATCTACGAACAGCTGTTCGCTAAACAAAGCGTAGTGCTGTCTCCTTTATTTTGAAAAGCTAAAAAAAATAATCAATTGTTTGTTAAGAATTTTGTTACAATAAGTTGATTTATGTGAGAACCTTTTTTTTGTTATTTTCTTTTATCAAATCAACGATTTGTAAATCCCACCAAATAACATGGCAGCCCTGTAATCGTTAAACAGCTGACAGCGATAGCTTCAATGCCGATTTGTGCTTATCGATAAACTGCCAAACTAAATTAATAATCTTTAGCAATTATTTGGCAAACGAAGCACCGTAGCTGATGTTGGGCTATCTGCAGGAACTGCGCGGCAGCAGCTCTGGGACGGAGCAGCTGCCCGGCGACATATACAGCGTGTTCTTTGCGGATATTCTTCAATCAGCCAAGGAAAATGGATGCAAGTCCAAGGAAAACCCTGGCGAATTTTCCATGCTACGGAGCTTTGAAGCGGAGGCAAGTAATCAATTGGAGCCACCGTCTGCTACAGATGAGGATGTCTGGATCTTTGGCTACGGGTCTTTGGTGTGGAAGGCAGATTTCCCCTATATAGACCGTCGCCGTGGGTTCATCTTTGGCTTCAAGCGTCGCTTTTACCAGCACAGCATCGACCATCGCGGGATTCCTGAACGTCCCGGCCGCGTGGTCACTCTTCTGCCCGGTGATCCAGCCGAGGATCGGGTCTACGGTGTGGCCTATCGCATTGCAGCTAGTCAAAAGAGTGCGGTTTTAAATCATCTAGACTACAGAGAGAAGAATGGCTACGAAAGGTGCAGCTTGGAGTTTCATACATATCCAAATACCACCGCTGGAAATGAAGAACCTATTCAAGTAATAATGTACGTGGCCACTCAGGCAAACGACTCCTATGCCGGAAATGTGTGGCAAGTGCCATGCATTGCGAAGCAAATCTTCAGCTCTGCAGGTCCCAGTGGCCCGAATCGCGAGTACCTGTTCAATCTGGCCGCCGCCATGGATCAACTCTTTCCCGGTGCCGTGGACGAGCACCTGGAAGAGCTGGTGGCTTGCGTAAGGCGTCACATCGTCGAGGATGAGCCCAAGTTGATGCGTAATGCTCTGTTACATGAAATATCTGGAATTCTGGAAAAGGAGCAGCTGTCGGAGCAAGCCAAGCAGCTGGAGAAGCTTCTGGAGCGATGCCAACAGCCTGGCGGACGGGAGTGGCTGCTCTACGGCGCACTGCAGCCCGGAAGCGAGGCGTGACCCCCACCATTCCCACTAGAAAATGATTTATAATACCAATGAGAATGTAAAAGCATTATAATGACGTGGTAGGGAGATACTTACAAATGGCAGGGATTGTGAATCACAATTGAAATTGTGATTTAAAATGACAATGATTTTTAATAAAATTTTTATTATAAATGACAACTTAAAATTTAAATATAACACAGGCATTCCTCGGAATAATAAAATCCACAAATCCAATTGTGATTTAAAATTAACAAAGTTAAAAGAATTTTAAAAATGGGGTTAATTATTGATTGATTACATAATAACCGATCAAAATTTATATTAAATGACTATTTGAATGATAAAAACTATAATAATATTTTTAATATTTAGACAAAAAAAAATATGTTTTTGGCAGGAAGATTCGTATAAATCTGCGCTGATAATAAAATGGGAATCTAATCTTTGATTTTGTAATCCAGGTACCACGAAATTCAGATAAAATTTAACATAGAGTTAATCAGTCTCATGCGTACCTTTTATATTTAAATACTATCGGCTATTTAAAGGGTTTTGATTAAATGCAGATTGTATTAATGGATGTTCCAAATTAAAACAAAAAATAGTTGAGTCTGCCCCGAAAACTAACTATAATTTTTATAACAAAGTTAAATAAAACAAATAAAAATATCTTTTTATTTAACTTGATTTTTGCGTTCTTTGAGATATCATTTCAATTCATCGTATGTTGGAAAATACAATCAGTGCGCAAGCGAACAAAGCGGGGAATACCCTGAATATACTAAAAGAGTATATTTTTCTATTTGCTCAGCAGTATCGGTAGCTATCGAAACTAAATGAATCGAGTGCGTTTCGAAACGTAAACAATCGACTTACCGATATCGTCGTGAGTGGGTAGCACAGCTCTAATTTGTCGCGCTTTTTGTTTGCATTCGTAGCTGCGTTTTTTGTTTATCGTCCCCGTGTGGATGCAACCGCATCGTCCAATTGGATTCGTCAAGCACCAAGCGACAAGTGTCCAGCAGCGGAGAAAATCGCCATGAAACAGGTGGGCGGGGTTGGAATTCCGTGGGTGGACTGTGATGTTACCGTTGTTTTTGTTTTTGCTGCTGCTGCTGCGATGATGTTATGTCCCCTATATGTGTGTGTGTTTTTAAGTGTAAGTGAGTGTGTGTCAAGTCAAAATGCAAATTCTAACGCGTATGTGTGGGTGTGATGGAATGACAACATGTTTGCATTTGCGAGCTGCTTTTTAATATCATCACCATAACCGTTAAGTTGTTGCTGGTCGTTTCGCTCCAGATGAATCACTTAAGCTCCCGCTCTCTCTCTCTATCCCTCTTTGTCTCTCGTTCGCTCCCCCAAGCAGATTCTTATCAGAGCAGCGAAAGTCACTGTTCTATCTTCATTGTTCTTGTTCTTTGGCCAACAAGTTTCTTATTGGACTACATTAACCAACATGACGCAAGAGTCTCTCCCGCTCTCTTTCTCTTTTTGCGCTCCTTTTTATTGCCTACTTTGCTGAGTTATTGATAATGGGCCCGCACAAAAAGGATAAAGCATAACGGCACATAACTCATTACCATGCAAATTTTCCTGTGAGCGTGCGTGTGTGTGTGCTAGAAGGAGAGGGCCATATATTGTGGGAGTATGCCAGTATTTACATTTTAGCAGATTACATTTTTCAGTATGTACTCGCATGTGAGATTATTACTTCCCTTCCTTAAAAACAAAGACCCTTCCCCACATTTTGTACAACAACAACAAGTATCGATTCCTGGGGAAACCTCGGACAGGGTTGCTCTCTCGTAAAGGCAAAATCAAAGCTAGCTGCGACAACCCTAGGACCCCTCGCTGCTTTGCATAACCAACCAGGATATTCGTGCAAGTGTGTGTATTCTTCATATACATACACGTGCCGTGGAAACTGCGCGGAAAACACTGCCAGTTTGAGTTTTTCGATGCAGAGCACTCGACGCGTTCGCACGCGTTGTTTTTCCCCCCAAAAAAAAATCGTAAAAAACCACAAAAACCTAGCCAAAATTTGTTCCAAAATTCAAAAGATCTAAAAATAAAGTAGAGGCACCCCTTGGAAAATCTGTTCCAGATGTTTTGGCCAAGTAAATAAAAAAAACCTGCAATTTTAAAAACTTAAAAAGTTGTGGGAGTGTGTGTATGTGTGTATGCTGCTCCTGCGCTGCCTCAACAAATTTTACAGTTGTATAAGTGCTGTATCTGTGTGTGTGTAACTCGTGTCATGTGACCGCGCGCGCAAAACATTTTGCATTGTTTTTGCCCAAGCAGTTGTTGTTGCTGCAGGATGTAGCAGCGTGTACGCGAAAAACGTTTTTTGAGGGCGAAATAGCGTAAGCCTGCGCAATAGTCACTCACATGGCAGCTGTCCACACACACACATACACACGTACATGGTAACCGAGATTTTTTTTGCGTTAATCTAAATCGAAATCGGCAGAACGCCTTGAAGTAGGCTAAACAAAAAAGGAGCACCGATTGATTCCGTTACATTTCCAATAAGCATAAATTGCAAGCGGTGTGAGTGAAAGTGTGAGGGTCTAACACACGCATACATGTAGAGGTCCTAGGAAGCAGCATCGCCTGCTCTTTCTCTCCGGCGCTCTCGTTCTCACTTTTGCAGCAGCAGCCACAGCAGGAACGCAGCAGCAACAGCAGCAGCTCAGTCGACAACTGACCAGCCGAGCACTAGCATATTTCTTGTTGTCCAAGTCAAGAAAAAACCCAAAAAAAAAACATTGTAAACCTTACAAGTATTTTTAGACAAAATAAGAGTGATAAAATCAAAGCTAAAAACATTTTAAAAAGCGCGCCTATTTAGTGTCGTGTTCCTGTGTGTTTGTGTGTAAAAGACTATCTAAAAACTTAAGAAAAACTATGATCTTTCTGAAATTTAAAAAAAGTTTAAGTTAAAAGTTAAAAAATATTTTTTTTTTCTTTTATGTTCAAGTAAAAAAGAAGCAGCAGCAGGATAATAAAAAGAAGATGTAGCTAACATGTGAGTAGCAACAAGCAGAGCTAAGAAGTGCCTATATGTGTGTGAAAAATCTGTAAATCGAGGTTATCTATACACTCACACTCATACATTGGGAGGAAGCGAGATGGTAGCTGCTTACGTACACATATATACATACACAGATTTGGGCAGCATCCTGCGACTCCATCTCGCTCGCTCTCCCCCTCTCTTCCCCACGAGGCTCCTCTTTCTCGTTTTGCAATGGCATTTTAATCATCATTAGGACGAGTGGAAGGGGGACAGCACACTGTCATTATCAACATACACACGGACACACACAGACACACCTCCTGTTGTCCATCAGGCGCCACCCCCACCCTTATATTTCCCTCTTTGTCCCCCCGCCCCTCTGCAATGTTTGTTTGCGGGAATTAAATTTAAAGTATGCCAACGATTTGCTTGTCCTTCTTCGCACATCCCTACCCTCCCCACCAACACTTCTTGCTTTTTTTTTTTGCTCCACTGTTGCGCACATTTCGTCCTGGCGACCCATATGTGTATGTATGTCCTAGTGTACATGTGTACGTTTGTCAAAGCGTAAACAATTGCAAATAAAACAAGCAAAAAAAGCCAGCAAAAACAGCAAAATAAAAAGGAAAAAAAAACATAGAATAAAACAAGAACACACACAAAAAAGGAAAGCTGAGTAGTCGAACACACACGACATTTGCGATGTATGCGAGTGTGCGAAAAAATCGATTTGTGTGCCATCAAAAAGTGCATATATAGGCAACCCATATCCCCACATCCCCACAAACTTACACATACACATACCCCGTTGTGCAACATAATGTGGCAGCAACGATTTTCAATTAACAGCAAACAATCGCTTAACATTTAACATCCGCCATTGCAATCGCAATATCCCGTTGTACAGATTGATTCTCTCTCGCCATCCCTTTCGCGCACTCATCATGGGGTAAAGTAGGTGGGGGAAGGGTTTGAAGGCTCTTAATTAATCTACGTGTGCCATTGTCAAAGGCTGAATAGAAATCAAGGTTTATGTAATCCCACAGGCCAGGCGAAAAACAAAAGAAATGGGGAAAAAGAAAAACAAGAAACTAGCAAAACAAAGCGCAAAAACCAGCAAACAAAAGAGAAAGCGATTTAATATCGCTATCCAGACAATTGGCAGCTGTTATCGATATCCAAATTGGCATTCCTTTAGTTGCTAAGCTTGTAAGAACAAAGTTTCCGGAGTAGTATATTTTAATAATGGTCGACAGTAAGAAACATATGCCTGTAGTTCTAAGGAAACTGTACGGCAAACTTTATGTTCGACAGAACCTTCAATGTGTATTTTGTGTGTAGATAAAAAAATGAATTTCTTTAAATTTAATAAAGATTTTTGTTTTATTTTCTTTGATTGTCCTATTGATTATAATTTCTTACGAAAAAATCGAGATCAGAGATCCTTAAAACAAACAGAAATAATTAAATGGAAACAAAATCCTTCGAATTTTGTAGTTCAGTGTTAATAAAGTTTTTTGCTGGAAAAGTTAATATAAATGAAACTTGATTAAATAAAACACATACATACATGCACATGTCTTGGGTGAGTCCTGGGTGTCTTAACAGGACCTCGGGGAGCACTTAGGATACATTACAGCGTGTAGTACATTGTAATTTGAGCTTGCAACTAGTGTGCAATCGTTCTAATTTGCTGTCCCTTTCTCTCTTGTTGATTGCAGCTTTTAATTCGACTATTGTTAACCTAGTTTCACCTCCCAAAAATAAATTAAACAACAAGGACGAGCTCAGAGCAGCGCTGGCTCCTCTGGTTTCGATTACGCCCAGCTCTATCACTATCTAAAGACAACAAATTACCAAGGACTCGAAGGAGAAACTCGCCGCGGGCAGAGGAAGAAACCAATCCCCACACTTTTCGGTTCTCCTCGGACCAGGATAATCCCCCCATCCCAGCCCCGGCACTATTTCCCCGTAGAACCACCATCCACTCCGCCTCTTTGTCCACGCCGTATCACTTTGCACCCAAACTATTTGGCAAACTATTCCTCCTTGGCCAGACTTTTCGAGGAGGCGCACCATCGCATAACTGAGGATAGAGCAGCCGGAGCACGAGGACGACCCATGTTACAAAAATGAAAAAGTTCACATTCAAAGG